AATGTTTTTTTCGTAGATAAGTACATATACTGCCATTTACCCGAGTACAGAAGGACTTGTGAAAAAGAAAAAACGTTCAATGTTCAAGCCTGTGACACTGAGAAAGGCAAGGTCACATATTACAAGTTTTCGGATTACAAACAAAAAATATTGTATTGTTTGTAATTGTTGCCCTGCTATCAAAAGCTCATTTAATTACAAAATGCAGCCGGCGCTCCAGCTAGATAACAGACTGGCATCTGATGTTATGTTATGTATGCCAGATTTTCGTTTTCGATTCTGGTACATACTCTGGGCACTCATTTTCGTTGGTGGGCACTCGTGGTGGTGGGCACTCGTTGACGTTGGTGTGGTGTGTTGGTGGGCTGTTGACGTTGGTGTGGTGTGTTGGTGGGCTGTTCGTGGTGGTGGGTCCTTGTGGCCGAGCAGATACGGCGAATGATGACCGATGTCATTGTTCGCTGTCTGGTTGCCACGTCGTGACATGGCACCTGTGGTTTGTGTTAAAAAGGAGAGTGGGTGGGGTGGTTGTTCCCACTTACCTGGGCTGGGCCCTCGTCATGTGTCATCAGTGTCAGCGTCGTCGTTGTCATCGTCGTCGATGTCGCAGGCGGTCGTGGTTTGAAATGGTGGTGGTGGATGGTGATGGTGGTGGAAGGAAGGAAGGAACGACGTGGCAACGCTTCAGCCACAGCTGTCACGTTTGACACGGCATGTGCCTAAAAGCGGTATATATATACCTTTAGTTTCTCATATAATAATGCCTTCATGGCTCAGTCAGCTTGAGTGCTGCTTACATTCACAAGGTCAAGAGTTCAATTCCTTGAGATGTAAAAAAAACTTATTTTACTTAAATATAGTAAGGACACTGTATTCTAATGGTATAATAGTCATTAATTCCTTCCATGGAATCCATATGGACTGCTCCATGGAATACATGTGGATATGCCTGCATTCCATATGGAATCTGATGGAATCCATATGGAATGGTGTTGGAGTACATATGGAATTAATCATTCCATGACCATTCCAGCATCATTCCATATGAAATCCATGATGTCCAGGGAATCAGAAACTGGCTGTGTCCTCAGCCAACATTGAGTCCATGGATTCCATATGGATTATACTGGGGAAGGTAAAGACCTCCTGAATCCTCGTCAGGATTCTTAACAACAGCATCCTTGTCAGGACGAATGTTCTGTGAACTGGTACATTGGCCATTATGGTTTTCTTTATAACTTTCTAACATTGATGCCTGTGCATCAATGTTGAGCTCGGTATCCGAGATATTACAGTCCTTTGCATATTTTTGTGAAAATCAAAACATTTTTGAAAACAGTCACGTGACATGTGCCTGAGCCAAACAATCAGCTTGCCGCTCTCCTCCTCGCCAGGACCTCGCATCTTGGAACCTTCAAAATTTGACCAGCCATCCACCACCCAGCTCATAATGGCTTTCTGACTTCAATTCAATTATCCCTGAGAATTCCCCAAGTGCTCACAGTATTTTAGCAGTAAAAACCCCAATTATCTCTGAGCTCTCGAACACCTGAAAGTTGTCTGAGAGCTTTTGTCACAGTTCTTTGAGATGGAGGGACAGATGCTCTTCAGTTATTTCTTTGTAAAAAGAAAGGTATTCATTGGTTAGGGCAGAAGGTCGTTCTGTACAATGGGTAAATAAGTTTCTTATTTGGCCAAAATCTCTTAAATAATTGTAGATAACATTGCCAATCATTAGAGCAATGGGGGACATTGGGGAGATCACATGTCCCCCCCATGGTCATCTAATTTATGTAGCCTCATTGAATGAGACACTCCTTGAAGTCGTCGTAGAGAGAGGCATAGTCGAAGCTAACCCGAACGGTTTTGTTTGGCTCAGGCACAGACCATGTGACTATTTTTGAAAACGTTTTGATTTTCACAAAAATATGCAAAGGACTGTAATATCTCCCCAATTTCGAAGATCAATTCCTTTGCCCTTGGCGTCCTTACTGCCGAGGTGAGTCTTCTTTTGGACATGACTCTCACGTTTTGAGATTAAATCTTTTTGCTTTCGAGTTAGATTCTTGCATGCCAGTTGGACCACCTTGAATTGGCTTTCATTCAACTCCAAGGTTTTCTTGGGAGTATCAAGGCTATGAGATCAACGACTACTGGGCATCGCCCAATTAGATGAGTACATACTTTTTTCTACAAAGGGGTTGTCTGTGCTGACATCATGTCTAGGTTCAAAAAATTTCTCCTCCGTGCTGACAACATGGACATCAGAGGGTTCCACTGTGAGGTGTGCAGCCGATGCAGCGGAAAGGCTAACATTAGCCAAGGAAAGGCTAGAGAGGGATGTGTCAGTGAGATGAGGAGGGCTTGCGCGCATACCGGTAATGTCTGTGATCAGACTGGCTGATACAACAGCAGATGGGTGTGCTCGAAGGTTGTAACGGGACATGGTGAATGTGGTTGGTGTTTGTCGGTCATAGGAGTAACTGGTTGATCAGACCAGTTGGAGTCCACAGGAGGTGATGAGCGAAGCAAGTTTAAGAGTAGAGTTTTGAGATACGAGGTTCAGTCAAAAATATGTGGTGTTAGTGTGATGGAAGTCACAGTAACGACACAAGAGAATGGAAAGAGCTTTCAAGACAAGAGTGACTGTTCAAAAGCTAAGGAATAATTCTACACAAGGGGGGATCTTATATACCTCCCCGAGATGTCTAAGTAATTATCTATGAGTAAGAGTATTTGTAAGAATATTAGTATAGTTTCTAGTAGTAATATGAGATGAAATCGGAGAAGGCGAAGAATATCGGAGTACGATCATCTGCAAAGGCGTTTTTTCCCAGTAGCAAGGCCCTTTCTCACGAGACTCAGAGAGGGCCAGCCAAACTCTGGGGACTCCTGTAGCAGCCTCATTTCCCCATAGACCGTCCAAATCTCATGAGCTCTCTGGTGGTTCCCGTAGATTCATACTTTTCAGTAGAAATCGACGACTACAGCACAGGTCAGTAGCTGCATCAGCAAGATCACAAATTGGTTGGGACGGCTTGGGACACTTGGCCAAGGCCGCCAACTTTGCCAAGCTGCCAAGCTCGATCCGGTCGTCTGAAAAAAGAGGCTGGATACGAGCTGGCGCAAAATCGGCCAAGTAGCTCCCAAGTGACGCCGATTTGAAGATACTCAACCGATTGTAAATATATTTGGGCTACTACTGTAGACTAGACAATTCTATGTATCTACGAGCCTTTTGTGCACAGGAAAGGATTTGGTGTGAATATTGGTAAGTGTCTGTGTCCATGTAGGATGAGAACAGTGTGGCGGGATTGGGATTAGAAAGATACATACCAAAGTTCAATGGTCGCGTGGGGATCCGCAGCGCCCTCGACAGAATCTTCGTCATCAACTAACCCATTGAGGCCGGCATGAATATTTGCCTCCTCAAATATGTATGCCCAATCCTCTGGCAACAATCGAGATGCAGATTTGATCCAACCACGCATCTTGAGACCCCAGTCGCTGTCGTTGAATTGAGTGACATTTTTCTTTTTGTTTCCCTTCTCATCCTTGATCGGGTTTACCCCGAATCTCCAAAGGAACAAGGCACGTTCCATCTGACCCAGGGTTAGTATGGCATGTGAGGGATCATGAACTACACTCACGGTGGCAGTGCAAAGCCCCAACCCTCCAGCTTGGGATCCGTATGATCTGGGGGCGTTGCTGGTTTTCTTGAAGTGGTATGCAAATAGATTGAGAATGAGGTCGGATTTGAAGCCTCCTTTCTCATTCTACAAAAGTACATCAGCAACTTGGCCATGATGAAAAAACAAAAGACAAACTGGAGGGGCATCAGGGTCTGCATAAATGAATCTAAAGCCTTCCAAGGCGTGTGGGACGAAAGCCATGATTTCGTCCTTGTTGAGGTTGTACTCAGCAAAGAAAGCACTGAGGACATCGAGCATGTTCATTCCGATGCTGCTGCGCCAATCTGTGAGAACGTCACCGGCCTAGGTAGAGGTGAGACATTGTGTATCGAAGGAAAAAAAAACTCACAACCGAAGTAACGATTTCAAGCGAGTTTTCATGTGCTTCGATGTTGAGCTCGGGGAAGTTGTCATTCCAGACAGTGCGGACAACTTCGGGTGTCAAATCTGAGTTTGCTCTGTAGGCGCATGGCCTGGTGGCTGCGAAATCCATGAAGGATGCGCGTCCGTGCTTGCGCCACCTTGCGTGGTAGGCAGCATACTGTGGACCACCAGGGAAAGGGAGATCACTAACAGTATACTTGACGTGCTTTGTTCGACTGGTGGTGTCAAGATTGGTGACGGATTTCTCAACAATCTTGATGGCAGCCTGCCATTCATTGATTATCCATTGTTGAATATGTACGGACAACGAAAACTCACTGGTGTTGCCTTTTGACTGTCCTTCACCTTCACCATCGATGGTTTGGAAGCTCGGATAGCTGCCAGGGCCTCAGAAGAATCTTCGCGATCGAACTCTCCTTCAACGAGGACTTCGGCTTCAGCTTCTTTGGCAGGGGCTGATTTCTGAGTAGAGGCGGGCGTAGTCTTGTAGTTCACAAGCTTTTTCCAATTCGCCATGAGGCCCCCTTCGGATTTTTTACCATGTTTTGCACTACTTTGACAATGAGACGTTGAAGTGAATGATAAGAGACACATGCCTGGGTGCATCATCGACTGCCAGGTCCTTCAGATTGCGCTTGTTTGATAATGGTTCTACCACTGCACCAGAACCGGGGGCTTCCTGACGTAGACCTTGGACTTGAAGACGAAATGTTCCATGAGGAGGCTTGAGAGAGTAAGTGAGGAAAGGGATGATGCGTGATTTTAGAGTCACCTTTGGAGCCGATTTCCCTTTTTTGGTGCGTGATGGAGGCAGTGCTTCCATCTCGTCCTCGCTTGCCTCACTCTTGTTTTGTTCCATGACAAACTCCTCATCTTCATCCTGCTCACCGACTGCCATCCCATTGCTTTCGCTGTCGGCTGTGGACTCAGGTGGTAAGTAGTCATTGCCCTCCGATAAACCACTGTCGTTGGTCTCAGGCTGATCATCAACACCAGGCTCCGACCTCATCGAAATGCTGGATGGTGGGCGTGTAACTCTGTAAGTAAGTCCCCTAATGCGAATTCCACCATCATCTGTTGAGACCCCCCCTGTAGGAACTGGGGCAACAGCAGGAGGGGCAGTGGGTTGAGACTAAAACAAGTTTAGATTGATGGGTACGTATAGAAAACGAGAACCTGCCTGTTTGACTGAAGCTGACATGTGAAGGTCAGGACGGATTGCTCACTCCATGTTTGCGACATCAGCGGCGCGGATCTTATCCTCAAGTTGGGCAACGCGCGCCCTCTTTTCGGTTTGCTTCTGAGTCTCGGCCACTGTAGCAGAAGCAGAAGTGGCTGCAGCCGCTTCATTATCAGCTTTTACCTGTTCTGAGGTACGTCGCTTGGCAGTGCTACTCAGAAGAACTTGAGCTGGATGCCAATTTGCTTTGGCACGTTTAGGACGTCCAGACATCTTCGAGATAGGTGATGGGAGTGGAGCGAAGGGGGGAATGGAGAGGGAAATTGTTTGGTCCAGGTGGTCCGACATTTTTTTTGCCTTTCAGACCCCTATTGGCTGGCAAAACTTGCAATCCATGCACATCAATCATCGGGTGGCTTGAGGGCCGGCACAAGAGACTTAACATCAGCAGGATCCGTCAGTTCTTCCATTTGCTGTCGTTCACTCATGGTCCTTATTTCTTGCCCAGAAGAAGGCTGCCCCACTCATGTCAAATCTCAGTGGGGGCTCACTTATCATCTCCGCTCTGTCCACAGAAACTCGAATCAAGTTCAGATCACCATTCCAAATGGACCTGTGACACCATCACCTCCGCTACCATCCCCTCCTCTGGATTTCCTACCAACTGATGGTTACACCAACCAAGAGCCACCAGAGCCATCCCAGGCTCCTCCACCTACTGCAGAACGGCCCCAGGTACCCCGCCCCCCCAAAATTTATCATCCACATCTCATGGGTGAGTGTTATTAATGGCCTTGCATACTTTTTACTCACAAGAGCCTCATAGTGTTACCATGTGATGCTGACGGCAATACCCTCCCTGCTGGTACTGCCCCCACCACGTACAACTGCTGTACCTACCAATTGGTCACCATATGAAGATGAAGTGCAGTTCCGAACTGCTGACTTCCTCTATCGTCGTGTTGAGATGTCCGCGGGGAATATCAATGAACTCTTGGAGCTGTGGGCGCTCAACAAAGCGAAGCAGGATGAGCTGGGCCCATTCAGTTCCTATGAGCATATGTACGAATGTATCGATGCTACGCGCCTCAGAGATGCACCTTGGAAGTGTTTCACGGTCGGCTATGCAGGTGATATTGGGCCAAACGATCCATCATGGAAATCGGCTGAGTATGAAGTTTGGTACTGGGATCCCGAAGTGGTCATGTCTCAAATGCTCGACAACCCTGACTTTGATGGACAATATGACTATGTTCCATATGTTGGGCTTGACAAGTCAGGCAAACGCCGCTGGACCGACTTTCTCTCGGGAAATTACTCCTGGCGCCACAGTGTATGTCAAATTTCAATCGACCTGAATGTTTCACTAATGCAATAATTTTGTATCTTCTAGACAAACATTTATGAGAATGACCCTTCCACGGAGGGCGCTATGTATTGTCCTGTCATTGTTGGCAGTGATAAGACCACAGTTTCGGTAGCAACTGGTCACGTCGAATACCATCCATTTTATATTTCCCCAGGTGGTGTTCACAACATGGTTCGGCGAGCCCATCGTAACGCGGTCGCTCCTACCGCATTTTTAGCAATTCCCAAAGGTATAGCTACATTATTGTTCATTTCTTTGACTGGGCTAAACATCTTTTCAGGGGATCGGAAGTATGACAATGACCCCGCGTTTCGCAAATTCAAACGTCAACTTTACCATGATTCAATTGCCACCATTCTCAAGACATTGCGACCAGCAATGAGTATGCCAGTTGTTCGTCGTTGCCCAGATGGTCATTTCCGCCGTGTCATATATGACCTTGGCGCGTACATCGCGGACTACCCTGAGCAAGTATATCTTGCCGGCATTGTTCAAAACTGGTGTCCGAAGTAAGCACCTCTCGACTTTCACCTACTTAAATTACTAATGTCTTTCAGATGCACCACACTTCCAACCGATTTGGATGGCTTTGCTGATCGTCGCTCACAAAAGTTCCATCAGGAGTTAGTCCAAGAGCTGGACTCTCGGACACTGTGGGATAAGTATGGGATTGACGATGATATTACCGTTAGTGCTCCCCTTCATCTTGAACATACAAAAGGTTCTAACTACCTTATACAGCCATTCACATACCACTTTCCTCAGGCAGACATCCATGAGATGTTGTCTGCAGACCTGCTGCACCAACTCATCAAGGGAACATTTAAGGACCATTTAGTCCAATGGGTCAGAGACTACCTTTATCTTGAACATGGGGATGCTAAAGCTAACGAGATTTTGGACCAAATTGACCGCCGGTAAGCTTTTGATACCTGTAATTCTTTCTTGGTCTCTCATAGCTCACAGATTTCAGTATTGCTGCAGCACCTGCATTCCCCAGTCTTCGCTGTTTCCCTCATGGTCAACGCTTCAAGCAATGGACAGGAGATGACTCGAAGGCGTTAATGAAGGTATGTTTTGTTTTGTCGTTCATTATTTACTGTCCTGACTTTACACTACAGGTTTATCTTCCCGCTATTGCTGGATTTGTACCTTCCCAGATGGTGCAGTGCATCGCAGCTTTCCTGGACGCGTGTTACATTGCCTGCCGAGCTGATATCACAGAGGGATCATTACAAGACCTCGACGCCGCCATCAAAAAGTTCCATACCCATCGCGAAATCTTTCACACGTCCGGTGTTAGGCCAACAGGGTTCAATCTTCCTCGTCAACACTCCCTTGCCCACTTGATCAGCCAAATCCAGGAGTTCGGTGCTCCTGGAGGTCTCTGCTCATCTATCACCGAATCACACCACATCACTGCTGTCAAGAGGCTGTGGCGTCGCTCCAATCGATACAAGGCCCTTGGCCAAATGTTGCTCACCAATCAGCGGCTTGATAAGCTCATTCGAGCTCGCGCCGATTTCGTTGTGTGCCGTATGTTGCCTCCTACCCACGCACCACCTCCGAAACCAATCCTACCTCCCAATGAGGATGACGACACGGGAATCATTGACAAGTATGTAACAGGGAACATTACTCTTGCGAGAACTCGAGGTACGCACATGTTTCACTTATTTATTTGGATTGCTGCTTATTCACGATAGAACGTAACTACCCCCACTACCTCCAAGACCTGGCTCAACATATCAACCAACCACAGCTCGTTGAGCTCACTCGGCGCTTCCTTTATGATCAACTTCACACAAACGACAGCACCTCATCATCCGACATCCCTCTTCAGCAATGTCCTTATCCAACAAGCAAGATCTCAGTCTTCCACTCTGCCGTCGCCACATTCTACGCTCTTAGTGACGAGTCTGGCATCCGAGGCATGAGAACGGAACGTATCCGCTCAACCCCTTCATGGCGAAAACAAGGGCCGCGACACGACTGCGCTCTTGTTGTCGAGGACCAAGACAAGCCTGGAATGAAGGGGATGAGCATTGTCAGAGTAAAGCTCTTCTTCTCGTTTACTCATGATGCAAAGACATACCCATGTGCCTTCGTCAAATGGTTCAAACGAATTGGCACAGCCCCTGATCCCGAGACAGGTATGTGGAAGATCAAGCCTGACACATACCGAAACGGCGCGCATATCGCCACTGTTCTTCATTTAGATACCTTTCTTCGGGGTGGGCACCTTCAGCCTGTATTTGGGAGGGATTTTTTACCCTTTGACTTCCATTTTTCGTACTCACTGGATGCATTTGAGGCATACTATGTTAGCAAGTATGCAGACCATCATTCACATGAAATTTGCTTTTAAACATGTTTGTATGTTGTATCTAACATGTTATTATAATTGTGGTGCTTGGCTTTCAGACTCAAAACTCAGGCAATTGTATTTAACAACACAAATCGGCGTAGCTTGGGAGGGGTCATACGATTTTGGGATGTTTGGCAAGCGCCCCAAGCTCCCAAGCATCGCCAAACAATTTGCGGTCTTGCTGATGTGCTTACCTGTTCTAATTAATCAGAAATCTCACTGCCGAAGATCTCACAAGCACGCTCATCATCAACGATTGCTGTGTCCGTGCGCCGAAGGGGGGACTATTTTGGCCAAACAGGCGCATCGTGTGGAAGATATAAAATGCCAGTTGGTGCCATCTTTCCAATGTCAAGTTCTGTCTCCCATCTCCCCTTTTTTGCACAGCTCCCCCATTGTTCGCAAATTGCTCCCTGAGTCCGGGGTTTCCTCAATGTAAGCTATCTAGTACTAACAACTTTCACCCCTTCATAGAATGTTCTATCTCAGCCTGGTACAACTGGGTGGACATTGGTGGTGTGCATTTCATCTTCACAAAGTAAGTTCTCGACTACCTGATGCCATTATTGTTTGATACAAGGGTTCAGTACTAATTGCTTGTTCACGCAGCCATACACATGATACTTTGGTCTATTAGTATTAATATTATTGATAGTTTTGAAATGTATTGGTACTGGTTACATACTATCAAATATTATTCACGATTTTTGATCTTCTGTCGAACTGGTCCCAAGAATCTGAAGATCGTCTTCAGGCTTGTATCACATTGAAAAAAATTAAATGTTCTTGTTTGATAAAAGATCTCGGAGATCTGACTATGGAGTGCTACAGCTGCTATGGTACTACGGCACTATGAGTCTCCCATTGCTCAGGAGCACTGCTGAGGAACACACCTTCCTATGGTGCACTATGATAGAGGGGTACGTTGCTCCAGGTCTCCAAAGCTACCCGACGCTATGTAGACACCTGTAGTCAATACTGTAGCATTTCGTTCAATTCGACAGGGCCCGTGACGCGTGACAGGCCTCTCGAAATTTTGGTTTCGACAACCACACAAATTCGCCGTGACAAGCCGAAATTTTGGACCACTTAGCGCCGCAGGCCACGTAAAATTTCGACATTTATCACATGAGCGCCAGATGATTTCGACACCTTACAAAAATCTGTGTGACCACTGTGACATTTCAGCAATTTGAAGGGCACCGTGATGCGTGACCGTCGAATTGAATGAAATGCTACAGTAGTTGTTTTGCAGATGATGGGGTGTGTGTCACAGGATAAATCTATCCAGAAACCCTCCTTTCCATGTGAAACCCTGTGGTTTCTGAATTGGTTGGGCAGAAACCTGGGGTGTTGTCAATAGCCAACAATCAAGATATTTGATGTCCGACGCGCGGCTCACTCACTGCCGAAACGGGAGTGAATTTGTATGTAGCAGCACATCACCCGACTGGTGCTCAAGCTGAGAGTGTGTATTATTTGCCTATGATAATTATAATTACAGGTATGTGCTGTACTCTGAAATGCCAAGAGCAAGGGACTAGTGGGCAGGCTGGCCGCTGAGCGTGTGTGGCCTTCCTGGCAACATACCCGCATTTCTTCTCCTCCACGTAGGGTGGCTGTCACCCTCTGTGGTCTTAGTTGGAATTCACTGACTACACAGGCAAGAGGCACGGCCTTCTGTGTTCAGGCTGCACCATGACTCTGATGTGCATGCCAGCAAGCGTCGAGTGATGGCCTGCGTCCTCTACAAGGCCACACAAGGCCGTCAGTGGAGAGGACCCCAGTGGTGGGTATTATAATTGAGGTTACATGGTCATTGCGTACACAACGGAAGGATGGACTTGAAGCGTTGAGGGGTGATACGAGGCAATGTTGTTACTGTTGTGCAGACGGCAGGTGCTCGGCAAGTACTCAAACAATCTCCGACGTAGGTTTCTAAAAACATAGCCAAACAACATTTGACAGAGGATGGAGGGGGGGTTTCAAACCGACGACGAGAGACCCCTGGGTTTCTGGCGGAAAGGGGATTTCTGATTAGATTTATCCTGTGTCACATGACCGCTACATACTTAAACGCACAGCATTGCACCAACAATGACCCCGACAAAAACCAAGTTATGATAGTACCGATAAGCTGGACACAACCGTAGGCTTCTGCGCTAGGAATTTCGCTCCCAATGACGAACGAGAGGTGTGGTACTATGTAGAACAACCTACCATCCAAAGATCCTAGCAATAGAACATCCATCCATGCTTCTTCGACGCCACGACGACGACGACAACGACCTCAACCCTCAACATGCTCTCCCAATTTATAACCATTCCTCCAACGTCCTCCTACCCCCTCCACATAACGGCGAAACGATATCCTTTTCCACGATTCGACGTTAACGCCAACCCGCGTGCACGTACCCTGTTGGTACTGCATTCCACGAGCTTTCATAAAGAGACTTGGGAGCCTTCACTTTCTCGCTTATTTGACCTCGCGACGAGGGAGCGTGGGGAGGCGTTGATAAGGGAGGCGTGGGCTGTAGAATGTCCGAACCACGGTCAATCGGTGGAGTTGAATGAGGAGGCGTTGAAGAAGGGGGAGTATGCTGATTCTTGTGCGTTGCTCTCTTTTTCAATCATCGTCTTGGGCTGATTGATTGGCGCAAGTTTCGTGCGAGCACTATGCGGTAGCCATTCACCACTTCCTCACCTCTGGCGTGGCGGATTTTTCAAATCGGAACTTGATCGGCATCGGGCACTCTCTAGGCGCAAATGCCATGTAGGTACACCCTTCAACTTCGCCTCATTAGAGTATGTAATACTAACTTTTTCACTAGACTTCTCTTACAACACCTACTCCCCAGAATCACATTCTCATCGCTCATCATCATCGAACCCATGGTTAGCCCCGCTGGCGGGGACAAGCTCGCTCCCCTCCGCAAGAAACTCATCACTTCCGCGAGAAGGAGGCGAGCCGCGTGGCCCTCTCGAGCCGAGGCGTTGATGGTGTTGAAAGAGAGGGAGGGGACAAAAAAGTGGGATGGAGCTGTCTTGGAACTGTTTGTTGCGAGTCTTTTCCTGTTGCTACGAAGGACTCGGGCGGTGACTGATGAAGATTTTGTTTAGAAACACGCGATTAGGGATAAGGAAGATGGGCAGGTTGGGTTGGCGTGTACGAGGGAACAGGAAGTGGTATTTGTCCCCGCCTATCTCCTTTACCCTTCTTTATCTCATCTTACTTCCTTCTTTATCGCAGACGATGTACAGCGACGTAGCAGGCGCCACTGAACCCGTGCATGACCTCGACAGGGTATGTCACCTTATACCGGTGCATCTTATTCTCGGGAAGATCAAGGATTTCATGTACGTTCCCTTTTCTCTCCGCACGTCTGGGTTTCCCACTTATGGAACAACGACAGCCCCGCAAAAGTACACGAAGCTCTCACATCACCAACCTCCGGGCGAGTGTACGCATCGATAAGTGTGATTGAGGGAACGGGGCACCTGGTATGTCATTCCTTTCTTCCTCCTCCTTCTCTTCGGTTCCTTCTCCTGACAATAAATTAATTAGATACCGCAAGAGAAACCCAAAGAATTAGGAACCGCTATATACGACATTCTGACGGGCAAGAAAGGGGTGCCGCCAAAGCCCAGACTATGATCTCGCTATACTAATTATCTATGATCTTGCTGTCGTGTTATACTCACTGTACTTTTATATCATGCTTTGCTAGGACAGAATTTGGTAAACGGATCTTGTGACATCATCTACAGCTTTGCTTCCTAGTCAAGATTACGAACACTCTGTCTACGGCACTTCCTCCTGAATTGTTGTAGCTGTCAAGATTTGCCAGAAAATCTCTCCAATATCGGGATGTCCACAGATTTGCTTCCTTGTCAAACTCTCAAACAATGACACGAGGCCATTTGCTAAACTATTGCAACCTTTGGCCGACAAAATGGAGGGGGGATTCAGTCCTGCAAGGTTGCTGCCAACGACTCTAACTGACTCGGAGAAATTACGCCGGAAATGACTGACGCAACAAACCTCAGCAAACGGTGATAACTCCTGGGAGAGTTGGGCAGCAAGGCTTGGAAGCTTTTCCCGAGTGGAAGCAAGAGAGGTTCATCAGTTCATGGATCTGTCATAATTTATTCGTCATGACCTGCTGCACGCCAAGGCAGACGGCCTCGTATCACTGGTGTTACTCAGGCCTGAGGAGCTCTCTGAAATATATCCTTCGTCAAGATTTTCGTCAGCTAAGGAAACAGCTGGCTGGCTGCAGGGCGTTGCGGAGGTTATTCTCAAATCCCAATGCGTTCGGAAGCCGCCTACTTGAAGCCCCGTAGATGATGAAACCCTTTTTGAGTTTCGTATACGTTCGAGGAATACACCGCGATGCCAAACTCCTTTCAAGTGGCATGTAAGACGTTTATGTTATCGATAATGTTGAGATGATACTCACCGTTTCATTCTAGGGCTCTCGTGCTCATTTATTTCCTGATGCCGTTGTTGTCGACTATCGCCCATGCGCACCACGTTCACGTCGCCGTTCCTGGCCTTCACAACGACGTTGACTGTATGTATCGACGTCCGCCAAACGGGGGGTACGTCGAATCTGCACAGGTATGTTAGTTTCCGTGGATGTTTAAGGAAAGAACACTGACTTTGTGCATGTTGCATCTACCTAGTCATCGTCAACGGCGTTGACTATACGTATCGACGTCCGCCAAACGGGGGTACGCCGACTCTGAATAGGTATGTTAGTTTCCACGAATGTTGAAGGAAAGAAAACTTACTTTGTGAAGTTGCATCTATGCCCCATGGCTCGTCGTCGTCGTCCGGCAAGGCGTAATGAAGAGATGCTGACCCGTTTGCAGTAACGTTCTGGCGAATTTGACGTGTAATTTAGATGCCGTCATGTCGCTTGTTGGGAGGAACGGTGGAAGTGATGTTGGGGAGTGGGTCAGGCTGGGTGTATGCGGAATCTGGGTGATTAGAAGAATGTGAACGGAATAAAATTTGTGTCGCGTCGACGCGACTCAGTGGGTTAAATGTGTGTTACATAATCGTAGACTATGAACTGCAATCGTTGACCATACCCTCAAGAAATGCCCGCGCAACCATCGAACTCGTTCCCTTCAAAACGCCCACGGACCGAAGCCCCGGCGAAAAAATCTATCAAATACACGAGTGTGGCTGACATCCGGAGCAATCTTCATATTCAAAATGATACTCTTGTGGAGGGTACGTATAACTCGTATTCTAGGCGTTGGTTTATCTTACTTACTCTAGCCCAGCCATCACTGGTTTGCGCAACCAGTTGACTGTGTGGCCAACGGAACCTTCGATACCGCCTAATGACGAACGACTTTTGTTGGTTCAAAGATGGATGGAGAGTTCACCTGGGGCGACGGAAGTTTTTGAGATTTGGGATGGGGCTGGTCCAGTGCGGCCTTCGTTTTTCTTAGCTTTGTCTTTTCTGACGACGTTACAGCGCCAGACATCGTTAATCGCTGTGTCGCTATCTTTGCTTTCATCGGTGCTGACATTGTTGTCGTCCCATTACACATTCCATGCACTCGGCCAACCCATAGTCAAGGCTCTTCTGACTCCAACGTATCTACGTCGACTCAATTCTTACGTCGGCGGTTCAAACAATGAACTCATCATCGTCACACTCAAACTATTCAATGCCATGGCCTCTTTTGCTGGTGGTCGAGAGCGTAAGGTGGTGTTGGAAGGTTTTGCTTGGGAGATCAAGGTACGCGTATGATATCTTTCCTCAACAACCAACGTTAATGTTCCTTCAGTCTCTACCAAAACTTCTGAACATGCGACGCAAAACGAAAAATGAAGAAACCCCAGACCCACTGATCAAACCAGGTCCGTCAAACTCCCTTTTATTACGCCAAAACTCATTCTATTCTTTTCTAGACATTCGGACCCTCTACATCCTCTTCCTCCTCTCGTTCGTCGACGCCGGCACCCCGTCTCAAATCAAGTCCTCCTTCATTTCGCAACACCGAGATGCCTTCCTCGCAATATTCAAATCGCTCAACCAAGATCATTCGTCCCTGATCCGTAAGATTCTCGAGGTATCCTGGGCTGGGATTTGGTCTGACCCAAAAGTCAAACGGACATTAAAGATAGGGCTTTTTAGTGAACAAACCGTTGCCCATGTGAGTTTTTCGAGTTCTCTACCCACTTTTGTTCCTTTACTTACAAAATTATCTACCACAAGCTCTTAAAACTATACGACCACGTCACCTCTGACACTCAAGACGCAGATTACGTACCAGCAGACCTCGTACACCACTTCCTCCTCGCAATATGCACCCACCCAGGGGTTGGGATATGTTTCAAAGATCGAGGATGGTATCCACGCGAAGCTGAAGGTGACTCCGACCTCAGTGGTCCAAAAGACGACCCCGACGCCCAAAACCAAAAAGGGAGCAAGATGTACAACAAGATTCTAGCGAACATCCTCAAAACCTTAAAAGTAAACGAAGACGCCCGACAACAAGAACTAGCCTTCAAAATAATGTCCGCCTGCCCGGAACTAGTAGCGGGCTACTGGGCCGGCGCAGCGCTCACGCTCGAGCCGAGGCTTTCCTCAAAGTGGATAACGAACGTTTCGTTTTTTGGGGTGGTCATTTCGTTGCCTGTGCCCACCTCCTCCTTCTTCCTCCCCAACACACATCAATACAACCCGACCCCGCCCCCTCTAACCACCATCCTCGAAAACATTTTACCCTCGTCCATCAACACCAAATCCCACTTTTCCAAAGGCCTTCAATCTACATCAGGGCTTGTACAGCATTGTACGGCGTTAGCTCTTGCAAAATGTCTTCAGAAATACGAGAGCGTTTTGAGGGTGTTTGAAGAGGCGCAGGAAGTGCTTGAGGAGGATTTGGAGGAAGGGCAATGGGTGAGACGACGGAGGGAGGTGGAGAGGGAGGTTAGGAGGCGGGTTCCGGAGGTGGGAGTTGTTGTTGGGTTTGCGCAGCAGGGGAAGGGCAAAGGGAATGAGGTGAGGGGAGCGTTGTTGGCGGAGAGCGCGCAGAGGTTGTTGTGGATGTATCATCGCTGTTTGCCTTTTGTTGTTGCGGAGGCGAGGTTTGATGTTGGCAAGTTGTTGTTGAATTTTTCTGTGCGGAGTGGTGATGAGAAGGAGGATGGGATGGAGGTGGAGGGGGAGGAGGGGAAAGATGATAATGAAGAACCTGGAGCAGTAGCGCGACTTCATCGTGTCCAGCAACTACATGTCCTCAAGATTTTGAAAGAGAGCGATCAGTTTGTGTGGGCTGGTAAAGCAGGTACGTATTCTTCCCCATCTTCGTCGCTTTCATACCCTAATTCACCACCTCAGGTTCTTCACCTCACACAAATCTCTCTATCCTCCTCAAATCCCTCACCACCCTCACAACTCCCCTCCTCCGCAACGCACTCTCCTCGCTCCTACAACACCTCCTCTCACAAAGCATCCTCTTCCAATCCGACACTTCCGAGCCTTCCCTCTGGCTTTCTTGCATACCACACACACGCCGGTCGCCAGGTGCCGAGTCGCCCGACGGTACGCCTCTGAAAGACGAAGGCGAGGTGGTCATCAAGTTTCTCGATGAATGTGTCCAGCGGTGCCTGAAGACGCCGTATCGCTACATTGAGGACATGTACGCTCTTTTCACTACGACACCTGGTGAGATCCCAGATAGATTAGACGCGTGCCCCAGCCCACTGCTCCTCACGGTTCTTGAGCAGCTGGACGCAAAGGTCGGGAACAAGTCCCTCTCTCCCTCTGGTACTTTAGCGCTCGCTTCGTTCGTAAGGAAGCTGGTGTTTCGTTTGACTAGTAAAACGGTGGATTTGAAGGCGTTCAGGGTGGTAGTGGATAAGGTTGACGTGGTTCTTGGCCCGGAGAGGCTTTGGGATGGGAGTGGGGATGAGGTTGTGAGGGGTGCGGTTAGGAGAGAGGTTGGATTGATGAGCAGATGCTTGGGTGTTCCGCCGAAACATGCGTTTGGTATGGAGAGCGAGGGCGAGGGTGTGGATGCGTTCCTTGGGCAGGTTGAGGGTATGCAGATTCGTGAGTCCTTTCTTCCCCCTCCTATAGCCATTTGGTTTGTTTACTTCTACAGCCATGTCAAAAACGCAGCGAATCAACGCAGCTTTTGAGCTGATCGACTGGCTTCGTCTCGTCAATCAACTTTTGAGTCCCTCCCAAGTCAGGCAGCTCGCAAATCAAATTTCTAAATTCCATGCACCTGCAATCCAAGATCTGGTGGAGTATCTGGATCCTGAACAGTCTAACATCTGGGACGGACTTGAGGTCGTATCGAATTTCCAGGCCCAGTATGTTATTTTCATTCACTTCTTCCAGAAGCTTTTACCACTCGCACAGTTTGGACTTCGCATGGCTTTTCTTACACGCCAGAGAATATGAAATCATGGACGAGAACTGCCGTGTCGTTCTCTCTGACTCCGCGTTCACGTCAACCACGTCTTTGGTCGATGTAATGAGAGTGGTGCGCCTCATAATGCATCGGTTATCTGCCCAGCAGCAGAGTGAGAGTGAAGGCGCAGTAACGGGGTTATTGCTTGTTCTCGCTCGGATCGTGAGGAGGTCAAAGGCCGTTCTGAGCCCAGGGGAGTTTACGTCCCTTAAAGCAATGGTTTTCGAGCATCAGGGTGTTTTAAAGGAGATATTCATGGCTGGGGGTCCTGCAGAAGGTACTATTTTTCAATTCGTTGTTAAAGGCTTCTCTGACGGCTTTATAGGGACCAGACAGTTTCTCGAGGCTTCGCTCGTTGCGACATCGGAGACCGATAGGCTGCTGGTCTCGGACATTGGACGTCATTGGATGGACAAGCTCCAACTCACTCTTCTTAACAGTGATTCATCATCCCTCAACGTCCAATTCGCACTACTATGGGTTCAATACATTAACCCAGAAGAGCTCTTCACCTCACTCGACACACTCGCATCCTCCATCGACGGCATGGCCTCCCCCTCCATTTTGGAAACGGTCAAACACATCCTCCACGCCATCCTTTCAACCTCCCAATCCGAATCCGAATCCCACTCGGAAGGCTTCCTAACACAACGACTGCCCCAGCTCCTCTCTCTTCGCTCCATCCTTCCTGACTCGGAAACGTTGGAGAGTATGGTAGCGACAGCTATCGAGGCGACCATTCCTATCGGGTTGGATGGGTCTTTTGTGAATTCTGGGGATGTTGAGGTTGATGTCGTTTCTGTGGTCAAACGATCAAATATGAGGTGGACACGTCGTTCTGTTCCTCTTCCCGGCGACTTCCAGATCCAGCCGTTCTTGACTCAGGAGACCTGGACGGAGGCGACTGTAAAGATGGTCCGAGGATGGTTGTATAAGCGCCCATCTAATCCTGATTCCGAGGCTTTTACATCTTGGTTAGGTTCGCAAGAGTGTCTCAGGCGTTCGGATGAACAGCTTGTTCCTGTTGTGCATGCTTGGTTGGATACTACGAGGTCGAGGGGTGGTGATCTTTCTGGGTTTGATGGGGAGGTTTCGAAGCGGCTATTCGCTCGGCTGGTGGGCGTTGTACTCGATGGAGAGGCTTCGACATTGTTACGAGCTCAAGCCGAAATTGCCGCTTGTCAACTGGTCTCATTAACACCGTCTGGACACTCCGAAGCTTTGTTAAGACGATTGACAACAACGCTGGAGTCGAAGCCTTTGACGGCTGAAACTCCCGAGTTTCTCAACTTGATAGCTGGAATTCACAAAATCGCGATTCAAGACGCGAAAGCCGTGGTATCAGATGTCGTTGATCGGGGGATGCAATGGGCAATTCGGCAGTTCTCGGAAGGAGAAGAGGATGAGGGTGCTGTGAGGGTCGTTGAGGAACTGAGTACGTGTTTTGTTCGACTTTTCCCACTTGTTCGTCTAACGGTCGAGTCAGTACAATTGGTCGAATTGACGTCTGTTTCAAAGCCGAACACGGTCGAGACACTTCTTGGGGTTATCATCCAAAATCACCTGTCAAGCCCTTCTGCACTCAAACTTGCTGAGGCTGCTGTCCGAACGGCATCATTGAAGGTACCCTTCCTCCTTACCCATCACCAATTCCTCTCACCCTCACCCTCCTCTAGCCATTAATCGTAAACCGTCTTCTACAAAGCACAGTACAACACCCGCACTTCTTCAAACTCTGCTCCCTTCCATCTTCCGCCCGAGACGGCATCATCTCTCTGCTATACACCCTCTTCCACCTCCATCCCACAAACACATGTCAAGTCACTCACATCGAGCCTTTAGTCCGCGTATATCGAGGTACATTGTCCAGTGCCGATCTCAAGGTGCTATCCATATTCCAGCTCTTCGAAACAACGAGGAAGTTGTCCGTTTCTCAGTTGTTTGGGAGGTGGTCTGCGGTGGGTAATGGTGAAGAGTCCGGCAAGGCGCTTGATGTAGTTCTGAGCTTGGATGCGGGTGTTGTGTTAAGGACGTGTCTGAACTTTCCTAGGTGGCGTCGTTTGGAGTTTGACACTAAACCTTTGCCTAGGAGGACAAGTGGTGGAGAAGAAGGGCTGTACGACCCCGTCTTCCTCATTCTCCTCTTCGGACACATGCTTGCAGAGTCCCCGCCTACATCAGCCATATCGTGGATAGAGATGTTCCGCACCAACATCGTTTCGCTCATCTTGAGGGCGCTGGCGAGTAAATATGCGGGTATGAGGGAGGTAGCGGTCCTCCAGATCGTTGCGCTGTATAAACACATGGCTACGGCGGATTTACAAGAGAAACCACACGTCTTGCATATCCTTACGCTCCTCAAGAACACATTCCCAGCCCCCTCCTCCTCATCTTCAAACGAACCATGTCCCCGTCTACCGACGTACACCGCCCTCCTCCTCACGCACGCCCTACGCGCGCTCTTCCACCCTTCCCACTTCACTTACCCTCTCATCGCACGATTCCTTTTACAGCGGCCGGAATTGGATACGGGGGACGTACCGCTGCTTTATGGGATGTTGTATAGCAGCGAGGGTGAGGGATGGAAGAAGGAGCGAGCGTGGATTATACGGATGCTTGCTGATGGGATGGTTGGGACGGGTGATTGGAGGGTGTTGAGGAGAAGGCATGCGTGGGATTTGCTTGCTAGTTTGTGGCAGGGTGAGGAGGATGCCGGGACGAGGTTGGGGATACTTGAGGTGAGTGATTCAATGAGGGGTTGCAGAAGGATGCGTTGCTGATATGCCTAAGGTTCTGGCGAATTTGACGTGTAATTTGCAAGCAGTCATGTCGCTGATCTTGAAATCTGCGCTGCTTTCGTGGATTGAGATGCAGTTGCTTTTAGGGACCAAGGAACGCGTGGAGTGGTTCAATATCTTGGAGAATATCCTCGTCTTTGTCGATTCGAAAAAGCTGGAGGCTGCGTTGGGGAGTGAGTGGCGGGCGACGATATGCCGTTGTCTTTTGGAGTTGTTGGATTATAAAACTTCCTGTATGTTTCTCTTTTTCTTTTGATTGAGTTCAGGAGCGTTGATCGTGTGCTGGTACAGATGCGGACTTGCCACTTGTTGTTCCTGTTATTCTGAGGTTGTCAAGCCTAGAGGGCAGGGAGATACATGAGTTCCCAGAGTTGTTGGTGAGGGCTGTTGGGTGTTTGGAGACGTTTGAAGAGAAAACAAATTTGGAGGTGACACCTTTGTCGTCTCCAAAACACTCAGCCATAACTCCTCAACCACCACACCTCGCACAAAGCCTCCACTCTCCTTCGTCCCTCTCAGATCCACTATCGGCATGGGGCTCGTGCGTTGAGATGTTGTGGCGCGCAGCTTTGTCGGATAAGAGGACGTCAAAGGTCGTTTGGGATGCCCTGACAAGTCGGGCTGTTCTTTGGCGGGGGCTGGTTGGGAGGAGGGCTGGAAGTGAGGTTGGGGAGTGGGTCAGGGTGGAGTGTATCCGGAATCTGGCTGATTGAAAGACGTATCGATCTGTGACCGCGCGGTCGAGAATCTTAACACCTTGCCTGGAACAAAGATATATAGCTGGCCGAAAGATGTCGACTATACCCCACTCAACGCCAAACAGACGGGTGAACCACCTTGTGCAATATTGTAGCCTTAACACCAGGTGTTATGGTGGGTAGAATTTGGTTAGCAAAGATAAAGAGATGGACTTCAAAGGCTGAGAAGCCTGGAGGGCAGTTGCACATATGCCAATCGAATGGATACAAAAAGGGGCATGTATGATAATACAAATTTGGTCGGACAAGTCACAAAGTGCATCTTCTCGTCGTTAACGACTTCATAGTAAGCTGGGGTTAGAAAAGAAAGAAAATGATAAGTATGATCATGAATAACCCCAAATGATCATCATAAAGACACCTCCAAATAACAACCAAAACCTCATCTTCATTCAGCTTTGCACAGCGAATCCCTATCCCAAGAATGATAAGGCGCACATTACCCCCTCAATCTCTCCATCTCCCTCGTCTTCGCCGACGAAGCCTTCTCTTTCCTATTCCGCGTATCGTTCCCATCATGTAAACTATCAAGGAATGGCTAGTTCTTTCTACTGAATACATTATGCATATGCATGAGGAAATACTTTGGGATCATGGAACAATCACACCTGTGCTTTTCCCTGGATCTCTTTCAAAATATATCCTTCCAAACCTCCACAAAGCCAAAGCTCCTGCACACTAGGTCCAACCGGCTTGACATGATACGTCTTCACATTCCCCTCTGCAGACGACACCGACGACCTCACATAAACCCTCCCATCAACCATCCCAACCTCCACATTCAACCCCTTATCCACCGTCAACTCCCCTTGCTTCCCACCAGCACCCCTCCTTCCATCCTTCGCATACGCCTCGGTAAGGTCCTGTACCAACTCTGGACTTTCAAGGCACACCAACCCATTGTTGATCGCGTTCCTTTTGAATATGTCGCCAAACGACCCGGCAATGACGAGTGGGATCCCAGCGGCTTTCAGAGCCGTCGCAGCTTGTTCGCGCGAAGAGCCCGTGCCAAAGTTGTACCCCGCCACCAACACCACTCCGGGCTTCGTCTCTGCATCGGGAGACGGGGATGGGAGTTTGGTGCGCAGTGATGAGACGAGGACCGCGAATCCGGGATCGTAGTTCTCCATGACGACTTCCGCCTGGCGCTCGAGCGTGATATCGTCTTGGTAGGTATATTTGCCCGGGTAGATCCCATCGGTGTTCAAGTTGTCTTGCGGCGCGAAAAGAAGTGGGCCGGAGAAGAAGGCTGGGAATCCGTCCAGGAGAGGTTCGGCGTCGGTTGGGGTTGTAGAGGCGGAGCGAGAGGTTTGGGAGATGGAGAAGGTTGGTGTTTGTGCGGGGGGTGAGGAATCTAAAGAGGCAGGGCCAGAGATATATCCGTTGATAGCGCTTGCAGCTACAACAGCTGGGCTGGCTAGATATGCTTGTGCCTTGGGATGACCCATACGCCCTTTATAATTCCTATTCGTAGCACTGATACCCGTCTGCCCTTCTTCCAATAACCCCGTTCCAAGACCGATGCAAGGTCCACACCCGGCAGGAAGAGGTTTCGCTCCAGCTTGTACCAACGCGTCCCAATCACCCAGGGTTTCCGACTCTTGCTGTACCACTGAGCTCGCAGCAGCGATGTAAAAGTCGACTCCTGGTGCGACTTTCTGGCCTTTCATGACAGCTGCAGCAGCAGCTATATCCGACACGCGGGAGTTTGTGCAGCTGACTAGATATGCTTTTTGAATGGCGATTTTGTTGGCTTCGAGGAGGGGCAGTGGGGTGGAGACTTTGACGCTGTTGGGGCCAGATACATGCGGGACGAGGGTGGACAGATCGAATACCAGGTGCGAGGAATACTCGGCATCTAGGTCTGACGAGAGGTTTGCCGTTCTAAGAGCGTCTAACCTTTGCCTGTTTATTCGAGGGTGCACGGGAGGCGGTGGTATAGCCGACGAAGAAGGCGACGCGAACGTCCGTAACTCGAGTTTCGCAAGGACGCGATCGTACCACTGAAGCAGCGTCTCATCAACGGGGAACACACCCACAAGCGCCCCCCACTCCGTCGTCATATTCGCGATAGTCAACCGATCATCCACAGCCAAACCAGCAACACCTTCGCCCGTAAACTCCAACGCAGCATTGAGAACCTCATCCTCATTGAACGATCCACACAGCGCAACAATCACATCTTTCCCCGTCACACCCGGCTTTAAACGCCCCCTCAACTCGACCTTCACCATCCGTGGGACCTGCCACCACGTTTTACCCGTTGCCCAGAGCGCAGCGGCGTCTGTACGAACGATGGGCGTGCCGACGCACCCAACGCCGCCGTACATGTTGCTGTGGCTGTCGCTTGCGACCGTCAGCGTGTGCGGGAACGCATATCCCTCTTCTACGAGGACTTGATGCCCGATCCCTCGTCCGGCCGGATAAAAGTCGATAGAGTGTTTCCTAGCAAAGGCCTCGATGGACGCGTATTTGGATAGGTTCTTGAATGACTTGTTTTGTACGTCGTGGTCGAGGGTGAAGACGGGCTGGGAGGGGTTGTGGATGTGTGTAGCGCCTATTGAATTAAACCTTACAATGCCAGTTGAGCTGATGATGTGGTGAAATAAGGAGGAGCAAAAGCATACTTGGTGATGACTGGCCCGGTATTGTCGTGCGTCATAACATGCTCGGGGCGAATCATGACATAGTCCCCTGCCTTGACTGCTTTTCCTTCTGGGAGGCCTACGGCATACCTTTGAACTACCTTTTCAATGACGGTTTGAGGGACGCGGGCGGAGCGGGTGCTGGCGATGGTGGCGAGGCATCTGCGTTGCGTTGCTCTGGCATAGTGCACAGTCCAGCAGAGTGGAGGACGCATTTGACCAGAGAGATGCCGATTTCTGAAAATTACATATGGGCGACAACACAACTAACTACAAATACAGTCACTCTTTCTTACTCTGCTGCGAATCACCCCAAACCAGCCTATCCACGTCCCGCTCCTTCCCAGAAAACTTTATAGCGATCGCCTTGATTGCAGTCATAGCTGGCCCAAACATACCAACTCGTTTCTGATACGCTTTATACGCGATGGGGTATTTGCTGCTGGTAATTGCCTCTGTGTACAACGTGGATGAAAAGAACAAAAGCGATAGAGCAGCACCGGGAAGAAGATTGATTCCAGCGTCCAGAAGAATTGCGCGCAGTCCATTTAGAAGTGGTTGATGGAGATCTCGGAATTGGAGGGCATGGATAATGATGCGAAGAGGGGGAAAGTCGGAATGGGTTGGTAAATTTGGAGGGACAGAAGCAACTAGGGGAAAGAATGTAATGATCCACTGTATATTCATTGAGTTTTATGCACATGGAAAAGATTAGGAGTGACGTACCCAGAAGGATTGTTCGCAAGCAAAGTTGGGATGCCTTGAGTAGCGCCAAAGGCCTCTGGTAATGAAACCTCTGCGCGCATCATCAGGAGTCCAAGAAAGACGTGCCCCAATCCACTGCTTTGACTCGTCGTACGCTTTGACGTCGGTGGCACCCTTCTCTTTGGCCAAGAAGGCATGTTTGTAAGTCTGATACGCATACTGTTGATTGTCTGCAGTAAATTCCAAGAGTAGGACGAGCAGAGCCAAGGAAGCCAGAGCGTAATCGGACGTCTCAAGCGATGAACGTGGCTGGGAGAGCGCTACTGTGCGGGTAGGAAGTCCCAAGAGCAAAAGCAAAACGTTCTGAATGGCGGAGATGAACGTGAGGTTGACGATTTGGAATAACCAGGGCGGTAGTTGCTTGCGAAGAACTGCCCAGCGATAGTCTTCGTCTTTCCTGATTTGACCAGCGTCAGATTAGTTATAAGGATGGATGCAGAAGGGTACTTACGGGTTGAATAAACCACGCCGTTGTGTATTGTAGCTTAGTCTACACATCCAAAGGAAGACGAGAGCGAACATCAAGAGCGCTCTTGGGTTGTAATCTGTCGAACCGAGGAAATTGTATGGAACGAGAAGGAAAGGTTGATGAGCCGGGAAGAGGGGAAGCAGGGCATAGTAGGCGGTATATATCGTTGGAAGAAAGGTCCACAAACGGTCTACTTGAGAGACGTTGCTTGTAATAACGGACACAATGTACGTTGCTGCAGTCGTAAAGACGCAAAATTGGATGGGCCAGTCGAGTGTGGAGGAGAGAGACATGATGTGTAAGGCACGTGACTGTAATTGGCCTTGCAATTGTTGCTTGGTCGCTTGTCGCTCTGGGCTACGTAAGTATGACTTCGCCCAGCCCTAATCGATAATCCTTGATCACAGTCAACATGGCGAATTCAGTGGAAATCCCACAAGATATCATCGACAATGTTATTGTGGCACTTGGCAATGACACGCCTTCACTCAAGCAATGTGCGCTCGTTTCTTCCTCGTTCCTTCTCCCAAGTCGCAAGCAGCTATTCTACAGCATTCGTTTCGGATTCAACAATGAAGCTTGCCACAAGCTTCATCAATTCTTCGTCCAAAATCCAGTCATTATATCCTTTGTCAGAAGGATAAAGTTCCACCCAGGTTGGGATTACACGCCTTTGTTTGACAAGTTGTTACTTGCCATTCTCCAACTCCCGTTTTGTCACCTGGAGGAATTCTCGCTCGATTCAATGGGGATTGGGGTTGTGAATTGGACTGACTTGAGTGGTGAACTCAAGGATGCGCTCTCGACTCTCATACATTCACCCACCCTCAAAATCCTCCACCTCAGATACGTTGACAATGCACCAGTTACCCTCTTCCTTGGCATTGTCCAGCTTCTGAAATTACATTTGAGTTCAGTCTCGCTCAACTATTCTGATGGCGAGCAGCCAAGCTCGCTGATACCAAAGGGAGTGGCGACAACGGCTTCTCATACGGTGATTGACCGATGTGTATGGTTTTTCAATGGGTCAACGCCTGGTGGGGGATTTCCTAAATATGCTTATTTCTCACTGATTCGGGTCCTCGGGACATAGGTTATCCGACTGAAGGGATATTCTTGCCATTCATGTCCTATTTGCGCATTCTCGAAATCGACATCAACCCACATTCCGCAACCATGTCTGACTTTGCTGTCTTGTCCTTTGTGATGCGTTCTCTTTGTGCCAGTCTCACATCCCCTGCTACACTTGAACATCTCAAGCTCAACATCAAGTTTGAAGGCTATGATAACAACTTCCAACACTACCCATTTTACGACGATTTACGTGACGATGATGTTTGGGGCCTCCTAGACTCCATTGTAACACATCCGACTGGTTCACGGTTACAAAGAGTCAACATCGACATCATATATTGCTTTTGTTATGACGCCGATGGGTCAAACCCCGACAACGATGATATCTTGGAAGCTGTCCTTGACAGCTTACCTCTACTTCACGAGAAAGGCATTTTGTTCCTCAAAGCTAATCCAGAGTGGTGAATCAGCTAAGCCCCCACCAACTCAGTGATGTGGAGTTGTACCTTGCAAGCCAAACTGACCTCATCAAAGCAGGATTTGGTTATGGATAACTCAGTTACTAAATAGGCCTTTACTATGCACATACGCAACAGAATTCCTGCAAACAGTGAATATTTTCCTTTGTACCGTTCCAAGTAGCTGAGAAATAAGAAAAGAGAGATACAGCATAGTTTACAACAGGATGCAGAAATAGGAGGGTAGTAAATTACGAAAGGATCAGAGAACGACACAGCAACCAAGAGACCCTTCTTCATGCTGGTCTTTTGTGTTTCCTCCTGTCGGTCCATTGCCGTTACCAACAATCGCTGTTTGCTGCTCCTATGCAAAGAAACCAGACTGAATTAGATAAGGAGGAGATGATGAGAAAGCACCCACCTTTTTATACTTGCGAATGTCCCGAACGAGATGATTGAAAGCCTCGTCGACATTGATCCGTTGCTTGGCCGACGTTTCGATAAATTTGCACCCAAAATGCTTCGCTAGATCACGACCCTCTGCGAATCACTTGAGCATCTGTGGAACGGGATACGAAGAAAACAATAGACCATCCATGCCAACCTGTCGTTCATATTCCAAGTCGCATTTATTCGCCACGATGATGACAGGGAATGAATCTTGGTCCTTCACTCGAAGAATTTGTTGATAGAAAGTCCTAATTTCCTCAAAGGAGTTGCGAGACGTGATGGAGTACACGAGAAGAAACCCCTCGCCAATTTTTATGAATAGGTCTCGAAAGGCACTGTAGGACAATGAAGCTAGTGAGTGACGCGTTCCAAAAATTGTTGAATGATGAAAAGGGCTCATGATTAGTGAATTAGCAATAACATTGCGAAACACGATGAAGTGAAGTGAAAGAATTTACAGGGAGCCACCAAGAAAACTAACACCTCAAATCCTCCCCCACCAGGGGCTTCCTCAACTTCAAGCAGGGCAATTTCATCGTCGATAATGCATTGTTTTCGGTACGTTTCTATGCAACGGGGTAAGTGTCTGAAGGATAGATCTCGGGATGGTCTCGCCCACCCACAATCGCGGGTTCGTATTCTGCTACAAAGGCAGCTTGAATAAACTGGATAGTCAAAGCTGACTTCCCAACACCTAGCACAGAGTTGAATGAGCGTTTCGCATAGATTTTTGCTTCAATACGGACTAACGTCTTCCCCCAACAACAACTAGCTTGTGCTCCCTCAGAAACCGTGCCTTTGCCTATGAAAATGAGTGCCAGAAACACGGCGAGAAGTACAACGGAAACTTACTCTGCCAGCCATATGAGCAGGAGGGATGGATCAAGAACTTAGTGAAGAAGAACTCAAGAAGAACTTCGAACAACATCTGGAACAGCGTTTTGGCCGGGTAATTTCGTTGTAATTATGTAGTCGTACATAAGTTCTTGAATTTATCTAGAGCTACCTAGGTGTAGTAGTCTTGGGTAGACCTGTAGCTACCTGTAGATTCATACTCGCCATAGAATATCAGGCTTGGCGGATGATTTGTACCTTGAATGATGCGAATGGCGTTATCCAGTGACAAAAACAGGCTGTGGGACACTGATGGCTGACCGCGCTTCTCCGCGCTTTTTACAATCGAGGCATTCTCCAAGTCCTTTTACCTTCTTCTCTCCTTCACAAACACTCAAAGGTCAGCCGTTGATAGGCCTTGCCCCCAATCACCATGCACATTCCCACTGGTAAGCTCCACTATGCATGCAACACCACCTGTATAATGCTAACGTGGACAGTCTATGGACAGCAAGCAGGTCCTTAGTCGTTTGCTCCCCACATTCCCTCTGGTGAGCCAACCAACACCTTGTTGCATAAACCTTACTAATGGCACATTAGGTACAGTAGTTTCTATGGACCAACAAAACCACGGCAGTAAGCTTCACCATTTCTTCTGTTTGTTGAGTGTGTGCTAACGTGTTTACACTCAACAGCGTTGCTATCACAGTTTGGTTCAAGTTTCAGTAGGGCATCACAACTATTTGCGCGATGCTGGGGAATGTCAACGATCACACGGTGCTGGGGTGCCATCTTTTTGACTGCACATCAACGTCATCCCCTGCTCCTTCCAGTGTGCAGTGGCCGACACACTTTGGATGTTTATATGGATACTTGTAGTCTACATTTACGTTGGCATGTACAGTAGCACTGCTGCAATATATTTTTCGGCATTTTTGGCCTGACACTGGAAAGCTCCTTGATCATGTGATAGATCAGATGTGAATCGCTGTTGAGATTTGGTTGATCGGTAGGCCGCGTAGAGCCTGGTAGACCGGCTAGGAACTGTCTACCCGAACTACCGTAAAAAGGCGAAATTACAGTGCTTTACATAGGAGGAGGCTATCAACGGGCCTACCGATCACTATACGTCTACATAGGTCTATGTAGACAATGTTCTGTTTCCAGATGAATGTGTGAGGCACGTGTCCATTATTGGCCGATGGTTTGCCACAGAATCAATGTCCTCCCAACAGTGAATATTTTCATTCCAAGTAACCGAGAAATAAGGAAAAAAGATGGGAGAGAGATACAACATTGCGTTTACAACAGAATGCGGCGACAAAAAGAAAAAAGAGTGTTGTGAATTGCAAAAGGATCAGAGAACGACACAGCCCGCGCCGCAACTGGGAGACCCTCATTCTTTTGTATATCCTCCTGTCGGACCACCGCCGTTGCCAGCAACGGCGGGACGACCTGTTTGCAGCTCCTATGCAAAGAAACGAACCTGAGTTAAATCAGCAGGATATGAGGAGAAAGCACCCACCTTTTTGTACTTGCGAATGTCCCGAACAAGATGATGGAAAGCCTCGTCGACATTAATCCGTTGCTTGGCTGACGTTTCAATGAATTTGCACCCAAAGTGCTTCGCTAGATCACGACCCTCTGCAAATCACTTGAGCATCTGTGGAATGGGATACGAAGAAAACAATAGACCATCCACACCGACCTGTCGTTCATACTCCAGATCAAATTTATTCGCAATGACGATGACAGGGAATGAATCTTGGTCCTTCACTCGAAGAATTTGTTTATGGAAAGTTCTGATTTCCTCGAAAGAGTTGCGAGAGGTTATGGAGTACACGAGAAGGAAACCCTCGCCGGTTCTTATAAAGTACTCCCGGAAAGCACTGTGGGACAATTAAGCTGGTGAGTGAAGTGTTTCGATATTTCTTGAATAAACAAAAGGGCTCATTATTCGTGAATCAGCAATGACATTGCGAAACGGGATGAAGAGACGTGAAAGAATTTACGGGAAAAGACCAACACGTGCCCATATTCTTCCTGACTAGGAGTTTCTAGAATGTCAAGCAAGGCAATTTCATCGTCGATAACACATTGTTTTCAGTACGTGTCTATGCAACGGGGTAAGTGTCTGAAGGATAAATCTCGGGATGGTCTCACCCTCAATCGTGGGGTCGTACCCATTTTCTGCAAAGTAGCCTTGATTAAACTGAATAGTCAGAGCTGACTTCCCGACACCTAGCACGGAGCTGAGTGAATGTTTCGGATAGTATTCTGCTTGAATGTAGACTAACTTCTTCCCCCAGCAACAGTTAGCTGGTACTCCCTCAGAAACCGTGCCTGTGCCTACCAAGATCAGTACCAGAAACACGGCGAGAAGTACAACGGAGACTTACTGTGCCAGCCATATGAGTGGGTGGGATTAATCAAGAAAGAGCATGGTTCTGACAGGGCCAGTCGAGAAATGTGTGATGGCACGTGACTGTTATTGGTTTCGACATAGATTGTTTGCCAATGTTTGCCCAACTTGATAATGACGAGCAAGCATTTGCGCCTAGTGTTGCCGTCAAAGCGAAGTGAGTTTGAGGTCACTTTGATTCGATTCGGAAATGACACCACTTCGAGGCAGTTCGAGCTATCGAAGTGAGTCGAAGTCAATTCGTGATGGCCATCAAAAACCGCCAGAAATGGAAGGTTGCCGCACGTGAGGTGAGTTTAGTGTCGCGTCCTCCATCGCGTCTCCTACCTACCTCTTTCCCCTCCCTCCATCCTTACTTTCCACTTCCCATCAAATAATCGTACCACATGACTACGTATATTCCTGAATTATAGGCACAATTTTTTTAAATTTCTAAACCATATGATCTTTTTTCTCCTTCCCAATGAATATAAAAGCGGCACATAGTTGCAAATGCAATATAGCTGTCCAATCCCTCATTTTCATCCATTATGGATTTACCAGCTTTGTATTCCTCAGGCTGGGAGGCACCTAGTCATGTTCATATGCCTCTTTCTACTCATTCCCGCCACCCATCTTGGAACAGTCACTCGCTGCTGGAGCTAGACCCCTTTGTTCAAAACCCACTTCAAGCCAACAAATCCTATCCCACTAACAACTTGTTTTCATCGTCCTCAGACCATCAGACTTCTACACCAATCTATTATAACACTTTCCATGGCCAATATTCTAATCCCCACCCATTTAATGGAATCCCGATGCATAAGCTTTTTTCATCCCACAGCATACATGACACCCTCTTTGCTACCCCTACAAAATACTCGTTTGACTGTTCTTAATGCTCCAGAGCCCACTTCTTCCACCGCTCGTGCTCAAAACAAGTGTTCTGCACCAACAAACTCTGGCACAGCCGCGCGTGCGTGCAAGAAGCGCAAGACGAATATGATGACCCCGCTCATGAACTGATACAGAACTCAGAAGATGACAGTACTTCGGATATATAGCACTTTTGATTGTGTTCTGTAGTCTAGATACTTGTGTGGCTGAGGCTTGAGGATCCAGTGATCTGATTGGCTGATCAACTTCCAGTGATGTCTGACTTCGCTTCGATTTGATTCGACAGCATGAAGTAAGTTGAAGTCAGCACACTTCCCCACTTCGATTTGATTTGATTCACTTCGCGGCAACACTATTTGTGCCATTTCCTTCATTAATGCTCTCTGTCCCCAATGATACTTGTATATCAGATTTGTTCCCTCTCCTGACATGCAAATATCCATCTCTACCATCGTCACTTCAATCGTCCCTGTCGTTCTCTACACATGCAGGCCATGTCCCTCCGCCATCCACACTCATCCACTCCCTCAACCCCACCTCAAATCTTGTCACCCTTCACCTTACTCCCTCTCTTCTTGGCAGAAAGGGAGGCTTTGGGAGTCAGTTGTGTGCTGCTGGTGGGCGGATGAGCAGTCAGAAGACCAGCAACAATGACTTGTGTAGGGATCTTACAGGAAGAAGGCTGAGTACCATCAAAGAGGCCAAAAAGTGCGTCTTTTAGTATCATCATCTTTTTACGATCTCTAATTGTCGTTATAGGCTCGCAGAATACCTGGAAACAGAGCCAGAGTGCCTTGTAGCAAAGGCGGAAGCTCAGAGGGCCAAACTCGAAGCACTCGAGTGGAAGCTTGGCATTGAACCTTCCTCTTCCTCAAGCAAACTGGGAGATCCAAACACCCCTCCTCCAACACTGGTGGGAAAGAAATGTCATTTTGACGATACTGAGTATCTGGAACAGAGCAGGGAACTGTCTGAAGGGGTTATCGCAAGCATACATGTATCCGTGACATTCCACAATGTTTTATCACCTTCAGTAGGTCCTGGAGTCATTCTTAGTCTGACTCGAAAACCTTATCTTTGTATTTTGTGGAGTAACATCCGATGTAGCATGCTTCAAACAGCCGTCTCATTGCTGATGTCAAGATTGTTCATCTAAACTCCAGACGCTATGCAACCTTATGTCATTGAGATTGAGAAGTGCCTTGGTTATTAGCAAAAGAAAATGCGGCATACATAGGACAAGAAAAACTCAGGGGTGAGTAGCCTGACCTGGTCACGTCCCAGCTGCGCACATCAGAACCTTATCCTTCTCATCCGAACGATACAATTGAAGCAGGCATTTGATGCTCACAATAGCCTGGGTTCATACTTAGGAGAATAGAAACGACCTTAAATGACTTTCCCTGTGACCGAAACGAAGAAACACTAGAACAGTTCGTTTTTTGAACATTCATTTCAAGTATTTTGCAGTGCTGACAGGCTTTCAAGTCAATCATGCCTCGCTACTACACATGCATGCACCCTCTACCTCAACCATCCATCCCTTACACATGCTGTTAGGTCCACTTCTGCTCACGACAGGATCTACATCGAAGAAATACTGCGAGGAGCTGCCCAAGATCCACGAGCGGTGGTGGTGCGGGGGAAGTGGAGAAGACGATGATGTGGTATGCAGTGTCGCATGAAAAGGCTTGGATGTGTTCCATGGCATCAGCGAATGACGATGGACTTTGGTTAGTAAGTGGCAGAAGAGTTGGCTGGATGGGATGGAGATGCGAGAGTGAGCCGTTTTCGTGGCTGAGGCTATAAAAAAAAAATGGTCTAAAGAGTGCAGATACAGATTATTCTCCATCTGTTGAACCTACCCTACCCTAGTGTTTGGAAGTCCGGTCTCGTGACCGGAAAAAGACCGTAACCAGACCGGACCAAGACCGCAAAAGACCGGACCTGTGGTTACGGTCTTTTATTTTTGAGATGTAAAGACCGCAAAAAAACCGGTTAACGTGAACCGGTCTTTTGTAACCCCTTAAATACCCTTTAAAACGCACCCAAGAACGTACGATTTGGTAAAAAAACGAGAGAGATATGAATTAAAATGTAAATTACTTTTGGGAATAATAGATGTACCAGACTTATTTTATAGAAACACCAATTCCTAACGGGATTTGACGTTCTTGGGCTCGTTTTGAAGCTAATAGAGATGTTAATAAATTTACCGATTCACAATGTTAAAATATTGGCCTAAACACCGGTCATAAACCAGTTAAAACCGATGCAGACCGAAACCAGTCTATAGACTGCTGCGGTCTTTTTGCGGTCCAGTCTGGTCTTTTGACTTCTGGGGAAAAGGCAGACCGGTTACGGTTACGGTTAACGCCCCTGGGAATCAAAAAACTGGACCGAACCGGACTTTCAAACACTACCCTACCCGGACCCACTCCACCGCCTCCAGCGCCTTTGAGAGCGCCAAAGGAACACAAGCGGTCTGTTTGTCTGCAGCTGGCTGGCCCCGTTCCTACTTTGGAGGATCACAAGTCTTCATGGACACACTATCACTGTGGCATCTAGTTGCCAGCCTTGGCATGTATGGCTGGTTGTGCAATACAAAGGACAAACGCAACTGGATGCAGATATTCTGCGAAAACATTGAGCCTCAATACATCTCGTTGCTCCTCTGTAGATTCCACCAAACTGACTCTGGGTGTCAAATCAGGTAGAAGGTGGTACAAAAACGTCTCCAAAAACAACAGCTTTTGCCTGCTTTGTCGTTGGAAGGTCGACTCAATATTTTGGACCCACTCGGTGTTGTTCTGCTATGACTTGTTCCAAAACGAGCGAATCACATCCAAGTTGCCTCCTGGGCTGTTTGATTGTTTAACATAAAAATCAATCGCTCGTTGTGCAAGACTCGCCACTAACCAAAGTCATGAGGATACTCTCCCCTCCAGCACGAGAGAAGACCCTCATAGTTCGCGCCACCACACCGAAGGCATCCAGCCGGCGTAGGAAGGCAATCTTCAGAGCCTCGGAAGCCGAACTGGGAACTATGCTGCTCCTCTTTTCACATTTGGTGAATGGGTCCTTCGTTGAGGACCAAGTACAGAGCTTGGTGTGTATGGTGGCTTTTTTTTCCCTTTTTCTGTCGCTCATTGATACAATGCCCCCAAAGATATAGAACTTCGGCTGGCTATGGGGGCTTATTAATTTATCAATAAGTGACTGTTTGTTATCTTTTCCTTGCTTTCTTGACATTTCACTGGTCATTTGAGCCGAGGCACACACCCTCCGTCCAACTACTCTTCTTGGTGCCTGACCAAACCTCTTTGTACTTTCATCTTCTTTCCCTTTGCGGCCTACTTTTGAAGAACACAGTATAGCAAGATGCTTAGGGACACGTGGTGGCCGAGAATCCACGAGGCATGTGCTTGATAAAATCAGTATCTTGAGCACTATTGACAAACATCCATCTTGTCTACCATTAGTCTTGGATGAAGATACCCTCAACCCAACTGTGCACCCTCGGGTGCAATCATCTTCAAACCACCAACTCCTGTATCCCTCTGCGACCATGCCGTTTAGTCTTCAATTAACTATCCCAGGTTCACATGCAACAGAGTGGGCTTGCGAAGCCGAATCGACGCCAAACCACGACCGTGAGCATGGTGAAGGAGACAACACTGTCAACAGTGAGCGGGAAACTGACTCATACATCACTTGCAGATCGTTTGTGGATCACATGATAAAACTGAGTCAAGGATGAGACACAGCAGCGTTCATCTTCATTGCTTCAACTTTCACCTTCTCCGTCCTGCAATGTCTGTCGAGAAGTTGACACTAACGTGCCTTGTCTGGCCTGATGACAAGCCGGACGAACACATTGTCGAGGTTGAGATAGATAACAACCGGACCATCGCCTTTCTCAAGGACATAATCAAAGACAAGCATACCTATGGTCTCACTTACGTCGATTCCCGCAATCTTGTCCTCTGGAAGTGCTCCGGTCTTCCTGATGATGATAACCTAGAACAAACCTTGAAAACTCTTCAGTTTGATGGTTCTGATGTTCGCCTTGTTCGCCTCGCCTCTGCCCACCGAATAATTTCTCAATATTTCGGAGATCAAGACCTATCCAAGGAACCCATCCACATTCTTGTGGAGTTACCTGCATTTGGTGAGTGTGGTACCTGCATCTGCTGTTGTTGTCAAATGCCCCACTAATGTCGTTCTCTTGTCCACTTTTACAACTTACCTCAACCGCACACTAATAATGCCGCGGTCTACTCACCCTATTTTTCACTTGCCCTCGTCCCCCTCATTTCGTGATTGTCCTTCGACAATTCGTCTTATTGCTACCCATCTCATAACCTCCCGTTGCCGCCGTCATCTTGATCATTTTTCTGCAACTTTTCTATCTTTCGACAGAGTCCCCACCTCGCAAACAGCTTCGTTTCACATTGCTGTCTCTTGACCCACCAGGTAAGTATTATTCATAACCACCATTTTGCCCAGACTTATGTGAACCTTAGCGAACGCAGTGGAGCAAAGTCATACAGTTTCAGCCATATACCAAAAGTTGATTGCACATTGCTTCATTCAGGTATCACCGTGATGTTGATTCTACACTGTTCTCTGACCGTTTGTAGGTTCGCGGAACACCCGGAAGTGGTAAGTCAACCCTTGCAAAGCTGCTAGGTCGTCACATTCATGTGCAAGAACCCAATGTGCATGTTATTTGGATTTGTGGGTGGAATCTTGATGATGTGGTGGAGTGTGGGGGATGGTATTCTTACCTCAACAAGCAAAAGGGTTGGATCCCAGATGAGGAGATGGTGTTCATCTTTGATGAAGCACAGGTGTCGTACAAGGATGGGGAACTCTGGAACGATTTGTTCAAGTGTATACACGACTACCCTGAGCGTCGTGCCTTGCCTTTGCAAGTTATGGCAGTCCATCTCCGTTCATTGGCATACAAGGCACTTCAATTTTTATTGCATCTGAAGCAAGGATCAGTTTACTTCCCACTGCCGATGAGGGCAATCTCTCAGCTGCGGGTCTCCTTTTCACTCATGCAGAGTTTGATGAGCTGGTTTCCAAGCACTATCCAGATTCAGAGTATCACTTCCATCCATCCTTCCTTGAGATGGTCTTCAAGATTACTGATGGACATGTGGGAGCAATGTATTCCTTCTTCCATATTATTCTTGGATCTGACGTAATGTACTTTCTTGTTAATGAGAAGTTGAAACTGATTTCATCTTCTAGCAATATCGCGAGCTCAAACACTCTGGACAATGTTACACTTTGGAGCTGTTTCAGAAAACAGGCAGTCCAGTTTGGTTCTTGCAACAATTTGAAAGTGCAGCTGCTGGTGTATTCAGGAGAGGACTGCTTCCAGACGATGCTCTCAGGGTGCTGGCTGTTGCTTGTGTATTTTTTGCTGTCCTTTGTATGGGTTCTATGCAAGATACCAACTTCACTACTGAGGACAATACCAGGGCGCTCCAGCTATGTTTCAGTGAAGGTTGGCTTCACACTGACTACATCGACAACAAAACTGAGTACTTTTTCCCATCGACATTTCATCGCTGGTACGTAGAATGGAAGCTGTGGGACATCTTGGATACAACCTTCCATGCAGACAAGATCCTAGACTTTGTGATCAATGTCATTTCTATATTCTCTCCACAAATGCTTTCAACAAAGCGGAGAGTAACCACTGCTGGTCATGTTCAACATTCACCTCAAGCTCAATATCAAAATGAATTTTACCGTTGCTGTCACACTCATTCCAATGGCTCACTTATACTGTTCCCTGAATTTGGTACAACAAAAGGGCAGGTTGATTTTTACATCCCTGCTAAACAATGGGGGGTGACACTACTGCAAGATGGCGACCAGCTTGTGCAACATTCCGGGCAATTTTCATCGCAACCTGGATTGTATGGAACCACTCTTCCTTTGATAGACTACATCATCCTCGATTGTTGTACAACCACACCCAGATTACCTCACCCAGGTAGGATTATTTACTCACATCTATTGTCATCTCATATACTCAACTTTGCCTTTACGCCTCATCAGATCTTCAAAAATTGTTCCATATTGTGTTTAATGATGGATTCAGTCAAGTTAAGATTCTAGACAATGAGCTGAAGGAAGTGCCCCGTGGAGAATTCATGCTCTTGGCAATGTCACTGTGATATTATGTACCTAAGTTAGTTCTGCTTGCTTGCTTTGTGATGAAGAAGAGGGAAAGGGATATTTAGACCTGAGAGGGAAAATAATGACATCACAGAGAATGAGCAAGCTCAATTGAAGAAAGAACCTTATGACTCGATACAGGTCCTAGATTCTCACTCTCATCATTTTCATTAGCCAGATCCACCAGGGCACCCAATGAGAGAGACATGATGTGGCTTTGCTAAAATTTAGCCCATGCCTATAATTATAAACATTGGTTATCTCTGGCCTGCACAGTTCCATCAGACCCCCCATCTCTGGTTCTCTTCAACAGGCTTCTTACAGTTTATTTTGGTTTGGGATGACCTGGGACGACTGTATCCATGCATCTCCTTGGACTTTACATTCTTTTGCTGATGCCTTCCATAAGCTTTGATTGATAATTCCAAGCCTAGTGAATATTATGTCTTTCATTCCTTTTATTCCAACTCAGCTTGCAGGAGTACTGTACCAGTTTGATGGGGACTCGGAGTTCAGGTCACACATCACAAATAATTTTGAACTGAACACAAACTTGAAACTGAACACTTATTACAACATAACTATGCTACTTTCGAGTTGAATCAACGAACCTCTTCATCTCCTTCACAAGAATGCATCCCAAGTCTGAATGATTATTTGATGCTGTGCCTCCAGCTTCTTGCCAGCTTCCAGGAAGTCTGTCTTTTCTGATGACGAAAAAGAGACTGCAGAATCACCTGCATCCAAGGGGGCCCCAGGATTTGAATGCCAAGCAGGGGGTTAGGGGGGGGGGGGGGTCTTTGACAGCTTAAAAAATTTACTAAGGGTAGATGAAATTTCTATTTTTAGCACCCCTGGAAATGGTCTGATGTGTCGAGCTCATCGAGGCTGATGTTGAGCTTCATTCGAAGACCTCAGTACACTGTATTAGTCAAAAAAAATGGAATCTACTGTTCATCTTGCTGCAATACCGCGATGGCAAAGGCAAAGGTATGGATATCTATTGCTGAACGTTGAAACTAATGGACTAGACAACTTGTAAAGGATAAGATAAAATACAATATCAACACAACTGCACACTGCACTGAGTGTGGTGAAGATATCAATGTAAGGACTGCAGGGCCCACTGGCCTCAGTCAGCATACTGGTAAAAGCAAATGCCAGAAGAACATCAAGAACAGGAAGAAACAAGAGAAACAAGGCAAGACACAAACACTGTTCAACGTTGGGGTAAAGAAAGGAAAGGACATACTGCAAGGGCCAGTGATGCCGGATGTCTCATCGTCAACACGAAAAGCGCTGGCCACTCCATTACCCATCATTGTTCATCCATCCAAAGCGCCAGGTTCCAGTAATGCTTCATGGCTGGAAAGTCTTGGGACGAAAGAGTGTCGGGGGTGTTTTCTGGGCCGGGAACTGATTGACCAACTCTGGCAAGCTTCCAAAAGGATCAACTTGAACATACCAATTGCAAGAGAAGGCGATGAGATATCAATGTACGCAGGAAGAGGCAATGCAGAAGGACACTGCATGGGCGTCAACAATGACAAGGTCTGGGAGGTAATCAACCCAGGCCTGGACAGACTCCTTGGTTTTGGAAGACCTAGAAACAAGATCCAGTCAATCATCCGGTGTGGACCTAACGGAGTTGAAGGCTTTTGTGACTATCTTGAATATCTCATTGTGGATAGTGTTTGGAAGTCTGGTCTCGTGACTGGAAAAAGACTGTAACCAAACCGGACCAAGACTGCAAAAGACCGGACCTGCGGTTACGGTCTTTTATTTTTGAGATGTAAAGACCACAAAAAAAACCGGTTAACGTGAACCGGTCTTGACCAGTTTGGACCGGTCTTTTGTAGCCCCTTAAATACCCTTTAAAACACACCCAAGAACGTACGATTTGGTAAAAAAACGAGAGAGATATGAATTAAAATGTAAATTATTTTTGGGAATAATAAATGTACCAGACTTATTTTATAGAAGCACCAATTCCTAACGGAATTTGACGTTCTTGGGCTCCTTTTGAAGCTAATAGAGATGTTAATAAATTTACCGATTCATAATTTTAAAATATTAGCCTAAAGACCGGTCATAAACCGGTTAAAACCGATGCAGACCGAAACCGGTCTATAGACTGCAAAAAGACTGCAGACTGCAGTTTTTTGCGGTCCGGTCTGGTCTTTTGACTTCTGGAGAAAAGGCAGACCGGTTACGGTTATGGTTAATGCCCCTGGGCATCAAAAAACCAGACCGAACTGGACTTTCAAACACTAATTGTGGAGAAGGGGCTGAAAGGTGGTTTGATTGAAGGGAAGGTCTCTGCATTGATAGACACGATAGGAACTGAGTGAGCGCATCTTCAACCTCTGTGAAAGAAACAGTACTGATATCATTAATGACCAGCACAGAGGTGAACACACAAACCACAAGCACAGAGAACCCGCCACGGCCTGCAAGAAGGATCGTTGTTCATCACTATTGATGTTGACTCACTGCCAGATTCAGGATCTTCGAACAAAATACTGGCTGCTTCAATGGTGGCAACTATGTCAAAACCCTGCATTGGAATACAGCTCACCTTTCCACCAGGCATGAGTCCATACTCTTCATACCCATTCATGCTCCACAACACATTCTCCCTCCCTTGGGATATCCACATTTTGAGTCACTGTATGTGGATTCAGGCGATAGGCTGCAAAAAGTCCCCATGCCATGATCAGGAGGCATGTTGCCCATGTTGGCATCTGCTCCACAATAACATCGTTGAAGGAATCCTTGAGAGAATAATACAAGGTGTCCACAAAAACACACCGCTGGCATATCAACCTATTGGCAGACTTATTGAGTTGGTGAGACATAAAAACGACAGCCTAGAAGTATAGTGGATGTCATTTCCTGACATCCACTCTCAGTGATCTGGTCATCCCTCCAGGTCAAGCAGTCATGAATGGAGGTGTGGGTTGTGAACATGCTGAATGTGCCCGTGTTTGCTGGCCTTGGAGCAAGTGGATGTGGTGGCATGACATGGCAAGGTAGGACTTGAAAGTTTCCACAGCATTCTGTGACATGTGAATAAATCAGCTCATATTCTATTTTTCCAACAGTCTCCCTCAAACAGTGCACTACCAGTCTACCATATATCCTCCTATGCACAGAAACTCTCCTCCTTGAGTCCTTCCTTTCATGTGAACTACACATGCTTCCAACACCAAGGCTATGTCTTGTCCATCAGCCACAGATACCACTGAACCTATCGAAAAACACACTCAGCAGGGTTTACTCAGAAGCATCGCACCATTGAACAATGGGCCAGAGTTCACTGTTGAAGTTGCACCAAGGGCCAAGGGAAGGGGTTGCCAACAAACAATTGTTCCCTCACTCAAGAGTACTGACGGCAACGACAAAGAGGAGCTACCGCTGACCAATGCCACTCTGAGGAAATATGGCAGGAAGCCTGTCAATGAGACTCAGTCAGAAGTTGAAGATGCTCCAGTGAAACAAGCCAAATCTGCAGCGCAAATCATTGACGACCTCCCCGCAAAACCCAAAAAAGGCCACCCTCGCAAACAACCTCAAGAGATCACCCAACGCGCTCCACTACCTGACCATTCAGGACGAAACGTGCATCCTGCTGTTCTGCCAACCACTCACTGGACCTCCAAGGAGGTTGCTGCTGAACGTGAAGCCCAGCGACAGGCACTTGAGGCAAAGATTTGTGAGGGCAAACAAGCGAAACTCTTGTTTGCCCAAATGAATGTAGCCAAAGAGTACCTGGATGACAAAATGAGAGTGGAGAATCCCCAGTGCCTCTCTGCAGCACTTTGTAAACGTGGGCATGATGATTTTGATGCAAGTGACAATGGGGAACACTTTGACTTTGCTGCCATCAATGAAGCCCCATCTTCAGAGGCAGAAGATTCTGAACCTGTTGAACAGCCAAAGGTGAGTAGTGCAAACTTGAAGAAATTATACAAATGGAAAGGGGCCATGGAGCAATCACTGTTCATTACCTGGTGAAATTGCTCTCTGGGACTTTGATAGAATTGTGTTGACTCATGCTGAGATGGGGAAATAACAGAAGTATTAGATTGCAGGGGGATGAGGGCACATACAAAAAACCTGAAAGACCAATGATAACACTAAGCACCCACAGCCTCCAGAGCAACAGCAGCAGGAGCGGTACTCTTTGGTGGTGCAACGTCTACTGCTGGTTCTACCTTGTTCACAGTTTCAGGTGACTTATTGTTGGGATGCCCAAGCTTTGCTTTCTTCTTCTTCTTGAGCAACGCCGCTGTCACAACAAGCTTCAAGACGTTGAGTCCTTGCTAAAACCAATCGCACGCCATGTATCTTCCAGATAATTATGGGTAAGACATCAAGAACCAACAGCACACGACGGCTCACCTTCCAAGACAGACCTGAACCAAATTTGAACATTGATGAAAGTGAGAGTCGTGGTACTAAGCGACATCACCCAGCACACAGAGGGAAACCTAAAGAAATGCAAGGCTAACATAGGCGATCATGGCAAGGAAACTCTTCCTCCTCCTTTTCCTTTTCCTTAGGCACATATTGATACAAATGCAAATCCATAGAGTCTGTCGAAAATTGGAGCACAAATCAATTTATGCTGATCAAATAAAGAAACACGCACATTCGCTGTAGCCTTGAGACGCAGACTTGGCTATCAAATGATGAAACTATTGGCAAGTCTATCGCCAGTAACGATTGGGGGCGATGGGGATCCTCATCGCTCAGAGGGATGTCACAGGTTTGCCACGGAATAGCAGTCCTAGTCATTGGTTAAACAAACCAATTAGCATGTCATATGGCGAGATACAAGGCACACCGTGGATAAATTGGGAGCGTGCCTTCCTGGATCTATGGCTTGACAATGATTCATCCTGAAGGCCAGGTGCAACCAGTTGCGAGATATTGGAAGAAATTCTGAGGCTCCAACTCCTCGTGCGAGCGCGGACAACAACAAGGAGAAGCTCAGATGGTGGTGGTGGGAAACTGAGGATGAGTACTGAGTACCAGTGAGTGATGGCGGAACCTGATTCGAGTGCAGTCACTGTTTGTAGAGCGTACAACATGATAGAGATTTTGAAGGTCTGATGAGAAGTAAAGGCAAAGTATATGAGATGACGATAGATGTGAAAAAATGATCCTACCTGGGTGAGGTAATCTGGGTGTGGTTGTATGACAGTCAAGGATGATGTAGTCTATCAGGGGAAGAGTGGTTCCATATGATCCAGTTTCTGATGAAAACCGCCCGGAATGTTGCGCAAGCTTGTCGCCATCTCGCAATAGTTCCACACCCCATTTTTTAGCAGGAATGTAAAAGTCGACGCACCCTTTCGGTGTACCAAATTCGGGAAAAGTGATGAGCGAGCCATTGGAATGAGTGTGACAGCAACGGTAAAATTTGTCCTGGCACTGAGCTTCAGGAGGACATTGAACTTGACCAGTGACGGTTAGTGTGCATTTTGTCGAAAGAATTCTTTTAGAAAATTTGGAAATGACGTCGATCACAAAGTCTAGGATCGTGTCTGCTTGGAGGGTTGTATCGCAGATGCCCCACAGCTTCCATTCTACATACCAGCGATGAAGTGGTGACAGGAAAAAGCAAAGGGTGTTGTTGTTGATGTTGTCAGCGTGAAGACAACCATTGCTCAAACATAGCTGGAGCGCACTGCTAGTGTCCTCAGTAGTAAAGTCGGTATCCTGCACGAAACACACACAAAGAACGGCAGAAAAGACACAAGCAACAGCTGGCACCCTGAGAGCATCATCTAGTGGCAGTCCCCTCCTGAATACGCCAGCCGCAGCACTTTTGAACTGTCACAAAAACCAGATCAAGTTTACCCTTTTGTCAAATAGCTCCGAGGTAAACAATTGTCCAGAGTTTTTGAGTTTGCGATATTGCTAGAAGATGAAATCAGTTTCCACTTCTCGTTAATAAGAAATTACATTATGTCAGATCCAAGAATAATATGGAAGAAGGAATACATTGCTCTCATGTGTCCTTCAGTAATCTCGAAGACCATCTCAAGGAAGGAACGATGAAAATGATACTGTGAGTCTGGATAGTGCTTTGAAACCAGCTCATCAAACTCTGCATGAGTAAAAAGGAGACCCACAGCTGGGAGATTGTCCTCGGTGGTGGGATGTAAACCAATCCTCGCCTCAGGTGCGACGAAAATTGGAGAGCCTTGCATCTTAATAATCGAAGATGGACTGCCATAACCTGCAAAGACAATGGCGCGACGCTCAGGGTAGTCGTGTATGCACTTGAACAAATCGTTCCAGAGTTCCTGATCCTTGTACGACACCTGTGCTTCGTCAAAAATAAACACTGTCTCCTCATCTGGAATCCAACCCTTCTGCTTGTTGAGGTAAGAATACCATCCCCCACACTCTGCCACAGCATCGTAATTCCACCCAGAAATCCAAATAACATGCACATTGGGTTCTTCCACACAAATATATTGACCTAATAGCTTTGTGAGGGTTGACTTACCACTTCCGGGTGTCCCGCGAACCTGCAAAAAGTCAGAAAACAGCATAGAATATTCAACATCACAGTAATACCTGAATGAAGTGATCTCGGGATAATCTTTGATAGATGGCTGTAACTGTATGACTTCGCTCCACTGCGTTCGCTAAGATTCACGTAAGTATGGGGAAAATGATGGTTATGAAGAATACTTACACAGGGTGTCAAGAGACAGCAATGTGAAACGAAGCCGCTTGCAAGGTGGGGACTCTGTCGAAAGGTAGAGCAGTCAAAGGTATGAGATGGGTGGCAATAAGACAAGTTGTCCAAGTGGCAATCGGGAACACGGCAAAATGAGGGGGATGAGGGCAAGTGAAAAAAGGCGAGGAGAAGGTGGCATTATTAGTGTGCGGTTGAGGTAAGTTGTAAAAGAGGACAAGAGAACAACATTAGCGGGGCATTTGACAACAACAGCAGATGTGTATACTACACTCACCAAGTGCAGGTAACTCCACAAGAATGTGGATGGGTTCCTTGGATAAGCCTTGATCTCCGAAATATTGAGAAATTATTCGGTGGGTGGAGGCAAGGCAAACGAGGCAAACATCAGAACCATCAAATCAAAGAGTTTCTAAGGTTGATTGCAGTTTATCATCTTCAGGAAGACCAGAGCACTTCCAGAGGACAAGATTGCAGGAATCGACATGAGCGAGATCATGAGTATGCTTCTCTTTGATTACATCTTTGAGAAAGGCGATGGTCCGGTCGTTAGCTATCTTGACCTCGATGATGTGTTCGGCTGGCATGTCATCGGGCCAGACAAGGCACATTAGTCTCCACTTCTCGACAAATATGGCAGAACGGAGAGAGGCTGAACGTTCAAGCTGCAATAGGAAATCCAACGATGGAACACAGATGATTTGGGAGCAATTAGGAGTCCTCGCTAGAGGCTGACACTTACCAGCAGAACTGCTTTTCATCCCCACTTGACACACGTGATGTGTTGGTAATTGCCCACCTTCCCTATGTATTTACACTGGTCTTTTGTGTTTCCTCCGGTTGGTCCACCGCTGTTACCAGCGATCACGGGACGACCTGTTTGCTGCTCCTATGCAAAGAAACAGGCCTGAGTTAGATAAGAGGAAGCATCTGTGGAATGGGGTACGAGGAAAACAATAGACTGTCCATGCCAACCTGTCGTTCATATTCCTAGTCGCATTTATGCGCAACGACAATGCCGGGGAATGAATCTTGGTCATTCATTCAAAGAATTTGTTGATAGAAAGTCCTAATTTCCTAAACAAGTTGCGAGAGGTGATGGAGTACACAAGAAGGAACCCCTCCCCACTTCTTATGTAGTGCTGCCGGGAGGCGCTGTGGGACAATTAAGCTGGTGAGTGAAGTGTTCCGAAAATTGTTCAATAATAAAAAAGGTCCATTATGAGGGATGAAGGGACGTGAAAGAATTTACGAAAAAAGACCAACACGTGCCCATATTCTCCCTGACTAGGAGTTTCCAGAACATCAAGCAAAGCAATTTCATTGTCGATAACACATTGTTTTCAGTATGCGTCTAAGCGATGGGTTAAGTGTCTGAAGGATAAATCTCAGGATGGCCTCACCCTCAATTATGGGGTCATAGCCATCTGCAAAGTAGCCTTGATTAAACTGAATAGTCAAAGCTGACTTCCCGACACCTAGCACAGCTGAGTGAGAATTTCGCATAGTTTTCTGCCTCCAGCAACAGTTAGCTGGTACTCCCTCAGAAACCATGCCTGTGCCTACAGAGATGAGTGCCAGAAACACGGTGAGAAGTACAATACGGAGACTTACCATATGAGTGGGCAGGATGGATCAAGAAAGAGCATGGTTCTGACATAGACCAGTGACCGTTCTGTATATGAGAAGTAGCTGTGATATACAGACTGGTAAATCTGAGTTTAAATCCACATACCACGCAGCTCCCATGCCTCTTTCCATAAAAGGTTCGATGATTTCTGACCTCCCCTAAACACGCACGCAAAATCTTCATGCATCGCGCAATGCACACTGTGTTTCCACTGAATTTATGATCTCCATTTCGTGACATCGACGTGTTTTCTCATGGACCACACGTCTGTATCATTTAACACCAACAAGGCACTTCAAGAATTTGAAAATTTGCCTGTCGCACTTCTCAAACCTGCATTTGATGTTCTTACTGCATGTTTACGGGATTTTTTGTCGGTGGCAGACACCAATATATCAGCTGCGCTTCTGGGATGTCATAGCAGAAAGATGATTATGCATTGGAAGCAACGGCCAGAGAGAAAAGCAAATCGTAGACCGGATAGATTTGGCGTGGTCTGGACCGGATTGTTTAGGGGAGGTCAAAAATTACGAACCTTTTATGGCAACTGGCGTGGGACCCACGTGGTACAGGGATTAAACTCAGACGTACCAGCCTGTATATCGAAGTTCTCATATACATGCTGGTCATGAGCCTAGTTCTGACAGTGCCAGTACTACTATATCTGTGGGGGTGGGCAATTCCGCTGTAGCATTTGGGAGCGTGACGTAACGCACTGTGACTGATTTCCCCCAAAACAGTGACCCAATGTCACACGTGCATCACAAATGGCCTCAACTCAGGCTGTTCGCCATAAACAAAGTTCTGAGCAGTGCTACAAAAAAAAAATACATATGAATGTAATTCTACAACATTTGGAAGTAAATTTTCTAATTTAGGTGAGTCAGAATCAGCATTCAACAGAAGATAACATGTAAATACCATATATTCCTCAATTTCATGGTCACCCTCATTCCTGGTGTGTAGTGCATGTCTCTCTGGAACAAAAATTGTCAAAACTTCTTGGGATACTATGATATGAATTTAAGAACTGATTCTAGGCTTTGTTGATGTAGATATAAGCTGCTTTGGCACCTCTTGTTGTTGCTGCTTAGCAAAGAATAGACTATGCAAGAGCAACCACTCACCCCCAGGTTATTATTCAACAACGAAAGATGATCAGAAAAAAGATTCAAACAAAATGTTCTTGATAGATTTTTTATATCTGTCCTGGAAGTGTGCAATATCGCATTTTTTGGATGGGTTTAGTGCAAAGGCAATGTGATTTTAAAATTCTGGCCTGAACATTTTGTGCCTATAATCACATATATCAACTGTCAATAATGAAAGTTTACACAGAAATGAGTTGTTGAAGGGGGAACCAAGGTACCAGAATGGGGGGCCTCTTCAGCACCATTTGGCAAGGAGTTTTCTCATTCCACAACTATAAGTAAATAATAATACATGGCTACTTGAAGGATTTATAGATTTTCTATCCAAATCACGTTCCTGCATGTCGTTCAATGGAACAGAGATGGATTGCAGTGATGGCGCGACTGGGTCAGTGTTTCGCGACGGCATCACGTGACATGTGTGATGTGACATGATTGTCACTCAGCAGGAATTGCCCACCCCCAATATCTGGTCACATCTGGAAACAGAACATTGTCTACATAGACCTATGTAGACGTATAGTGATCGGTAGGCCCGTTGATAGCCTCCTCCTATGTAAAGCACTGTAATTTCGCCTTTTTACGGTAGTTCGGGTAGACAGTTCCTAGCCGGTCTACCAGGCTCTACGCGGCCTACCGATCAACCAAATCTCAACAGCGATTCACATCTGATCTATCACATGATCAAGGAGCTTTCCAGTGTCAGGCCAAAAATGCCGAAAAATATATTGCAGCAGTGCTACTGTACATGCCAACGTAAATGTAGACTACAAGTATCCATATAAACATCCAAAGTGTGTCGGCCACTGCACACTGGAAGGAGCAGGGGATGACGTTGATGTGCAGTCAAAAAGATGGCACCCCAGCACCGTGTGATCGTTGACATTCCCCAGCATCGCGCAAATAGTTGTGATGCCCTACTGAAACTTGAACCAAACTGTGATAGCAACGCTGTTGAGTGTAAACACGTTAGCACACACTCAACAAACAGAAGAAATGGTGAAGCTTACTGCCGTGGTTTTGTTGGTCCATAGAAACTACTGTACCTAATGTGCCATTAGTAAGGTTTATGCAACAAGGTGTTGGTTGGCTCACCAGAGGGAATGTGGGGAGCAAACGACTAAGGACCTGCTTGCTGTCCATAGACTGTCCACGTTAGCATTATACAGGTGGTGTTGCATGCATAGTGGAGCTTACCAGTGGGAATGTGCATGGTGATTGGGGGCAAGGCCTATCAACGGCTGACCTTTGAGTGTTTGTGAAGGAGAGAAGAAGGTAAAAGGACTTGGAGAATGCCTCGATTGTAAAAAGCGCGGAGAAGCGCGGTCAGCCATCAGTGTCCCACAGCCTGTTTTTGTCACTGGATAACGCCATTCGCATCATTCAAGGTACAAATCATCCGCCAAGCCTGATATTCTATGGCGAGTATGAATCTACAGGTAGCTACAGGTCTACCCAAGACTACTACACCTAGGTAGCTCTAGATAAATTCAAGAACTTATGTACGACTACATAATTACAACGAAATTACCCGGCCAAAACGCTGTTCCAGATGCAGGATATGCGGATTCTTGACTTTTTCGTTGATCTAGCTTCAACATCATATCGTGCAGCCTGGAAAACTTACATGAGTCTATTAGATACAATGTTACATGCTCCCAAAAATTTTGACAATTTTTGGAAGATGTGTTGTAGCCTCAGAGCGTTGCCAACGTGAGGAGGCAAAAAAACAAGATATGCAAAGGTATGTCACAACCATGTCACTGAGGGATTTTGGTCAATGTGACAGTCTCCCAAGCACAAGCACTTTGTCCTCAAAATCAATTCTGATGACTTCCGCTGGTCCTACTTGCCTGAAATTTTGAAGGTGTGCTTGGTGTTGGTATTAGACAGTATCTATGGAAAAAAATTAGGAGTAAGCCTAGCACAGCAGGTGTTCCTGGCAGCCAAAGCTTCATACACCTATCCAAAATCTCACTCTCTGGCTTATCACACTTCGTACGCTCCATGAATCCTGTCAGAACTCTGCAAGCAGTATTTAATACACTAGCTCAACATGGGTGAATTTTCTTCAAAGAGCAGGAGTAAGGGAAGGACACGAAAAGTGAAATCCGCATATCTTGATACCACGCATATCCTGACCATATATAGTAGTGGCAGTTGAGATATGTGCGATGCACGTGACTATCATCTGTCTTGACTCTTTATGTGCCAATGTTTGCTCAACTTGATAATGACGAGCATCCTCATCCAAACCTTTGCACCATTTCCTTCATTAACGCTCTCCGTCCCCAATGACACTTGTATATCAGACTTATTCCCTCTCCTGACCTCCAGATATTCATCTCTCCCATCGTCACTTCAATCGTCCCTCTCTTTCTCTACACACGCCGGCCATGTCCCTCCTCCATCCACACTCGTCCACTCCCTCAACCCCACCTCAGATCTCGTTACTCTTCGCCTTACTCCTTCCCTTCTTGGCGGAAAGGGTGGCTTTGGGAGTCAGTTGCGTGCTGCTGGTGGGCGGATGAGCAGTCAGAAGACCAGCAACAATGACTCGTGTAGGGATCTTACAGGAAGAAGGCTGAGTACCATCAAAGAGGCCAAAAAGTGCGTCTTTTCATTATCATCGTCTTTTTCCAATCCTGAATTGTCGTTATAGGCTCGCCGAATACCTAGAAACAGAGCCAGAGCGCCTCGCAGCAAAGGCGGAAGCTCAAAGGGCTAAACTCGAAGCACTCGAGCGGAAACTTGGCATCGAACCTTCCTCTTCCTCAAGCAAACCGGGAGATCCAAATGCTCCTCCTCCAACCCTGGCCGGAAAGAAGCATCGTTTTGACGATACCGAGTATTTGGAACAGAGCAGGGAACTGTCTGAAGGCGTGAAGAATGCTGTGACAGCTGCGCTGCTCAAGAAGAAGAAGAAAGCAAAGCTTGCGCATCCCAACGACAAGTCACCGGAAGTTGTGAACAAGGTAGAAACAGCAGTAGACGTTGCGCCTTCAAAGAGTACCGCTCCTGCTGCTGTTGCTCTGGAGGCTGTGGGTGCTTAGTGTTATCATTGGTTGTTCAGGTTTTTTTGTTGTATGTATCCTCATCCCCCTGCAATCTAATACTTCTGTTATTTCCCCATCTCAGTGCATGAGTCAACACGATTCTATTTAAGTCCCAGGCTAGAGAGCAATTTCAGCAGCTAATGAACATCGATCGCTCCATGGCCCCTTTCCATTTACTCCTCTATATAATCCTCCTCACCCCTCCAGTTCTCGTCAACACATCTTTCTTCTCTTCCACTACCATCTACCACTCATGTCTACTCTCCTTCTAGCATACCCACCAGCCATGCCGTCTCACGGCTCCAATTCTCAATCTCTCTCCACGTCCTCATCCGTCTCTTCATCCTCATCTGCCTCCTCCCTGTTCGATGATATCTCTAGGAACTCCAGTGCCGACCTCAGCGACTACACGCCTTTCCACTCTCCCTTCGCGTCACACACTCCGATGTTTGAGGAGCAGGTCTCCTCTCATCACCACAACACTCTGGAGCCATATGCGCTTCACCTGGACGAGTCCAAGGACGTCATCGACATCTTACGCGAGAGGCTCCTCAAGGCTCAACCGTCTTCTGCCGTTGAACGTGCGCTCAAGGTTATGGCAAGTCGCTCGTGTACGCCTACGGTCTCAAATAAATTGGTGCCCCCTATCGTGGTTATATCGTCGCCTCAGGAATCCACTGAAGACTGGTCGGAGGACTTTATTTTGGATGATAGTGTGCGTGTTTGTCGAATGTTCTTCTTTCCTTTATCTCATTGACATTCAGATACAGATTAATAATGATACTGGGGCATATCACAAAGGATCTCCTGTTGAGCTCATGGACGTCGATCATCATCATCTGAGTGTCCCCTCTTCATCATCAACTTCATCGCTCAAGGAGCAAACCCCACTTTCCTTCGACGCCGTGTATGACCTCGCAATGTCTCGAGTGATGACGAGGTCTGTGAGTGGTCTTGGTATCGTTTTTGATCAGTTGGAGTCTTCTTGTCTTTCGCCGGAAGCTTCTTACCCTGTGCCTCTGTCTTCTTTTCTTGATCTTGAGCCTTCTTCTCCTGAGCTTGGTTCGTCCTCCCCCTCTAATCCTGATTTAACAATGGTCGACGCTGCGGACCTGGACCTCCTCGTTTCGCCTTTCGATCTCGCAACTCCTATGTTATCTGCCAACGCGCCAGTCCATGTCAACCAACCTCGTTCCTTCGATGTTACTGTTCATGAAGATGCGCCACAAGAACAAATACGCAAAAAGTCCTCCAAATGCGGCTCATACAGATCACTCCTTTCCCGTGGGCCTATGCCAATGTCGGAGTTCCTGAACGCCTGTTCTCGCCTATCTGCTACTTCCCCCTCAACCGAACTATCAGTCTCTGTACCCTCTACCCAGATCGCGTCTACCGTCGTTCGCCCTCGTCTAGCTCCTACTGTTCTTCAAGATATTATTTCTCCTATCGTCGCTTTGCCAACTCCTCGCTTCGCACCTATGCAACACCCTATGATTACTGCAACTATGCAACACCCTATGATTACCCAAGTCGAAACTGCCGACATCGCCCAGTCTGATATGACCCCGACTAACAAAAGATTAACTACCCAAGAAGCTGATAAGCTCTGTTCTCGCATTCAAGCGTTACAGCAATCTCAACAACAACAACAAGACTCTCCACGCGCTGCCTCTCTCTTTTCCTCTCCTACTTTGAACTCGGACTCGCCTCTGTCCTCTGCGCTATCTGGGGGGGGCGAAGCTTCGCCCGTTCCTGAATTCGTATATAATACTCAACCGCATCCTACTTTCGAACTCACTCTACCTCTTCAAGGTCCCTCCAGCTTCCAGGAAGTCTCTGTCTGGTCTGACGACGAAGATGATGATGAGATTGAGGAATCATCCACTCTACCCCTTCAAGGTCCCTCCAGCTTCCGGGAAGTTTCTGTCTGGTCTGACGACGAAGATGAAGATGAGGTTGTAGAATCATCTGACGACACACTCACTCCCCTTTCTGAAGAAGCAGAAGAAGAAGAAGAGTCTCCGACACCGATTACCTTTGTGACACTCTCTAGATTCCCAAGGCGCCGTCTTTACAATATTGTCGAGGTGGACACGCCACCGCCATCGCCTCCCGTCGTCCACTCTCGTGTATCACTCTCAGCTATTCGTCGACCCCTCGCTTGCTCGAACGTGTCGAAGAAGAGCAAATCTTTGCAGCCACTCGTTTCTCACGTTAATGCTCCTGGCCATTCTGCCGGCTATACCCCTTCGCCAGTCAGCAATGGATTCTGAACAATCTCAAGTATAGTCAAGACCTTCGACGTCTTTGAACACCCACACTCTTTTTTGTTTTGTTTTCGATATACCCCCTTCGCCAGTCACCAATGGATACTATAGTCAAGACCCTCGACGTCTTTGGACCCCACACACACTTTCTTGTTTTCGACTATTGCTTTGAATATACCCTCAGCGCTCGACGGCTTTGAACTCGACTCTCGTTTGTTTTTGTTTCGGCTCTTGCTTTGATCATACATATACCCCACTGTATCGTCGTCGTTTTTGGACTTTTCTATGCTTCCTCGCTTGTATTGATAGGGACCTATGCATATGAATAATATTTTTTGAAACCCAATTGAAAAAATGTTGCATGCGCTGCTACCTTGTGCGCAGAAGCGTTTTTATCCTGGAGCAAGGCTGATTAGAGGCTGACTTGTTATCTCCATAACTCAACCTTACACCTTCCAATCGTCCACATTATTACGATACTTACACGTCTGACCTGATCACGGCGACCGTTCCCTCTACGTGTATGGAGAGAACTTAACTTAGTTGAAAGGCTAGTCATGATCATTCATAGTTTCGTTTAATAGCACGTAGCTGGTAGGCAGGTTCCGTTATTTTACATATTGCCGTTGAGGTCTTTTCGGATTCTTCATAGTGATGTAGAGCCACCGTAACCCAATGAAAACACAATTTTCCGTGGCCAAGCGCTGAGTCGAAAGAGATAAGGCTTCAAACTGGTTGATAATCTTTGTAATCTAGGTTCCCGGTTTGAGTAGGGTGTGCGTCATTTGAATTCGATCGTCGATGCATCTGAACGTCGCTATGCCATTGACACTGATTCGCTGGAGGAGAAGTGTTAACGAGGCAGCAAGATAGTTGAAGCAGACTTGCCTGATGGACCTTTCCGCTTCGCAAAAGAGGCAGCCAAGCGCATGAATAGAGCCCATCCCGTGGAGAACGTGGCCAATGTCGCAACCAACACTGATATGAAAAGTTGGCCCGGTGTCTTCTGTTGTTGGAATCGGCATGGATACACCACTTGAATGTTTGCTGGTCCAGACACAGTCACAGGCAAATACTTCTGTGTCTCTGGGTCAGGGGTTGTCCACTCCTGGTAAAGCCCCGAGACCAACGCATCCCCACCCTGGTTTAGTGGCGTGGCGGGAAACTTGGACACGATTATATTATCCGTTACGTTTGGGTGGAGAATAAAATTGTTTGGGCTGGGGTTTCCGAATTCCACCCGAATGATAGCGTAGACAGTTTGCAACAGATTAGAGATGGGGAGCTTAGTATCATCATCCAAGACAGTGATGGGCGGAGCGGTGTTTCGGAAATAAGAAAGGTTGGTCATGACAATAGCAGCAGAGGAGATGGTGAAGTTGGGGGTTGCTAGACCACATGCCGCAGAAGAACCAAGTGACATGGGACAAGGTGTGATGTCTGCTTGTACGGATATGGCAACAGCGCTTGTGTAATTGGAAGTTTGGAGGGCGTTAAAACCTCTTCCTCCGAGATCCTGTGTTGCTGCCTGAAGTCTAGCCACACATCTGTCGGTTAAATCAAGCGAAACTAGGCAGTAAGCATACATACAGTGCGTGGAAAACGACAGGACGCATATCACTCCCTTCAGCCAAGTTCACCATTCCCAACAGAGGCAAGTTGCTCCCTGGTAAAATCGCACTAATAAAAGAGGTTTTTGCGCTGATCGTATAAAGGTTCTCGCGTTGACATTGCATCACCACGGTAATAGCGACCGACCATGTCCGAAGATCTGCATCCATGTAAATGGACGAGACATCGCAGTCGTTCAGCGTCTCGCCTTTATAAGAAATGCCAGAATTGCCTGCATTAGCTCTAACGATAGATTGAAAGGTCCACTCAAAGAGGGTGTAATTTGTTGTGAATGGATCTCCGGCGTTGAAGATGTGTGGATCACAAAGCGTTCCAGGCCTGGGGACGCGATACGGCATATATTTGTTGTACCAGAGTGATTGGGTAGCATTGAAGTCGCTTTGGAAGACAGTGATGGTTTCATATCCAGTCAAGGCCACTGTAAGGCGTTGTCAAAAGGCGACAGCATTCATACATTTCGGAGACTTTACCATATATGGTGGATAGAAACACCAAGGCGATGAATGCACCCGCGAAGGACAGTGGAGTAAACCATCGCCATTTCTGTGGGAAAGGCCGAGTGATGGGATAGTCCAAACCCATTGTGTTGGAGAATACTTTGAGGTGCAAGGCGAACGTAAGTCGTCAGCAAGTTGCCACTTTTATTCTGCCCGCTAGCCTCTTCATTGGGGAGCTATACTGCTAACTGACTCCACAAGAGCGCCTAAATAAGTCGGCTGATCATAGATAGTTGTTTTCAGTGATTATTTGAGTCCGTACCTTCACAAGACCCAAATGTTTTCGTGTAGCGCGCATCGTTTGAGTTTGCAAAATTTTGATGGATTTGAGATATCTGGCGTGCAGCTAAGTTGGAGGCACAGTCTCAAATAATTATTCAGATTTGCGATGGAGATGCATGGAGATGAAGAGGTTTGGAAGAGGTGGTACTTAGCAAAGTTATTTGTAATGTAAGTAGCGGATGCTTTGACAAACAGCGATATCACCGGGAGCGTCTACCATCAGCGCTACAGTAGACGCTCGCGGATGTGGTTCACATCTTGTCCCCCATCTTTGCAAAAATAAAATACCCATCCCCTGGACACTTTAAACTCCTCTCTGGCCTCTTCAGAATGTCCACAAAGACCATTGCGATCCTCGACGAAGATGTCACAGCCAATCCCGCATGGGATACTTATACATCTGACCTTATCATGACCGTTCCCTCTATCTAGATGTATGGGAACAAGAAGTTATTTGAAAGGATGGTCATGATCATTTAGTTTCGTTCAATACCATGTATTTAGTACGTAGGTTCCGTTATTGCCGTTAAGGTCCTTTCGAATTCTTCATAGCAACGTAGAGCCACCATAACCCAATGAAAACAATCCGTCGTGGTTAAGCGCGGAGTCGAAAGAGACAAGGCCTCAAACTGATTGATAATCTTTGTAATATGTGTCCCCAGTTTGAGTAGGGTGTCCCTCATTTGAATTCGATCGTTGATGCATCTGAACGTCGCTATGCCCTTCACATTGATTCGCTGGAGGGGAATAAGTGTTAACGAGGCAGTAAGATAGTCGACAAACCAGACTTGCCTGATGGACCTTTCCGCTTCGCAAAATAGACAGCCAAGACCATGAATACAGCCCATCCCGAGGAGAACATGCTCAATGTCGCTACCAACACTGATATGAAAAGTTGGCCCGGTGTCTTCTGTTGTTGGAATCGGCATGGGTACACTACTTGGATATTTGCTGGTCCAGTCACATTCACAGGCAAATACTTCTTCAATTCTGAGTCAGGGTTTGTCCACTCCTGGTAAAGCCCCGAGACCAACGCATCCCCACCCTGGTTTAGTGGCGTGGCGGGAAACTTGGACACAATTGTACTATTCGTTACGTTTGGGTGGAGAATGAAGTTGTTTGGGCTGGGGTTTCCGAGTTCCACCCGAATGATGGCGTGGACAGTTTGCAACAAGTTAGAGATGGGGAGCTTGATATCACCATCCAAGACAGTGATGGGATCGGGAGCGGTGTCTTGGAAAAAAGTAAGGTTGGACATGACAACAGCAGCAGAGGCGATGGTGAAGTTGGGGGTTGCTAGACCACATGCCGCAGACGAACCAAGTGACATGGGACAAGGTGTGATATCTGCCTGGACGGATACGGCGACAGGGCTTGTGTAATTGGAAGTTAGGAGGGCGTTAAAAGTTCTTCCTCCGAGATCTAATGTTGCTGTCTGGAGCCTGATGACACATCCAACAGTTATTTAAGTCAAGCAAAACTAGGCAGTCAGCATACGTACAGTGCATCGAAAACGGCAGGACGCATATCACTCCCCTCAGCCAACTTAACCATTCCCAACAGAGGCGAGTGCCTCCCTGGCAGGACCGCAATAGTAAAAGATGTTTTTGCCCCGATGTTGTAAAGGTTCTCGTGTTGACATTGCACTATCACGGTAAAGGCAACCGACCATGTCCGAAGATCTCCATCAACGTAGATGGACGATACATCGCAGTCGTTCAGTGTGGCGCCTTTATAAGAAATGCCAGAATTGCCTGCATTGGCTCTAGTGATAGATTCGATGGTCCACTCAAAGAAGGTGTAATTTGTTGTGAATGGATCTCCGATGTTGAAGACGTGCGGATCGCAAAGTGTTCCAGGGGTGGGGACGCGATACGGCATATACTTGTTGTACCAGAATGATTGGGTAGCATTGAAGTCGCTTTCGAAGACAGTGACCGTTTCATATCCAGTCAAAGCCACTATAACGAGTTGTCAACCAACAGCCCTCATACATTTCGCAGACTTTACCATTTATGGTGCATAGAAACACCAAAGCAATGAATGCGCCCACGAAGGACAGTGGAGTAAACCATCGCCATCCCTGTGGAAAAGGCCGAGTGATGGAATAGTCCAAACCCATTGTTTTGAAGAATACTTCGAGGGTGGTGGATGCAAGTCGTCAGCAAGCTGCCACTTTTATTTTGCCCGCTGTCTTTCTTTTCTGGCCGCCAGGTTCAGGGACAAACATATTCTCTTGGTGCCTCCGATGTCAATGCCAAGCCCACCGATGCAGGTCACCGGAAGCGATTGCGAGATGAGCGGCGCCGGCGTTCTGCATAGGTGCACCTCATGTCCCAAGCATTTGCAATAAGGCGGCTGGGTGCCTTTGAGGGGCCTGCTTATGACCCCTTGCTCATCCCCATTTGCTCCCTGAACCAATCTTTGAGGGCCAGTGCATCCAATGCGCTGACCAGGCAATGCATACCCGCTACCTCGCGCAGACTAAATTTCGCGTTCGCGACACGATTGTTCAGAATGAGGGGGAGAGGCTGCGTGTCTACATGATGAAAATCCAGGTAACGCAAGGCTGCGGCAACTAAGCTTGAATCCGACGCGATGGTGTCAAGTACTCACCGCGAGCCCCCTCCAGAAAGGTTCGTATTGAAGCCATTTCACCATCAAAGACAAGTACGCCTGGTTTCCCTGCCTAAATAAGTGAGCTTAACAGACAGTCGTTTTCAGTGATTACTTTGTATCATGTACCTTCACAAGACCAGAAATGTTTGCGTGTAGCGCGCATCGTTTGAGTTTGCGAAATTTCGAAGGATTTGAAATATCTGGCATGTAACTAAGTTGAGGGCACAGCATCAAATAACTATTCGGACTTGCGATGCATTCTTGCGATGGAGATGAAGAGGTTCGTTGAAGGTATCATTGTTATTTGTGCGTGTATGTAGTGCCCTGAATTTGATGCTTCGACAAACAGCGATATCACTCTCGATGACGCACAACTTGAGATGCTGGGAATAACGGCTGGCTGATTGGCTCACGCTGGATGCGCATCCGGTTCACGTCTTATCGCACCTCCATCTTTGCACAGTTGAAATACCCATCTCCTGTTCACCTTGTACTCTCATTTGGCCTGCGCAGAATGTCCACCAAGACTATTGCGGTTCTCGACGAAGACCAGTTGCACGATGGTCAGATGTAAGGCTAGAGCATTTGGCCGTAATTCAAGGAACTTAGATGGCCCCTCAGGCAAGAGGTTGCATTCGGGGAAGGAAGGATTCTTTTGTCTCGCTTAGGCGACAAGATCCATGCGACAAGCGCTTTCTGTACGCACTACGGGGCGCCACTAGCCAAGGGTGTCCTGGCCTCTGATGGCCGAGTTGTATGGCAAGTGGACTACATTTGAATTGTAAATGTGTTTGGTTCACAATGACTCTACAGTCCCTGGCATGGAGGTCCGTCTAATGGTGTTCATTGTTGAACCAACTGATGCCTTTTCAGCGTGCTTCAACGTATGCACTGGTGATATCGGTCAGTGCTTGACAAGCTGCGCGAAAGTCTTATGCTCACAGCTGAGGTTTTATATTTTACAGAGGATGCTCCTGCTCCCATGGCCCTCCACTCTTTCAAGACGCGCGTTATCGATGGTAAAATCCATGTCACAGCCAATCCCGCCAATACTCTAAAGAACAATTTGGCGCGCCAACCGACACTGCTTGCCACTAGTTTCGACAGCCCGGGAAAGGGGACCGTAATTGTTGGCGGTGGATCCGGTGCCTTCCACGCGGTCGAAAGCCTGAGAGAGGTAGGTGTTTGACACAGCTTAGTTCACACAACGATGCAACGAACTCTGGTCTATTTATAGCATGGATATGCAGAACCAATTACCATTCTTACAAAAGAAACGCACACACCCATAGATAGGTTGGTAATGAAACTCTGCAATTGGCTGACAACAAAATGACTGCGAGACTAGAACCAAGCTCAGCAAAGCCCTAATCACTGATCCCACAAAAATCGAGTGGAGAACGGCGGCCGATCTCAAGATTAAATATGGGACAAACATTCGTTTCGGGGTCGTGAGTGTTTCTTATCACTAATTTTGATTTTTGAAGCTGAATCCAAGTTTGATAGGAAGTTACCGGCGTCGATTTTGAGAAAAAGGCGGTGATCCTAGACGACGGGAAGGATACCATACTCTTCGATAAGTTGGTTTTGGCTACTGGCGGAACTCCTCGACGACTTCCCATTGAAGGGGCCGAGCTGGAGAATGTCTATACCTTCAGAGGAATTTCAGATTCGAAAAAAGTGGATGCTGGTAAGAGAGGTCCTATTAACCACCTCATTGGAATTTATCGTATTTTTCTTCAAGCTGCCAAGGAAGGAAAGCGATTGGTGGTCATCGGGAGCTCTTTTATTAGTATGGAGCTAGTTGTTGCCGTGGCAAAGAAGAAACTCGCGTCTATCGACGTCATTGGAAGGGGAGAGTTCCCCTACGAAACTATTCTTGGCAAGGAAATTGGGGCGGGTTTAAAACAGGCTAGTTCTACTGATTTCTTCCGTGCGTTTCACTAATACACTTGCAAATACGCAGTATCATGAATCCCAAGGAGTTAAATTCCACATGTCAGCTAATGTGGAAAAAATCATCCCACGTGAGGATAATCCCAAGCTTGCCGGGGCTGTTGTGGTCAATGGGGAGTCCATTCCTGCGGACTTCGTTATTATGGGTGTTGGGGTTTCTCCGGCGACGGCGTTCTTAAAAGACAGTGGTCTCGAATTGGAGCGAGATGGTGGAATCCAAGTGGACAAGTATCTGAGGGTGACCAAAGGGCCAAACACGAACGATGTTTATGCGATCGGTGAGCGCTATGAAGCACACCGTACATGGCGCTGACTCTCAAAAGGTGATATTGCTCATTATCCTCAGGTCAACGGCACTCATACGAGAATCGAGCACTGGAATGTACGTCCTTGTTTGATTATTTCCGTACATTCTCAACATTCATTCCAATTAGGTCGCTGGAAATCAAGGCCGCGCTGTTGGAAAGACGATCGCTGGAAACCCGCAGCCATTTGTGAAGATTCCGATATTTTGGAGTGCTCGTGCGTTTACCGGTATCTTGGCACTTTAATTTGCATGCTAATTCTTCGTTTAAAGAGGGTCAACAGCTGCGCTACTGCGGCATAGGTCACCAATATGAAGACATCATCATCAAAGGCGACCCCAAGGAGATGAAGGTTGGACAAGCGTTCTATATTCTTCTCGATCCTCATAGTACTCTGACAGTTCGTGGCGTATTACATCAAAAATGGGAGTGTAATCGCCGTTGCAAGGTAATTACTATAAACTGTCCTACTTCTACGATTGACACTCCTTGGGGTATCAGCATGCAGAATGACCCGGTTATCAGCAAGGCCTCGGAGCTCCTCAGGCTAGGCCTCATGCCCTCCCCAAAGGAGATCAGAGCTGGGAAGGTATGACAATCCCAATTGCTGCAAATTCTGTACTCAAGTGGTTGCAGGATCTCCTCTCCATCAATATTAGCACAGCCAGCACACTCAAGAAGGTCGAATTGTGAGGAAAATATCAGGAAGTAGAAGTGAATGTATCAATAGTTTCTTGTATGTAAATGCGGCTGAGTCATGTGCAAATTCTGTGACGCACAATGCGTTCTGACCATTCTTTGACCACACCTTCAAAATTGATTACCTGCTGACTCTTCTCTTCATCAACCGAGGCGTTCAGAGCAAGGATTGATGATGTCTTCTCCCAAAAAGCCAACCTGGACGGGCAAGGCGAAAGCTACAGAAAGAGATTTCAATGATCTCAATCCAATCATCACCTATCGCCACCTCTTTGCGCAGAATCTTGGCGTAAGAGACCCATTACGCGTTATAGCGCTTTGCGACAGCGACGCGTTTTATGCCGCATGCGAGATGGTGCGGCTTGAGGTCGACAAAGAGACTCCACTCGTCGTTCTTCAGTGGGAGGCTCTGATTGCAGTAAATTATGCAGCACGGAAATTCGGAATATCAAGGATGGACAAGCTAAAGGACGCGCTAGAGCGGTGTCCTCATTTGAAGGTCGTCCATGTCGCAACTTACAAGGAGGGCGAGAAGGAACCAGGATACTGGGATAACGTCGATACGAATACACATAAGGTTCGTAACATTATGCCTTGCATGGGAGTACGTTCAATCTAATAGCTTGAAAGGTGTCGTTGGACTATTACCGGAGAGAAAGCGTGAAAATTTCTAAACTGTTCAAGGAATTGTTGGTTGAATGCGAAGTCGGTGAGGAACTTTATTTGACATCGATCTTCACCTCCTTTTCAAATACCCCAGCGTAGAAAAAGCCTCCATTGACGAGGCTTTCTTTGATTTCTCCAAACCCGTGCGGGAGATTTTACTCCAACGATATCCATACCTGGCCACGGTTCCGCCAAACGCTCCTGACGGAGTTGATACCCCCCTTCCACCCCCACCGCCTATCCATTGGGACGATCTTGGCTGGGTCATTCCTATCAATCCGCCCCCTCCAAGTGAACAGGTCGAAGAAGAAAACAAGGGTCAAGAGAATGACATAGATCAGGAGAAGGACAAGGTCCAGGAGGATGTGTCCTCGTCCTGGAAAGATGAGGAATCGATACCGACGTGGCATGACGTAGCTCTGTCAATTGCAGCGGAGCTTATGGGGAGCGCGAGAGCGCAAGTCTTGCAGAAATTGGGATATAGCACCTCTGCAGTAAGTTCTGTTTCCGCGCTTTTTCGTATGTTCCAGCTTTGACTGAACCATATTACAGGGTATCGCGAGAAACAAATTCTTGGCAAAAGTTTGTTTGTTTACGAGGATTGGCTTTTCAATGCTCACCCTTTCGTAGCTCACCGCGTCGTACAAGAAGCCCAACAGCCAGGCAGGTGTCGTTATCTCCTGTGTTGTGCAAAAACCTCATCGTCTCTTCCTGATCTAGAGTATTTTGCGGAATGCAGCGATACCTAATTACTTGAAACCGATCGCTTTCCGAAAGGTGCGTCAGAGGCCTTTCTGCTGAAGTGATGATATTCGAGCCTATTTAAGATTCGCTTTCTTGGTGGCAAACTCGGAAAAGCTTTCGCCCAAGAGTATGATGCTTCCACCGTTAGTGATCTTTTGTAAGTCTGCAGCACTCGATTTGGATGTTTGCCAACACCTCTTTGTTTAGGTCAATTGATTTGGGTGCGTTTCATTACGCACTGGAGCTTCCGGGACACTGAGCACCATTAGACGACATGCAAAATAAGTTTGGCGAGGAATCAATTTGGGTATATGAGGTTCTTCGGTGCGTTGCAGAGCTGCCGAGCATGCTTATCGTTAACCCGGTGTTATAGCGGTATTGACAGAGCAGAAGTTAAGGATAAAGGATCTGTTCTCAATAAGAGCATGCTTGCGTCAAAGAATCTTCCTAAACCAATCAAGAACGCTTCTGAGGGACACCACTGGATTCGAGTTCTCGCTGCTGAATTAGCTCTGCGGCTCAACGATGCTCGAAAGGAATCTCCGAATTTGTGGCCCAAGACTCTTGTACTTCATGCCCGTAAAGGTGAACCATAGCGAATTTGAACTTCGTGAGACATAATACTGACCTCATCACTTTCAAAGGGTATGAGGCTGGTCGTTCCAAGCAAGCGCCATTCCCTTTCACGCGTGAAATCACTGTAGACTATATTGCGACTCTTGGCGACAAGCTTTGGAAAGAACTTGTTGGCAACAATGTGGCTATGAATGTATCCAGTGTACAGCTGGCATTCACTGGAATAGATGTCACTGAGGTGGGTCAGCAAAGCATTGAGGGTTTTCTACAGAACAGCCGAGTGAATAAGCGGTCAAGGGAAGATGGCATCAATCCTGACCAGCATTTTCAATCTGACAACACAAGGGCTCCCGACGATCAATCAAACATACGTCCTTCATACACATGTCCACGATGTAGCAAGACATATCACCTCCCCGACGCTACGTCAGGTGTAGACTCGGATGTGGCTCTCAAAGCACTTAGGATGGAGCATGAAGACTTTCATTTCGCCCAAGATTTGACGAGAGAGTCTGACCAGGTTCCTATTGTCGTTGGTTCACCCAGGCCTCTGAACAAAAACAAGAAACAGCGAAAGGAACCAGTGGGAATCGAAAAGTTTTTCGGTCGAAAATAACACCCAATCAAGGCCAAAGTTCAAGCTCGATAAGGCATCGCGTGCCCTTGTTCCTCCTCTACATGTTCCTGTTATCCTCCTCGATCCCCACATGTGGTTTTGATGGTTGTCGTTGACGGTGTCAATCCTTGATCTTGTCAACCATCTATCGACATCATTGAAATGCTCTAAATAGCCCATGTCCAAATATCTGTAAACATCGGTTATCATTCGCAGCAACTCTCTTTCTATCCCTCTTGCCTGGTCGCTTCCCATCTTTCTTTCTCAGCGGGTTCTCTTTTCTTCAAGAGGCTTTTTACAATTGATTTTGGCGCGGGACGACCACATCGATACGCCTCCTTAGCTGTTAATCTTGGACTTGTCATTCTTTTGCCGATCGCCTTCCAAAACCTTCAAGCGACTTTTATGTCTTCAACATCTTTCGTTCCTTTTCCTTCAAGTCAGATTGCAGGCGCAGTAGTATGTCCAATCGTCTCTTTCCCAATGTCACGCTCACCTTTGAAGGTTGTCAATGTTTTCGCATTAGCCTGTACGTTAGGTCTGGTCTCTGTTGCTCTTAGGGTGATCTGGCTGGCCGTGCGACACATCTTTACTCGCAATACGACTGTACCGCAAGAATCTTTTTTTTTTCACACCCAACTGGGAAATTATGCAGCTTGTCTGCTCTTTGCCATGACATTCAACAGTCTTGCAGGGTTGATTGGTTTTCCTTGGCTGCTATTACAAGGGATTACGGAAGGTAAGCAATCAACCTTCATGTCTTCATACTGAGAATAATTCCGTAGGCAACATTTGCCGAGCCCAGGGTATGTTGATAATTATTCAATCTGGCAAACGGAATAATTGATTTCCTCCAGCCACCATTATGCAGATTGGAAATTGGGCCTCTGCTTATTTTACCGTGACTATCGCAGTACACACGTTTAGCTCTTTGGTCCTCAAGAAGCGACAATCCGTCATCATCTGTCGCACCACAATCATCATCGGTTGGACGATAGCCACAATGATAGGTATTTGGTTTTTTATATACCGATCCGTCAATTGGAATATCTAACTTCGGGCGTAGCAGCGGTGCCATTCGTTCTTCCTCACCCAGAAGGGCATATTTATGGCGAAGATGGATTTGCCTGCGGTATAAGAGATGTGTATCCCAAACATCAGTTTTTATTTCACCTGCTTCCCGTAGGTCTCTGTTGACTTCCCGGTATTTACCAGCTAATAGTATTCTAGATCTTCGTTGCTTCGTTTTTATCAGCTCTCCTATATTCCCTGATTTTTCTCGTCCTCCGGGGGACTCTGAGGATCAAAGGTGGTATCAAATTTATCCTCGACCCCAACGAGCGTCGGACTAGTGCTGAGGGCGAAAACTATCATCGTTTTATTGCTCGCGTCGCGCGAAGCATGATATGGTCCGTTACCCTGTCTGAAATCATTTTCACTTCGCTGACTGTCTTTTGTCTTCAGGTACCCAGTTGGTCAGTGCATTTCTTATCTAAACAAATCAAACTGTTCTGATCTTCGATCACAGCATATGTTGTCTTCCTAGTGCCGTACTCCGTAACGAGGTTGCTCGAAATTTCAGGCTTTGCCGTTCCATCACAGGCCATTGTCGTTGCCAGCACATGTTGGTTCAGCTTGGGTGAGTTTGATCTGCCAATGATACGTTACTTGAAGCTCACCGCGACGACAGGCATTGCGGATGTGGCTCTTCTCTACAATACATTTCGTGTGTTGGGTCCCGCTTTCAGTGCACACTCCAGTGCGTCGACTCGGAAAGACTTGGAAACTGTTGGTTCTTTTGTATCACCAGGATTTGACAAAGAGCGTTTCACTTGGGACCAGAAATCGGCTTTAGGGGAAAAGATAAATGAGTCCTGCTCCTTTGCCCCCCTCTCTCGATCCTCCACAGCGGACTCAATTCAGCATCTTCTCCCCGTGCTTCACGAACGCAACGCAAGCGCTCAAAGCTTTTACAGCTATTCCAACACTCCTTCGATCGGGAGTCCTATTACGCATGTTTTAGAACATCGCCCCGCGGTTGCCAGCTCTAAAAAAGCCACGCAGAAGTCTCCGACGAGTAGGGATTTGACAAACCGTGTCCACCAAGAATCGTTGGGACTTCCCATGCCTCCTCGCCCCACTCGTTCACCGGTGTCATCGGAACTTGATATGACCGAGCGGGGCCTGTTTAATATAGACCCTTCAATGGCCCGCCAGCTCATCACGCAGACTCCCCTTGTCACCCACTTCCACGGCTCCCAGCACGCAAAATCAACCTCTTGGCCGTCCGGGGACTGGGACACATCAAGTTTGTTGGATTCTTCCCCAATATCCTCAAATTCACCGTCTCAAGATGTGTACGGGAAGCCCATGCTTGGTGCCGTGGCTCTGTCGCCCCCTGCTCTACCGAACCGCTCTGTACCAAGGCGGCTCACGTTGAGAGCTAGCCGAAGCTTTCAAGTCACGCGCCCACCGATGCTCCAGACAATGCCCAACGTTTCGCCTGCGTCTGTCCGCTGGCAACGTCCCCTACTCCTCTCTCAACGCAATTCAGTGGATAGCTTCATGTATATTAACCCTCGTATGCCGCCAAATCCACCCAGGGCCTATCGGCCATAACATTCAATGTGCACCGAAAACGAACTTCTTCTGATACTAGCTTGCCAGCCAAATTTAACGCGTTGATTCGCATTTACTCCTGGCTTTTTAATAATTTATTTTCGTTTAGTTCTACACCCCGGACTCCAGGATACGTACAACGTGTCGCATGTAGGATTAGCACCTTTCGTTCATGATCATGTCGTGTATGAGATCCCATTCCAAGCACGACCAAACATTCGTATGAATTCCCCAACGTCACGATTGTAATTTGTGGTCCTTACTTGGTCCTTACTCGCTCGTTGCCACTATCAATCATCATGGCGTCGCACTGGTCGAATTATGTTAACCGGTCTGCTCAAACTGTGCGCGATGGCCTCTCAAAAAGTATGCTGGAGACCTCGAAACACATAATACCATCAATTGAGCATTCGTTTAGTGCTGCTCATGAAAGGCGCGGAAGCGCCTCCTCGTGACCCCAGGATATTGTTCTCATTTAACACCAAAGAAGATATTCGACAGTACGCGACGGGATGTGACGCGGACATTGGCGGCAACTCAACAGTGCATCTCGACTTGGACGAGAACCCACAACACAACAGCAGCATTGGAAAGGCTGCGACTGGCGTGTTTTGGGGAGAGATGCGGCTAGACGTGAAGCCCGGGATGGAGAAGAAGATCAGAGGTGGGTATGCTGGGTTTCGCAATATGGTGTGTTAAAACTATCTGCGAGTGCAAGCGAGTTCAATGAAGAGCTTTTGGCTTATTGCAGAACAGACCGACCATCTTTGGAAACATGATGGAAGACGTATCAAACCACCACTTTCTTGCTTTGCGTTTGCGCGTAGCTGGGGATCCGCGAACACATAATTCGTACTATGTGAACCTCCAAACTGACGGCCCTATTTCCACCGACCTATGGCAGCATAGACTCTTTTTCCGAAGGCGTGACAACACATGGGAAGATATCTTTGTGAGACCTATGATTAAAATCGCTGACTATGACCGCTGCTGAGTCTTTTCTCCAGATACCGTTTGACAACTTTGTACGCACCAACTCGGGCGAGATGTCCGAAAATCAAATTAAAATGTATCGGGAAAAAATTCGAAGTGTGGGTATATCGTTATTGGGCGGTAACAGTGCTGTTACGGGCAAATTTGAGCTGGGGATTGACACAATACGTGCGGTAAATGAAGAGGACCTTGGAGCGACAAGTGTTTCCCCGCATTCTCCCTGAATTCAAATTGTCCAGACGAGGGATCGGAAAAATTAGAATCGTAGTTCGAACATCGCATGTGTGATAAAACACTGACCATCCCCGTTGGAATGATACGCATACCTCACCCGAATTATAATTACTGTGCAAATGAATGTTGTAATACTTTCCTGCAACTTTCCTGTGACGCTTTGTTTCAATGCAAGAAAGAATTGTGAATGAATTGTCAAACGAATGGATTGTAACCTGATCTACTTATGTACATACACAACTTGCGAAATTCCCCCCAACAGTGAGTGTTTTCCTTTGAACCGTTCCAAGTAACTGAGAAATAAGAAATAAAAGATGAAGGAGAGATACAGCATAGGGTGGGTTTATAACAGGATGCGGTGACAAAAAAAAATAGGAGAGTAGAGAATTGCGAAAGGATTAGAGAACGACGCAGCCCGCGCAGCAACCAGGAGACCCTTCTTCATTCTCTTTTGGGTATCCTCCTGTCGATCCACTGCCGTTACCAGCAATTGCGGGACGACCTGTTTGCTGCTCCTATGAAAAGAGACGAGATCGAATTAGATAAAAGAGAAATGAGGTGGAGAAAGTACACACCTTGTTATACTTGCGAATTTCCCGAACGAGGTTACTGAAAGCCTCGTCGACATTGATCCGTTGCTTGGCCGATGTCTCGATAAATTTGCACCCAAAGTGCTTCGCCAGATCACGACCCTCTGCGAATCACTTGAGCATCTGTGGAACGGGATACGAAGAAAACAACAGACCATTCATGCCAACCTGTCGTTCATACTCCAAATCGCATTTATTCGCGACGACGATGACAGGGAACGAATCTTGGTCCTTCACTCGGAGAATTTGTTGATGGAAGGTGCTAATTTCCTCAAACGAGTTGCGGGAGGTGATGGAGTACACGAGAAGGAACCCCTCGCCGGTTCTCATGTATTGCTCCCGCATGGCGCTGTGGGACAATTAAGATGGTGAGTGAAGTGTTCCAAAAATTGTTGAATGATAAAAAGGGTCCGTTATTTGTGAATTAGCAATTGCATTGCGAAACACGATGAATGGGATGAAGATACGTCAAAGAATTTACAGAAAGCTGCGAACAAGACTGTAGACACGTACCCATATTCTTCCTGACCAGCGGTGTCCAGAACGTCAAGCAGGGCAACTTCTTCGTCGATGACGCATTGCTTTCGGTACGAGTCTATGCGGCGGGGTAAGTGTTTGAAGGGCACATTTCGGGATGGTCTCACCCTCAATCGTGGGGTCGTACTCATCTACAAAGTGGGCTTGAATAAATTGGATAGTCAAAGCTGACTTCCCGACACCTAGCAGAGAACCGAGTGAGCATATTCGCATAGATTTCTGCTTGAATGTAGACTAACCTCCTCCCCCAACAACAACTAGCTTGTACTCCCTCAGAAACTGTGCCTGTGCCTACTAAGATGAGCGCGAGGAACACGGCGAGAGGCACAACGTAGACTTACTCTGCCAGCCATGTCAATGATGAGTGAGCGGGATGGACCAAGAAAGTGAAGGAGAAGGGGGTTAAGAATGGTTCTGAGAGCACAACGGGCGATGACAGCTGATGTAACAAATATGCACAAATAACAATTGTGATCGGCTACTTTGTGCTATTCAAAGTAGTAATAGTTGTACTACCGCTTATTTCTTGCCCTTGCGTTTCTTACCTTCTGTTCCGCTCGTCTCGCCGCCACTGAGCTCATCACCACTCGTTCCACTTGCAATCCCTGTCTTTTTGGACTTGGACTTCCTGAGATGGTGCTCAGGAATCCATTCCTCTTGATAACCTCCTGCCCCTGTTGCAGTCACTGTCACTGGTGCGCTGACCGTAGGGACCGTCGCCTTGCGCGTTTTCTTGGTTTGCGGGAAGAACGACAGGAACGCGAAGTAAACCAAGGATCCAAGAAGACCGGCCACGATTGCGTAGGTCGAGAGTCTAGTAGAATACTATGAGATTGACATGGATACGCTGCAACTTCTTACGCACAATTTCAGATCGAAAATGGAGAGTTCGGGCTCCACGACGGTGATGACAGAATCATACGCTTCGACCTTGTATACCACATTCTACCCCATTAAGATTAGTAGATGGACGATCAATGTGAAGTATCAACCAAGGCTTACTTCCGCTGAGTGCTCCAACCAAATGTTGAGGCGATGGTCACCAGGCTAAGGGTATGATAAGTATGACGAAGGTCACTGGAAGATGATATTTGCCTTAAACTCGCTGTAGAAGGTGTACGGCAATTGAACCTTAACCGACGAGATGAGAGGGACGCCATATTTAAGCGAGGTAAGCTGGGGGGCCAAGTTAGCCTTACGCCAATGACAGCAGACGACCACCTCACGTTCTTGATCACGACGCCAGTATCGGGCAGGCTCAAAGATCCAGCAATATTCAGAAGGGTGATGTTGCGTGCCGACTTGTTCTCGACCGTCAACGTTATTGTGTTTTTCTCTCCGTTCACAACATCTGCAAGACTCCTGTGTCAAAATCGGAGGGCAAGAAGATTCGGTGGTCACATACGGTTGAAAATATTCGTTTCCGGAAAGGCTGCTGTAGCAACGACCTCCGGTTCACTTGCGTCCGCCGCTATTCCGAGTCAAAACTTCGAAACTAAACCGAAAAAGTAGGACACGAACCGGCCGAGACGGTTGCAAAGAGCGCTGCGATAGAAAAGGCGGCGCTGAGGTAGGAGACAAAACGCATTTTGACCGAATTACGTCGATGAGTGGAGGCAATGTCTCCAGGAAGGAGGGGCGACTGACAGTGATATATTCTGGAGTGATCAAGTTGGAACTGCCAGTGCCACGTCCTCAAAAACGCCGTCACGTGCTATGTATTTCATTTCAAAAATACTGCTACTGGGTCGCTTTTGTATGTAGTACATTGACCATTGAAAGACACATCAGCCTCTCGTTGCAGCGCCAAAAAAAAAACGAGCGTCAATAAGAGCACATATTGTTGGTAGGAGGGGGTGGGCACCAAGTGGGCACACGGACCAACGCCCTGTAATTCCCCTGACGCTCCAACATGGAGATGTCAGTAGTCGTGTAAAACCCGGCAGAGCCTCCTTTGAATTCGCAACTTCTCATGAAATTTTCACTTTCTTCTATGATGCGGGTCCTTTCTTCTTCAAAAGATCTTTCGCAATTTCGTCCGCGTCTCCTGTAGAGTCAGGAAGCCAAAAGGCCTAAAAAAATGCAGTGTGTTACTATCAAGTATAAAAAGACATCAGATATATCACAAACCAATTCAGCGCCTCCTGTGCACATCATGGCGTATCGAGGATTGAATTTGACGCATCTCGAAGGCCCAGGGTGACCGTCGAGAGCAACAAATGGCTGGATCCGCAGTGGATGCAAGTTGAGATCTACGTCTCCCGTTCGACTGGGAAGGTTCTGGAGGTCCCAGACAAAAACTCTCCCGTCCAGGCTTCCACCAACGATATACTTGCTGTCAGGTGTCCAGGAAACTTCCTCTCCGCTGCTTCCCTTTGCAGGTTCGATGCTGGGAGGTGCGCTGGTGTTCCTTCGTTCCAACCCAGTGTGACCTTCCAATTTAGCTAGTAGATGCCCTTCGAATGCATCCAGAATATAGTGAGCGTCCCCTGAACATCCCACTAGAAGATATTTTCCGTTCGAAGAAAAAGACATTGATGTCATGTAGATTGGTCGAGGGGGGTAGCTGATCTGAGCCAGAGTAGGGTCTTGAAGGGTGATTGTGAGGAATGGAGCTTTGTCGTAATTGGCCTGATCGTATAACAATATTCGGGAATAATGATTGACGGCAACGGCAAAAACGACTCCAGTCGAATCATATGCAATAATTGGGAATGAGGGGAGAGTCAAGAGCCCTCGACATGTCGGCGCTCGTAGATCCCAAAGACGCACAGTCTTATCCATCGAACTCGACATGAAGCCATCATCTACAGGAGAGACTTCTAGTGATATAACTTTTCCCTTGTGACCTTTGAAATATTGGAGGTATTTGTTGTCGTGCAATGAATGGTAGCGTATTGTGTCGTCTTCCTTGGTAGAAGCGTGGATGATGGCACTGCTTTTGTGAGTAAAACGAGGGAGGTCTACGCCATACTTCTTCGAATACAAAATCTTCGGCGGCCTGAGCTCCTTGTTCAGGAAAGTTAACCATAAAAAACCAAGGGGGAACGTACTTGGCTGTTTTGCAACTGTACAGACGAAAGGTCTCATCCTCTGCAGCGGTAATCAAGTGATCTCCTCTATCGTCGAATGAAATTCCGGTGATGTGTCGAGGGCCAGCACTTTGTGGTCGCTGTAAGCTGCTTCCTGGCGCAGCTGGGTCAACGACTGTCTTGAAGATTTTGGCTGGCTTGAATTTCGTCTGAACACCAGATCAAAAACAATACGATGCAGAGCGTATAATATCCGCACACCATTAACGAATTCGTAAGTAACAACGTCGCTGGCGAGCTGCCGTTGCTTGTGCTAGCTTGCGGTGCCATAGTACTTAGAGTATTTTTGGAATTGCTTCAACGTTGGACTGGGACGTATCGGAGTTTCAAAACCTTTTATACAAGATGAGCGACGTTGACGAAACCGCAAAACTATGGAAAGTGAACAGAACGATCCACGAACTCGTGAAGGACAGAGTCAGCAATGATTGGGGAACGTCCAAGATTTGTCTCTCACCTGTCTGTTTGCTCAGGGCTTTCTGGTCTCAGACGATGAAATCCACATGGACCTGCAACGCTTTCGCTCGTTGTATGCCAACAACAGTGGCGTCGTTGAGTGAGTCGTCTGGGCTCTTGATTTCCTCTAAATAAACCTTTTTACTACAGCCGTAACCAGCTGAACTTTTATACCACCTCTCGCACAAATTCAACAGATCAGATATTCGTATTTTTTTCGGAGGAGAAAAGTGTGGGTGTTAAGACGATGAGAAAGTAAGTTGAATGCGTTCTTCGCGCTGCGAGTATTCTGACATTAGCAGACTTCTTGGGATCCTTGAAGAAAAGTCAATACAGCGGGGTATCATTGTCTTTCCAGGCAATATGACTCCTTCAGCGCGCAAGGTAAACCGCCCGGCTCGTATGACGCCGTCGCTTATGTATCTACTAGGTGATCGTTGCAATGGCACAACAATACCGACTAGAGGAGTTTTCGGAGGCTGATCTATTAGTCAACATCGTCCACCACACGTTGGTTCCGCGGCATGATGTTTTGAGCCCAGACGAGAAGAAAACCCTACTCGAAAAATAGTGCGCCACGCGTTTCGTTCAAAAATAGTGACTTACCCACTATCAGCCGACTGAAAGAAACCCAATTACCCCGGATTCAACTAGCGGATCCAGTCGCACGATACTATGGGCTTCGTCGAGGACAAGTCGTCAAAATCACTAGACCTAGTGAAACAAGCGGGCGGTATGCCAGCTACCGAATATGCTTCTAGCGCCTCATATCGTTGTTTGGGAGCTCATACTTCATCTTTGCACCACAGTGAGAGGGGCGCCTTTTCTCCCTCGTTTTTGCTTTTCGCGCGCTTTGTGTAATGTCTAAATGATTTCCAATTGTATGCAAGCATTAATGTCTGTATGCGCAACGTTGCCTCGGCATTCTTGTCCTTAGGGCCAAGGCCTGTTTCCTTTGATTGACTGAAGCTGCCCGAGGGTTCCACGGCTACAAATCCCCATACTCACTCCACTTGTTTCCTATGGGCGTGCGCGCACCATAACTCTGATTGTCTCTTTCTTCTCAGATATCTCGTCGTTAGGTCGATCCAAAGACACGCCGAGAATAAGACCAGTCACGCGGCCTCAGAAACTTTTTGGACAAAAGCCGAAGTGTTCAGGAGATAAGGTGTGTCAAAGCGTAAACGTGTCAACTTAAAATCTATGTCTCCTAATAAACGCAGGCCGGTTCAATCACCGGCATGCTTTAGGCTTTTCCATTCAATCACCGCAAGGGCACTTACTCTAACGATCTTTCATACTGAACCCCGAATTCTGGGATTTGAAATCTCCCGCACAGAGCAACCTCGAGGCACCTAGCAAGAGTCATGGTATCAGTATTGTGACTTTCTGGTTAGATATCCGCACATTCCCGTCAACCTTCGTCCTCATGCTCCAGACCGCCTCCTATCGGTCCGTCGCTCAACGTTCTTCGTGGAAAGGTCGTCGGAAGAGCCTTCGCCGGGAAAAAGTACAACTCTCGGAATATTTCAATGTGTGTACGTAATATCTTGCCCCCACACATGAGTCTCGTCATCAGGAACGTCATCTTCGAGCCCGCGGCTGACTGTGTTTCCGAATCAGACGCCAATGAAGCATATTCATGTCGTATAGCGTCATTCTTTGAGGCTAATTGACGATATTATGGACAGGGCAGTATTTCACCATCTGCATTTGACAGATATTTGGTAACATTGAAATAAAACAAGAAGAAAAACTGCTTAATCCTCTCTTTGACAGGGTTCGAACATGCTTGTCTTGGTCTGGTAAGAAACGCAATCGTTACCGTTCACATACGCTGTATCCGAGGAGTTTCGACATTTTCTCATACTCGCCTCCGAATAACTGTCAATCAGGTTGCTCAAGTTTTCATTGACAACGTTGGGTATTGCGATGACCATGCCGTTTGGATTCCCTCGGGTCGAGGCCTACGTCTGAATATCTCACTCACTTTTTGCAAATATATTTACAGCTGTTGATCGTTTTCGTGCTGATTGGGATGGACCAGGACCAGCTTGTTCAAGGCGCTCGACTCTAAGATATGTAAGTCTGTCATCCCCCGAATTGCCTCAAGGGAGTGATTTCGTTCGCCTCCTCTAGGTTTTTCCTCGTGGTACACGATTGTCGCGGAGTACGATGACTTCGCTTTAAATTTTCAGATACAAAGAGGCCGCAATGCAAGGCAAAATTTTGGTTACCATCGAACAACTACCTATCATATCGGCAGGTTCTCCAATTTACATTGAACCACATTTTCCATCTCAAAGTCTAGTCACGTACACGAAGGAGACAGCTCGTGTTTATTACTAATTCTTAACCTCCGAATCATCCAGCTGGAACAGGAAAGTTTTCTTGCAGCCGATGGTGACCGCGGAGAACTGTTCATCAAGATCTCTCTTTGTTGGGTCAGGCCTGGAGCATTTGAACAGGTTCAGTAAAGTATGGCATGTGCACCCCGCTCAGCTAAACCATCTTGCCAGAATTTTGTTTCAGCAATGCAAGATCAACGATCTGCGGCGCTGCTCGCCCCGGGAAATCCCCCAATAAAGAGGAACAGCACGCAACGTCAGAAGCTGGAAAATTTGCGGTCTTGGAGGATTACTGACCTTGCGTGGCAAGCCTCGGACGGCCAAAATTTAATTTGCCGCGATTCATTCGGCAAGCAACACCCTGCATCTGCCCATCAGACCAGTCTGGTGAGGCGCATACGCCTCAACTCACTTTCGCGAGACGAGGTGGGTTCACGGGCCACTGCCCAAAAATTCTCTCACAAAACTCGTCGGGCAGAACTTCTCAAAATCAAATATCTGACTAATTTTGACGACATGTTAACTTTTTAGGAAGGCAAATACTCACCAAGGACGAATGAGCCCTGACGAATCAACGACCAACACGCTCGGAGCCTCCGGTTACAGGCCGGAGATATTCTGCAAGACTTACATCGTGCGACTTACGTTGCTTTACTTCTATACTCTCTTGACTCCGCCATTCTTTAACTATCCCCTTCCCCATTTGAACTATTGCAGATGGCCTACCGACTACCTGTTCGACCCATGGGAAGGATCGGTACCAGGTTCCTAACATGAAGTGCTATTCCTGCGGAAATGAAAATTCTCGTTCTGGTTTCTCCAATAAATCTGCAGATCTAGGCAACTCAGTCCTGTGCCTCTAGAGATGAGATCGGGACTCCTCGTGGATCTTCTCATTCGCATGCTTAGAGGGGACAATCCACTCAGAGGCCTTCTAAGGCACAAAGGCACACTACGTTTTGTATAAAGGTAGATCAAGTCTCCGTCAAGCTACCACAAGCTCTTAGAGCAACACCATCTCTCAGCCTCTTTCCTATCCCAAAATTCCTGCACATCATGCTTCCATCGACACGCCAGTTTGTTATTCCCGACCTGTTTGTATGTTGTCCCTTGCAAGACGCGACGAATCCTTTCTACCTGGAAGCAGCAGCAGAATCCAGGGCTTGGATCAACAGTTATGACATCTTCACCGATAGAAAGCGGGCATTTTTCGTGCAGGGAGCGAACGAACTTCTTTGTTCGCACGTGTATGCCTACGCTGGCTATGAGCAATTCCGCACAACATGCGATTTTGTAGGTTGCTTCTACTCAAAATTCATATGAAGTTAACTCGAATAGCAAGGTCAATCTCCTTTTTGTTCTCGACGAGGTTAGTGACGACCAGAACGGCAAAGACGCTCGCGCGACCGGCCGAATCTTCGTACAGGCCATGCAAGACCCAGATTGGGATGATGGCTCCGTCCTCGCGAAAATAACTAAAGAGTACGTTACATTGGCGCTCTCTTTCCGCTGGCAGGCGATTAATGATAGCTCTTTTTGGCAGATTTGCAAAACGTTTTTTGCGGCTGGCTGGACCAAAAAACGCGCGAAGATTCAGTGACCTTTGTGAACAGTACACCCAGTGCGTCGCACGCGAGGCTGAGCTTCGTGAACGAGGCGACGTCCTCGACCTCGAGTCTTTCATACCTCATCGACGAAACAACAGTGCCGTCCTCCTTTGTTTTGCTTTGGCAGAGTACATCCTCGGAATCGATCTAGACGATGGTGTATATGAAGACTCCGCGTTTAATGACGCTTACTGGGCCGCCTGCGATTTTGTGTGTTGGGCGAATGTAAAGTTATCAATTGCTTGTTTTTTCTGAAAATTTCTAATTTCTGGATTCTAGGACGTTTACTCTTATGACATGGAACAATCAAAAGGCCATACTGGAAACAATATAGTCACCGTCCTCATGAACGAGAAAAATTTGACTCTCCAGCAGGCATCGGATTACATCGGAGCTTATTGCAGCAGTCTTGTTGAAAGATATTTGACGGCGAAAGCCCGACTCTCACCATCACTGGGATCAGGTCCAACTCGATACATTGAAGCGCTTGGATATTGGATGATAGGAAACCTAGAGTACGTGCAGTATTCCTGATTTCAACAACGTCGCTGATCGGACAGTCGTATAGGTGGAGCTTTAAGACTGTGCGCTACTTTGGTGCCAAGCATGCAGAAATAAAAATGACTCGTGTGGTATGTCTTCGCCCACGAGAAATTCCTGACGATGTGGATTCCGAGTCAGATGGGGAGTGAACAGTGGTTGGGAAATTTCACTTGAAAACTTATAGTAACATTATCAACCTACATATTCGATTTATTGACCAATAGGGCTTTATCGTTTTCTCTTTTCTGTATTCTAGTATCGTAGCAAAAGTGTGTGGATTATTACAGCTTGAATAAATCAATTCCAAAACCAAAGTTGAGGTTGTAGATCCCTAATCAGCCGATCGATCACAAGCGATCATGACGTCATAGAATATGTATCATTGAACTTTTCTTGTTATTTTGTTTGGTCAGCGGCAATTGTACTGTGAGGCCTTCGTCTTGTAGTCGATGCACATACAATTCGAGTTCGATACCTTTTCTTGAAAAAGCACAAACAAGTTCCTACCCCAACACGTGTGCTAACGTGCTGCTTGCTTATCACTCTTCATCCGCAAGAACCTCAGGCTTCCAGGTATGTATCTAAATTCGCCGTCGTCACTTGGCCACTAATCCTCTTAATCTAGAGTAAAGAATATTTTTTTACAGATATACAAACTACGTCAAGAAGGGGACACATGTAAGCGGAACAGCGTGCATATTACAGATACAGATACAGCGTTCTTCCGTCCCTCCATTAGATCAGATTCCAGGAGCCCGGGTATGTTGGCTTCAAGTGGACTGCTGTATTGACCTAACATCAGGCACACGGAGTTTAAACGTACAACCAGCGACCAAGTTCGGATGCCCAGCCAGTTAACTCGGTCGTCCCAGTTGCCTCAAAGGTGGGACGTAACGGTTCAAGATCGATCCCCTTCTTCGCAAGCCCATCCACGATCTCGACTTGAGATTGTCCCTGTGGAATTGGCGTCTCTGGCGGTGTCACTTGACCAACATCGTTCCTCGGGCGATGCATATCAAGTTCAGGATTCCGATGTTCTGCGTACGGAGACAGGATTCCGAGACCACTTCCACCCACAGATGTGAGATACGGCTGGAAGTTTTCGCGGATCAAATCTTTGATGAGATCCTGCAATGCCTCAGCCTCAAAATCTAAACTCGGTTCAGCTGCTTTCCTGAATTGAGAATAAATGGGAGCTCATTACCATCCGGAATTAGGGTAACAGCACAACCTCCTCCTCCTGCACCCGTCAACTTGGTACTTAACCGGTAGGGATTCGCAGTTGTGGCACGAATGGTTTCCAGAGCCGGATGGGATACCCCTAGTGTTATAAGATGCTCATGGTTTTCTTTGATCAACGCCTAGTGATTAAGCCTTATTTAACGCACTCGAAAATGAGGCAACGGTTCCTCACTCACTGACAAAGCGGATAACAATGAATCACGCGGAAGCTCCATATCCGCCAAAGCCCTCCTGGCTTCATCACTGATACTTTGAATTGCGTCAAGAATGCCATTGACCAGGTCAGGTTCCTGAAATGCGACTCCTCAAACGGGAACCAAACATGATTAGGATTCAAACTCACGTTCGCCTTTTTCTCGCCAACGCCGGCAACAAGCTTCTTAGTGTCTCGAGGAACTTTCGAATTAGTCAACAAGAACCCGAGAGATTTGAATCTGAGGGTGGTTTAACTTTAGAGACTCTGTCTGACCAAAGTAGATGACCGGGAGTTACCCCTGAATTGCTTCCATGCCGCTCTTCCTACTGAATCCAGCACGAGTGTAGGCCAGGGCTCCACCATAAACTGCAACGCTGTTGTCCACCCCACTGGGGTTGCCATGCAAGATTTTTTCGGCCACGAACGCCCATTTATTCACCTCTGCCGCTATGGTGAGTGTAATCGCACGTCGACCCTCATGTGAGATGTGAATGTGATTAGAGGAGGAAGGCGCAGGAGGAGCTGGGAGACTAATCCGGCGATGTACCAAGAGTGATGCCGTCGCTGCACATGTCGAGAAGGATGCAGAGGAGCCTAAACCAGCTCCTACCGGGAGCGTTGATCGAGCCGTAAAGTTGAAGGCCGGACTAATCATAAAGGAACCAATTAGCAATCTACATCTCACCGCGGGATGATCATGGAACATACTGATCTTGGACATCGGACAAGGTCATGTAGAGATAGAGGAATGCAAGACCAGCTCCGCGGGAGGCGCTTTGAGTGTCATCAAGATGTCCCAATGGTCCTTTGTTGAGGGCGTCAACCAACTTTTCGTCGAGGACCTCCGGAGGTTCTTCACCCAGCGCTATTGGAGTCACAGCCTCCCATGGTAAGCTATCGATATCCCATTCATGATAGAAGTTGTCGATGTCAGTGAAATGAACTGAGAGTTTTCCATCATTCCGAGGAGTGGCGAGTCCATAACACCGGAGATCAACTGATGCAGCAATCGCAGTCTGTGTAAAAGGAATGTGAGTGACATTCGCAGCGACTTGAATTGCCGGTAAATGAGATTCCGAGCAAGGAGAATAAAAACTGGTAGTCTACCCCTTAATTGCAAGGAAGGGTATGATGGAACTCTAATGGTACCTGGATCGAAAGAAGGGGCTTACCACGCCGTGTACAACTGCATGCTCACCAAACAGGATGACTTTTCCTGGAGCACTCACAAACCATTCCGTTTGGTCCTTGCTTTTGTCCTCGTCCAGCCTATGCGCTGTCTGAGTCAGAGAGTTGGGGTCAGGAATCCGGACATATTTGTTTTGTGCGGCGTTGAGCTCGATAGCACCCGCTTCCAGGAGTGAGTTTTCAAGATCGTCTATGAGATCATGAGAGTCTTCTATACCAACGCATAGACGAATGAGGTCCTCGGGCAAGCCACGAGCAGCCCTTGTTGCGGCGTCAATCGAAGCGTGGCTAGATTAGAAAATGGCCGTTAACGAAGATCGTAATACAGATGAAAGACTGGCACTGACGACATTACACAGGGCATGCTGATGAGACTGTTGACGCAACCAAAACTGACGCTGATGCCCCAAAGTCGAGTACCACCAACAATCTTTTCACTCAGCTCTTTGTTCCCGGTCTCGAAACTAAGTACTGCTCCGTTTCCATCAGCAATCCTGGTGTGAATATCCCTTCCCGGATGACTGTCAAGACCCGGGTAATTTACGTGGAACCCAAGGTCGTGTAGGTACTCGGCGACGAGTTGAGCAGTCGCTTGTTGCCGGTCCATCCGCAAAGCGAGCGTTTTGATTCCCCGAAGCAATAGGAAGGAATCTATAGGCGTCAGCGCGTTGCCCACAGCGTTTATCGTAAATGCTATTTGTTTAGCTAGATCGTCTCGGTTGCAGGTGACCACGCCTGACATGAGATCATGGTGACCGCTCAGGTACTTGGTCGCGCTGTCATAAACCACATCTGCTCCATGCTCAAGCGGCCGCTGTAAATAGGGACTCATCATCGTATTATCTACCACGATGATGGCACCAGGTGCGCGCTCCTTGACATCTCTGCTGATTGTTGCTAGATCGGCAATTTTGAGCAACGGGTTGGTTGGCGACTCAAGCAAGACCATGGCGGTTTTTGTAGGGTGAATGAAGGCGTGCAGAGATGTGGGGTTGGTGGTGTCAACGTGATGCACCGTAACCCCGACATGGGTACGAATGTAAGTGAGAAGTCGATTGGTTCCTCCATACAAATCGTCTCCGGCAATGATCTCGTCCCCTGGCTTGAGAAGTCGCAAAATGACATCAAGCGCGGCCATTCCTGATGACACGGCAAAGGCATGGGCAGCCGACGATATTTTAGCGATGTGATGTTCTGCGGAGATGATTTATTCGTCAGGTCAAAGAATAAATACGATTTACCACGCACCCAGGTGGCTTCTTGTCGGATTTCCGCTCCTTGAATAATCGAACTGATTTCCGACACCTTTGAAGGTGGAGGACTGGTAAATGGGAACAGAACTACTGCCATACTGATCCTTCATGTCTGGATTGTCGATAGTTGCGCATAAAGTTGAGAACCTGTAAGGTTTCCTCGATCTGAAGGGAGACTCGGGTTCTGGAGTTGGCAGGTCATGAACCGCATTCTTGGCCAGATTGATGGTAGGGGCCATCTTGGTGGATTACCAAACTTGGGTCTTCAAATGAGGTGGGTCAAGGTTGGTTCAAGTAAAAAGTTGTTGGACAACTTGGTCGAGGTACTGAGCGTCGTTAGACGATTGTGTTGAAAGTTTTAGTTCCACGGTCGTAATTGTCAGTGTCAATACTAATAGTGGTGCTAGTGATGGCGTGCTCAAGCGTCTCTCCAATCGGCCGAAACTAAATAAACAGCGCCAATGACTTTGAAACAGTGACCATCACCTCGTTGCGACGCGTCCAACAATGGCGCCGAAAAGAGGTAGAGAGCAACGTAGGTATTCATTCGTTCAAAATCACCTCAACGCGTTTATGTCTTATAGTTAGTTGCACGTCAGGCGAATACCACAACAGCTCAAGCCCTCGCTCCGGAGGTCATCGCGAAACGAACTCGACGTCACCTTGATGAACTTGAGGTATGCGCCACTGACCGGTTGTAGAAAAGCTGTTTATGCAAATGAAGAGGTCGAATTATGCAGAGCCTACCCTGTTAGCTTCAGTCGAAGACACTGAAGGGGGTGGTTACTCGAAAGGTCGCGCAAGACAGACCATATCTGATAAACGAAACCTCAACATTCCTGGCACATCCGCTGCTGCAAAGAAGAAAAAATCCACAATGAATGTGCGGACAGCACTTCTATACCGGAAGAATTTTGCAACACTGCTTGAGGAATCTGTGTGTGCTCCAGCCCAACAATGTTGCTATTCTGCTGACTTTACGTAGAATATCACAAGCTCCCCGTCAAGTGTTCCTACATACTTGAGAGCGTGTGCTCCCCCTTCAGCCTATCCTCCGCGTATGATATGCTCAGTATGTGGATACTGGGGTCGTTATAGGTGTCGGCGGTGTGCAATGGCATATTGTGACCTTAATTGCGAGGGTGTCCACGCTGAAACGCGGTGCGAACGAAGGGTCATGTAGTTTGGTGTCGGTCACGTCGGTGAGGAGGGTTGCCCAGTACATGACGCCTAAGTATCGCACTTAGGAACAAGTTGTAACCTCAGTTGAATGATTGGTTGTGCATGATTTACATCGGCCGAATTTTATTCCGATCTACATCAGATCTTGACTGACTCACTTTTCAAAAATTTAACGAAATCTACCTCCAACCACCATCCAACAATGTGTCCTCACGAAACTGCCGACGTTTTGCCCACTGAACAAAGTGAAATGGTCCAAGTACCCTTGACCAACGGTAACCCCAATGGCAAACGAGGCACATCGCGCTCCAGCACTGCCCATATTGAGCAACAGCGCCGGAATCCATATGCCCCTCGGGCAGCGGATTTCCTTTCAAATATCTCAAATTTCAACATCATCGAAAGCACACTGAGAGGTCGATTTTATATTTTCATTGTTTGAATACTTATCGCTGATTTCCTCATCTTTCGCAGAGGGTGAACAATTCGCCAACGCTTTTTTCGACACCAAGACTAAAATCGCCATTGCCAAGGCGCTCGATGCGTTCGGTGTGGAGTACATCGAGCTCACATCCCCCGTAGCCTCGGAGCAGTCTCGTGCCGACTGCGAAGCCATTTGCAAGCTCGGCTTGAAGGCGAAGATCCTCACCCATATCCGATGCCATATGGATGACGCTCGTATTGCCGTTGAGACAGGTATTATCCATTCGACATTGAATTTCCAGCGAAATTAACTGCTCATGCAGGCGTCGACGGTGTCGACGTTGTCATCGGCACGTCCTCATTCCTGCGTGAATTCTCACACGGGAAGGACATGGCGTACATCACCAAAACCGCCATTGAAGTCATCGAGTTCGTGAAGTCTAAGAACATCGAAGTTCGCTTTTCATCGGAGGACTCGTTCCGCTCCGACCTTGTTGATCTCTTGTCAATCTATCAAACCGTTGATAAGATCGGCGTTAACAGAGTAGGCATTGCTGACACTGTTGGCTGCGCAAACCCAAGGCAAGTATATGACCTAGTGAGGACCCTTCGCGGTGTTGTCGGGTGTGACATTGAGGTGCATCTGCACAACGATACCGGCATGGGTCAGTTCAGACTCCTCTTGCGTCTTGTCCATCAACTCACCAGCTTGCCCCCTCAGCCATCGCCAATGCGTACACCGCGCTTGAGGCTGGCGCCACACACATTGACACTTGTAAGTTGAATTTTATACCAATAAGGCACTAATTGACCTTTCGTTCAAGCTGTTCTTGGTATCGGTGAGCGCGTCGGCATCACACCTCTTGGAGGTCTCGTTGCATGTCTCTACGCTGCAAACCCCGAATACGTCAAATCCAAGTACAACCTGCCCATGCTTCGTGAGATTGAAAATTTGGTCGCTGAGGCTGTCGAGGTGAATGTACCATTCATGAACCCTATCACGTACGTCTCAATGTTGGCATACCATCCTCCCTATTCTGACACGAATGACATGTAAAGTGGTTATTGTGCTTTCACGCACAAGGCCGGTATTCATGCGAAGGCTATCTTGAACAACCCGAGTACATATGAGATCCTCAAGCCGGAGGATTTCGGTCTGACCCGCTACGTCTCCATCGGGTCAGTCCGCTCTCCTGCATACCAAAAATAAACGTCATTGTAATGTTTTATTTATCAGCCATCGCCTTACTGGATGGAACGCCGTCAAATCACGCGTCGAACAACTGGGTCTCACCCTCACCGATGAAGAGGTTTGGATTGTTCTACACTATGAGGTCCCATGATTGATTTCGGATGTTGGTTATCAGGTGAAGGATGCTACTGCCAAGATCAAGGAACTCGCGGACGTCCGTACCCAATCAATGGATGACGTAGATTCGCTTTTGCGCATCTACCATTCTGGTATTCAGTCTGGCGAGCTTGCTGTTGGACAGAAGGAGGCGCTTGATCGTCTATTGAGGAAGCACAGAGACCAGGCTCATGGCCGTGCATCTAGCGAGGGAGATGATTAAGCACTTCTGACCGCGACCATCAAATTTTGGATGAAGTGGACGAATTTATGAAATTTGTATTTGTATAGCACAAAAGGGTGCCGTTCACAAACGTTCCCGCTTTTCAGCAGGGGCTAACGGTCAAGACCTAAGTACTTACCACGGAACAATTATCTATATCTGCAAGAAGGTTTACTAGCTTCCGTATTCAGAATTGCATGGAATTCCAAACAAAGTACATAAATATCAGATGTTGACGAAGATGAGGGACCTCTTATTAATTTTACAGGGCTTATACTTTCTAAAAATTGTCCGGTATGAAACAATGCGTACAAAGATACTGGAAAAATTCGCCATCGATCCCGTGGGTGGAGGAGTGCTGCTGTGGCAAACCTCCCGAAAAAAAAAAGTAACGGAGACGATGGCAGTCATTGTCATGAGATACCCAGCCTGCGAAACATTTCTTCAAGGGTCTTGAACGCCACAGGTTTAATAAGGCTAACAGTAAGTGAGTTGTGACGAATGATAGAATGCAACCCACGACATACTAGCCATCAACCCCGGCTTCGAAAGCACGTCGTTTATCCTCCAAAGAAGACATCCCAGTCAAAGCAAGAATGCGAGTTATGCGTGAATCGTCAGGATGCGATTTTTCTATCCGACGGATTTCGGCTGTCGCAGAGACCCCTGTTTGTTCTTTAGATATGTAATGTATAAACAACCGGCGCAATACGAACCGTCAAGTACTGGCATCGAAAGATCCAGGAGCACCACGCTGATTTTCGTTCTTCAACGCCATGTCAATAGAAAACTAACAAGAGGGACGTACTCAAAAGGGCCCTCCGTTTCGTACACAGAGACGCCATCTCGACCATCGACTGCGTCGCGGAAGTCGTAGCCCTGTCGATCATTCAGAATACAGGTGAGATGGTACAGATCGTGATCGCTTACTTTAGTAGAAAGCCATTTTATCCTATAAGGTGTCAGAAACTACCATTAGAGCATGAGGGTGAGCTTACAAAAGATTACGAAGTATGCTATTGTCCTCAACGACTAAAACCCTGGAGCGATGAGGGGACTTGTCCATTGATCCTATCGAGGATTTGAGCAGAGTACCACCAGAACCCACTGTAACCGTAGTGTCAGTGTTATCTAGATCAACTGCCTCACTAGGTCGCAACGTAGGCGAAATTCGCCCTGCGACAGGGACAGGATGTGCGGTCGATGAACGAGGCGTCATGGCGGGCCTTCGAGCGCCAGTCGCGCGAAAGAAACTATGGCTTTCTTCCGAGTTCCGTCGTAGAACATTACTTCCGGAGCCTATTCGTTCCTCTGATAAGACCGGATGGATAGAATCATCGTTGGGTGTAGGTGATGGAACACGGGATGTTCCAATCTTGAGGGCATGATTGCACAGTTTGAGAACGGTGCGGAGACGAGAGGGACCACCAGGCTTGTACAAAATTCGGCAGAATCCCCCTATGCGCTCATGCTCACTGGCAATGGCCATAATTGCCGGGCTACCTCGTGCAGCCGAGAGAATGACGAACGGGCGCGAGGTATCCCGTCTTCCCGTTGCTGCGACAACAAGTGCGGGATCTTCGTTGAGGATGACGATGTCCCCGTACTCCGGACCAGGGTGGATCTGGAATCCCCACCATGTTGTCAAATAGGTGCGGATAACATTATTCAAAAGCCGAGTGCCTTTGTGTGTGCCGCCAAAGCCAATAAGAGACACCGTCGGGAGTGGAGTGCCATCCACATTAAAGGGCTCCATCTCAGGTGTCGTGCGGTTATTATCTCCCTCGAAGCACCCAGCTAAAAAGGTGACTTTGATTTCTGTCCCTGCACCTTCTTCACTCCAAACGTCAACTTTACCCCCGACATTCTCAGACGTTACGATGCTGCTGACAATGGCAAGGCCCAAGCCAGTGCCTGTTTGTAGAGGATTTTCTTGTGAGAATGGATGGAAAAGTTGGTTCTAAATAACAATGGATAGAGCGTTGTATAGTGTTACATCGAACTATGGCACTGACCTTCAAAAAATTCTGACTAATTCCCTGATGAACAAATACACTTTAGCGAAGATGACGAGAATTGCGATGACACTACAAACCTTGCCCGTATCGTTGACTGAAAGCTCTATTTTGACTTTATTGGGGGGGTCATTGTCTCCTAAGGGTATTTGGCGAAGCATTACGTGAACGTAGCCATCCTGTCGTTGTCTTAGACTTTGGGGCAGAGCAGGTCCAATGAGACTCACAGATGTGAATTTAAGACTGTTCCCGAACAGGTTCATCAAGACACGACGAATACCACCCTTTTCGTATTGGAGAAACCAACCCTTGCGCGAAAAGTTAGACTAGCAAGGGAATCGGGTGTAGCTGACGTACCTGTGGGCGACGTCCTATGTCGACAACAGTCTCAACATATTTTCTCCGAGTGGCTACAGGGGAGCCGTGTTCTTCGTGAGGAGGGGAATACACACTTCCAATACCTGAATCGTCAGTACTGGCTGTGCGAGCACGATGTCCAATCCAACATCCATCGACGGCTTCTTCGATCAATTGCATCAAGTCACCCCTAATGAGAGTGTTGGAAATTGTCAATAGCCAATAGGAGGAGTAAGCTGAGAAACGAACGGCGCTGGCAAGATGACATTCTCGACCCCACCCGCTTTAGCGTTGCCACTGAGTTTCGTGAAGTCGAGAACATGATTTACAGTTTCCACGAGTGAGGTTCCACAGGCTTGGACTGTCTGAATAAACGATATTTGCGAATGGTTCAACGGACTTTCGCTGAGCAGCTCAGCGGCGGCCAGAATCTGCGACATTGTTGAGATAAATTTGATGATCTGGCTTTTCCACTAACCCCATGCAACGGTGTGCGAAGTTCATGTGAAATGCTAAGATCATGATCAGGGTATGTGCTTGAAAAAAAACGAAATGAATGGTTACTTGGATATGAAAAGACTTTTGGCTTTATCTGCCAATATCATACGTCGCTTGAGAACGGCTGACAAGATAATAACACCTAAAAAATCGTCAGCAGCTTCTTCTGACAGGTGGCAGCATCTTACCGATTGCTCTCAAATAAGACAGCTCGTGGCCTTCCAACTATAAGTAATAGATTCGTCAAAATATCACCCGTATCATCATGTGTCACTTACAAATCGTTTTGAGTGGTCATTAGCGTTGTATGCACAAAGCAAAGCAAAAGGTCTTTTGTCAATATTGAATATCGGGACAGCTATAAAAGCATGTCAAGCAGGAACACGCCTGTAAAGAAAACAATAGACGACTTACTAAGAGCATACTGAATGTGCGTGGGTAGAAATGGGCGGAAGCTAGGGGGAATGATCCCTTCCGATATTTTCCCGTCAGGATATTTTGCAAAGAATGAGTTGAGTTTATGGTACTCCTCGGTTGAAAGATGCCGCCTAGTCATTTCCAGATTGGGGTCGCCATGATGCATAGTAACGGAGACACTGCCCTCCGCGTTCACAGATTCAAAGACTTCACAGTGCGATATATCCATGACTATGACGCCTTCCACGTCAAGGGTCCTCTGAACAAGCTTTGCTGCACGATCATACACCTTGTCCATCGAAGAGCCGACGATCAGATCTGCGCGTCCATGGGCGTGAATTTGAGTGTCAGTCTCCAAACATTCTCGGCTAAATTGTTCCATCTAAATGTGCGGGAGTTCAGTGACGCCAGTGTAGAAACCAGAAGAAAAAACGTTTACTGAATTCTGAATTCGATCTCGTATACGCAGTTGAATCTGCAAAAGACATCTGCAGTCCTGTCTTGAAAGGCCACCAGTATTGACTCACCTTATCTCTCCATAGTTCCATTTCACGCATGGCAATTGCCTGTACAACATTAAATATAAAGAATTTACCCTGGAGTAGTAACTGACCGCAAATTCCTTCAGAGTATGCCGCTGTCGAGGAGAAAAATCATCACGGGGTGTATCGTCGATTACGGCTAAGCTGAGGGCGTCGTTGTCACTTGTTTGCACAAAGCCAAAACTCCTTCATCAACGCACGTGCCAATATTGTATCCATCCTGCGTACGCAACGGTGCTCCTGCATAAAACCGTACGTTTGGAGTACCGACCACTAGAGGCTTTTCATCATAAGTCAACTAGCTGCTCTATCCAAGGAGCCTTCAACGTACATTTTTTGCAAACCGCCAGTCAAGATGGGTGTCGAGCACTACCATAGGTTCGTCTCCCCTGAGCACCGTCAGCGTCAGTAACGGAAACCAAGAAAATAATTACCGCTGTAAAATTGAGTGTCCACAAAACGAATGTGCCCTTGCGCAACTTGGCGTTTTAATGCCCCCTGCAAAAAGTGACACAAGTCAACATTGACGCAGATCTAAAAAACAGAACAACGTTAAGAGTACATTCTGACTTGAACCACCTTGAGGTAAATTTTAGCGGGGTTCGAGAAAGCCTGCGAGCAAACGCTTACTGCTCATTTCCGTCAATCAAAGATACGACGACACCTCTTGTGCTGAAAACCAGCTTCGCGAGATGTGCAATTCGATCAAAATTAAGATCAGATCCAGTATTCCAGATATTAAACCTAACACGTGAAATAGTTTGATTTTTGTTGCAGAAATGGCCGTTGAAAGGACTCACTTGTATAAAGCCCGTCGGCGCTCAAGTTCATCGGGAGGATTTGGAGGGGCAAGGTAGCCTAGCTCAGTATACATTTGCTCCTCTTTTGCTGCACGACCAGCTTTGACAGCGTTCAAATTTTCTGATGCCACCCTGTTGGTTCCAGCAAAAAGCGACTCGTGTGGCAAGGTCACGGGAAGTGGCGATGAAGTCTGCCTTGTTAAACACACCCTCCTCGGGAGTGCAGGGACAGACATTGTCCCTACCTCGAGAATGGGACTGGATTCTCGCAAAATAATGGGAGGTACTATCTCCTTGGCTGTCTCCCCAGGTGAAACGCTACAGGTGTCACAAAAATAATCAGTTGACCCTGTGGTCCGAGCATGGTGACCATCCAAGGCGGGAGCCGATGCTGGTGGTATGGATCCCAACAGAGCTAAATGAGTTGTAGAGTCAGAAAGTGCCAGGATTGGCTTCGACCCATTTGAGGTTGGGGTGATTTCTGTGTTCGTTGCGGGCTCCGAAGGGCTCCCGGCAATTGTTGGCAAACGTGTGGGTTCAATGTCTGTCGTGCCCTCCCAGAAGCTGGTCAAACGTGACCTTCGATTAGTTTCGGATCTAAAATCATGGAATGCATCTTGTGAGTGAGAGCCAGGAATGGAGGCAGTCACGCCACGCATGGGATCCGTGAGCTCATGTTCTGGTGATGGAAGTGCCAGTGGCGAAATATCGACGCGTGCTGCTGCCCAGCGCATTGTAGCGGCAGAGGCCTGGACGTCGGTTGCAGACGAGGGGGATCCTGATTCTGACGTGAGTGCACCGTTGGTAGAAGTAGAGGCAGATGCAGAGAATGAATTTCGAAGCCGATGGATAGGAACCGAAATATTAAGAGGTACTGCAGACCGTAAACCATGAAACTTCAATGCGGAAGATGGAGAAAGAGACGATCCAGATATGAATGAAGAAGTTGATGGAGAGACGGTTGAATGTGTGGATTGCTCATCAGTTGGATCCGGACGCAAACTCTCCATTGAGTTGCCATTTGGCAATGCTCCCTCAACGGAACTACCAGGAGCGAATTTAACCCGTGCAAAGTTGCTTGAGGAGTTTGTAACACCAATTTTTAGTGGTTCTGAGTCTGAATATCGGTATGATTCTGCGTGGATGCGTTGACATGTTTGAGGAGGGTTAGGCGTTCGGTGTGGATCCCATCGTCCAGATGCATAAGCAGTTATGAATGTCGCCCAATCACAATCTGAATTGTTTGTTATCGTCACGGCGTCTTCGTTACTTGGCGTGGTATGCAAGGAGGCGTTGAACGCAGGAGGAAGATAACCTAAAACATGTGTAAGAATCAGTGATGGCAGTTTCACTGACGTGGAAGCTCAGCATACCTAAGTTCGCGCTTCCGCTGCAGACGTCAACATCATCTTCGTTAACTGTTTGTAAGTGCGCGAGGGTATCAGTGGCATAAGAATTGCTTCCAGTCTGTAACGAGGAAGAAGCAACAGAATCCTTGTAGGTAAAGGATTGTGTCGGTGACAGGGAAGGAAGAAGTACAACATCCTCCTTGGAAGGAGCTGTCGATGGCCTATTTGATCTTCGGGGAGGTCGCATTCGCACTGCGTGGTTGCAGAGACGCGGTGGGTTGGAAATATGGCCTGCTAGATGAGACGGAAGGCCGTTCAGAGTCAGAGACGGTAAAGACGCCGCTGCCGTTTCTTCTACAGCAGGACGATCATACATGACGTTGGACCGCCTTAGAGTAGAGCTGGTTATAAAAGGTTGATCAGGGAGAGCATGGGCCGCTGAGGCGGTAAGTAGTAAACACGCCTGGCGCTGTCAGCGGTGAGGGAAAAGCAATTAAACCGCAACGTCAAATGACTTCTCTGGTGATAGGAAAGGAGAACATACAGCATACACCGTGATAGTGACCGTTACGAGGTTTAGCAACTGCTCCACTCAATCGGCCTTCTCCGAAACGTGACGTCATTACTTTCAAACTCCGCATACTCTACAGACTACAGCATTCCAAATTTATACTCCTCCAAGTACAAACATACTCCAAAGATACAGGGGAAGGGTTAAGTTATCGTTCTGATCAGAGAGCGCCTCCAACACTGCCGATGCCATGACGTTCATCAGAAATGATATTATCTGACCAGACATCAGACAAGGATCGAACACAAAGCAAACAACTCCCACCGAAAATCGTTCCGTGTACCCACAAACACGAAGTATGAAAGCACATGCTGCGATAGAAATAACAAATGCTACGCTTCCTTCGACAGTTTTAGTGGTTGTTGGTGACCATCGAACGACTCCAACGCGTCTTCCAACTATAGATGCCTGTAGAAAACCATTTTGAATTCCCACTGTAGCAGATGGAAAGATTGCTACTCACGGCAGCATCTCCAACTCCAAGGGTCAATATGCCCATAAATTGAAGAAGCTGACTGGGGCTGAAAAATTTGTTATTTCAGCGCAGGTTGCAGAGGAAGGTGGGAAAGGACGCACCCTTCAAGCCATAAACACCCCGCACACCCCGTCAAGAGGTAGAAATGACTGAGGATAGCTGTACCGCTATCCCTATGATCTAGGAACTCGTTCATGAAGAGATGAACCGATGCCCCGAATGGATAAATCGCAAAGTATCGGACATATTCTGTAAAAATGAACAACGCAAAGGCCGCGCTGAAGGACAGGTGCGTAAATGCGGGCTGTAACTAGAATGTGAGAAACACAAAGAGGGTAACACTTGGATACTAACATCCACAGCAACTCCTGGAACAAACATTACAACGGCAAGACCATGGAAGAATTTCCGTCTTGCGTTCAATCCCAGAGTCGGTACATGCTTATCCGCAGCGTCCAAAAGGTCAGTTGCCACATTCGAAACATTTGCCCCGTTCGGCAGATTGGGCAAATTAGCAAAGGATGTTGGCAGATTCGGAAACGACTTCGCAATGGCAGACGGGGGCGGGGAGGGTTGGGAAAAGGTTGATGAGGACTCGGCCGACGGAGGGGGAGGTGCTGATTCGAATGCATTTGAGGAATTGCTCGATTCGCTCGCAGGGTTTCGCAATTTAAACCGCCGAGAACGCGCCAACTGTCGGTTCCAACCTGCCACGCTTATACATCCCAACAGTGCCCAGTAGAAAAGCAAAGCAGGTCGGCTCCACTTGGTTTTGCCTTCAAGCAAAAGAAAGATAACCCATAGCCAAGGATCGCGTCCACCAAGACACCATCTCGTCCAAAAGCCTATCAGACCACCCACAATCAACACCGTACCAACGTAGAAACCCAGCGCGTAATAACGACGATTGCGTTGTTTTTCCGCTGGGTAACGAAGGCGATGGACAGGTCGCTGAGCATTGTTCCTAGAAAGGACTAGAAACGGAGAAAGCAGGAAACCAGTCAAGAACGATCCAGCGATCAGCGCCACCTGGAGTATGAGGAGTGGTGTAGGCAAACGGTATGTCTTTATGAAGGGCGTCGTGACTGGCCAAATCTTATTTGTAGGGATTAAAACGATGAAATTCAGATGGAGGTGACTTTACAATACCCTGGCGATAGTGAGGTTGAGCATTTCAAGGAAAACTGCAGTACCACCAAAGCAGACCAGACCCAGTTCACCGACTGTGAATCCTTGGTGAGCTAAGCGGAGTGCGACGTACAACGCAAACTGATAAAATAGTGGAACCACGACGGTTTCAAAGTAGTTGAGGTCTGTAGAAATTGATCAATAACCTCCCAAGACAAAAACAAAATTTCTGACGACTCCACAGGCCTATTCCATATTTTTGCAGAACTATCCGAAGCACCAGCATGGTAACACTGACCGTAAGGGTGAAAAGGATATAATACAGGGCTCTGCGCCCTTCACTCCGTGGAACGGAAGCCCGTTCGCCCTCAGGTTTACCCCCAGATTTGCTGTAATAACCTTCAAGCCACCATGAAGCGCAAACATGAAACAGTAAGATGGTGGAGCAAAAAGTGCTCAGATCCACTAGATTGTAGCGAGATACGAGGACAGCTTCGCTTGCCGTGAGGGACGGTATAGAATTGGAGAGCACAATGGGCGACTCCATCAGCCACCATTTTGGGAGGGCCTCCAAAGTAGGGTAATGTGACACCTTCCGAATTGTGAAAGACAGAAGGCCGGAGGCGATTAACGGACCAAGCAGGAGACCCGTAAATATGCCATCGTCGCGAGATTCTCTGTTCATTATAAATGATCCTTATCCTCTTTCTGGAAAAGTTGAACTTGCCTATAATTTTTTGGGACGGACATCCAGATGTACCCGAAATCGTCTTTGGAAGATGAAGTGCGGCGGGTATCCCTTGCTTCAAATATACGTGGAGATACAGGTCGAGTAGGGCCATTTGTAGATATATTCAATAATGATATTGCGTCTCTGGGTGCCGAGGTCACGGATGGTCGAGAATCCAAAAATGTGCCATGCGTCCAAATAAAGTAAAGAAAAGAAAAGAGGGCAAGGATGCGAAGCTCTAGGGTGAAAGATGTAAATCAGGCGCTGATCTGAGAGAAAGGAGGAAGGTCTCTCACCGAACACCTGTAGATTGGTATCGACAGGTTGAGACAGGGCTGATTTTGGAGGTTCAATTGCTGACAGTACAGATGCCGCGTAGAGTAAAGAAAGAAAAAGTAGTGCAGACTCTCCGAATTTGCGCCAATCGACTGAAAATACCCAAGCTCGTGATATAAACGGAAACTGCAGCTGAAATTCGAGCGTTGACGGCAAGACTGTAAAAAGGTCGCTTCCTAGACGATGCGCACGAGCCGTGGAAGGCGACATATGCCAAAGAGACTTAGCAGAGACCTTTAAGTTGCTCGTCGCACGAATGGTGGCAGGCGAGCGGGAACGCGTAAACTTTCTGCCATTATTTCCTCCTGAATCGCCGGACGACCTTCCTTGGCTTGTATCGCGAACCAGGATGGAAGTATTCTTGCTAGTGGCGTCGACGGCATTCTGTAAACGGCGGGTTTGTGTGTAGGCCCTGCCACGCAATTCGCTTAATGTCTCATCTTCAGTCTCCTCATCAGAACTACACCTCGATCCAGCACTAAATGTGATGTAAGCGTAACGCAAAATTCGAAGAGGGGGGAAAATTCGAGCACCTTGAAGATCCCGCTTGATAGCTAGTGCTCCAATCCAAGCCAGAAGCATTCACCGAATCGTTGGTGGCGATGGGAGTTGAGGTTGAGCCCAGCCTTCGTCGGAACCTTTGCGCATTATGCAAAAACCTCCTTTCTCCACGTCCTGAAGCTTGTTTGGACGAGGGAGGCGACGGGGAGGAATGCGAGCGAGGCAGTTTGAAAACGGTTGGGGTTTCAGAAGCTACTAAATAATGTAAAGTCCGATACTTTCGCAACACTGACGCTGTCACATGACCAATATTTCGCGACTACTTACATATTTACGTATTATGTCGCTCAGTTATTTAGCAATTGGAGTTCCCTTTCTTCCCTACGACTACGACGCGTCTTTGACACGCGAATTCCCTTGAGCGCGCTCTCTCTGATGGGAGACACAACCATTTACCTGGAGGACATCGACTCCGCGCATAGACCTACCAAAATCTCCGAGAAAAGCGAAAATGCCACGTCGACAATTGAAGACACGGTGGCCAAAGGAACGACATCAACGGGGGCGGTTAAGCGACAGCTTACGCTCCAGGACATGTTCTCAGGTTCACAAGGGAAGAAGTCCACTGGCAGTGGACAATCCATAAAGAAGCTCAAGATCACGGCGTCAGGAACCAATTCTAAAAGTAGTGGCATCCAGCGACTGAATTCGATACCTTTTTCTCTGTCCGCCTTTCAAGAGTCTCTATCTGACAACGAAAGGAAGCTTCTCCAGCTCGAGTGTGAAATGATGGGAAAGAGTTGGTGCGTACTGTCGCCTCCGTTTTTCAAAATAACCAACAAAAACTCCTGTCAGGCTGAAGCTTTTGAAAGACGAGATCAAAAAGCCATACTTTATAAACTTGAAGCAATTCTTGTGGGATGCGGGTATTAAGGGAATGGATGATATTCCACGCAATGTCTATCCCTCACGTGCGTTCAGTCCATCCAATAAAAAACCTCTGTCTAAAAGCCAACTTCCTTCAGCAAAAAACATTTACAAATGGTCGGATACACCATTGGGAAAAATTAAGGTCGTTATCATTGGTCAAGGTTAGTGCACTACCGTTCCGAACTTTGATGACTCCTGACCCAGGATGAGGCAGATCCATACCATGGGGCGGGTCAAGCACATGGTCTGTAGCCCTTATCCCTTGAGCCTTGAGTTGAAGCCTGACCATGATGTGCGGGCAGGGCTTTGTTTTTCGGTTCCGGTCGGCGTAGGGATTCCCCCGTCTTTGAGAAACGTGAGCACATTCCCTCGCCACTGTTTTTTACTAGTGCCCAGCTCTAATGGTTCATAATTTGAAGATTTATGCGGAACTGAAGGCTGAGTATCCCGAGTTTGAACCGCCTAAACACGGGTGAGAAATCTTACCTGCTAATGTAACTAACTGACCATCAATGATTAATCCTACACAACAGAAATCTCTCGAGTTGGGCTAACAACGGTGTACTGATGTTGAATACCTGTCTGACCGTTCAGGCTAACAATGCGGGATCTCATTCAAATAAGGGTTGGGAACAATTTACAGATAAAGTAATTGATGTGGTCGACAGATATGGCGGCGCGAACCTTCCGAACGCAGAGAGTGATGGACCTGACAACGGAGTTGGCCGAGGCGTTGTTTTCCTTGCTTGGGGTAGCTGGGCAGCAAAAAGGGTAGCTAAATTGAACAAGGTCAGCTGGCAGTCCATTCTTCTCCTTACTGACCGGTCTCACCCAAAATAGATAAAGCACCTTATCCTTACCAGCGCTGTGAGTATTATATCACTGAGTTTAACTTCAATTTTCTGAAACAAAAATATTAGCACCCCTCCCCCTTCTCCGCCAATAAAGGATTCCTCGGGAACGGCCATTTCAAAGAGGCCAATAGATGGCTGGTGCAGAGGTACGGGTCTGAGGGGAAGGTGGATTGGTGTACCCTCCAACCTCAAATTTAAAATCAATCTGATGGTCTTTGATCTCATGTTCTCGTACCACCTTTGGCCCATTGTAACAAAATGTGCCTGCCTGCATGTTCGGACATAATCATGGTCACCCGTTGCCGGCAAATAAAGGGTTCTTTCCAGCATCAGCTGTACTTGACCAAATTATTCCGCGCCTTGGAGCTCCGGAAAGCTGAGGCGGCTACGCCGTCTCGCATTAATCATTCGCAACAAACCCAGAGATTCAGAGATATGATTTTTCAATCGCTGTGGGGCCGTTAAATTTCAAGAATTTTGATGGTTGTCCTTGCGAGGCCTCAAGGCCGCTTGAGGCCTCATGCATTGTGCCTTGCATATATCATGATCATGAGTGATTTTCAAGTCCAAGCAACAAATATCCCTGCATAATGTATAAGACGAGCCTAAGGCAAAGTAAAGTAGGGTAGCAAGTAAGGTAGAAGTGTTGCTTATACATTTCTAGGTATATATTGCGGGTGAATAGCGATACAAATTTAAATTTAGCAATTGACAGTTTATTGTATTGTCCAGTCCAATGTGGTGGGGGGAATCCTACGAACGCGAAAGCATGCATAATACACAGTTGCCTCAAGCTATCGAGTTCAGGCGTCCATCAGGCCCATATGCCGGAGATCTGGAGACAGAGTGACCCATGTCAGCCTGTCGAGTAAAGTCGGGTGGTCGAGGATTGACCTGTAGTTGAACGGGGTTGGGAAGATGTGGGAATCCTTGGTTGATTGAAAAGCCGTGAGGATCGGTCAGGCTTCGCTTGTGGGGATATGGCATAGGGGAATCACGCTGTGAATTATGCTGAGAATGCGAATGGAAATTTGGAGATGGGCTTTGACTGTGCATGTTGGGACTGTGGACATTGGGATCGTGAGACTGGAAGGACGTTTCTGCATACGAATATTGAGCGCGAGACACCTCTTCGCGCAAATCGGTCCGCATGGGGAAGCTGTGACCACCATAACTGGTGGACAATGGCCTGTCAGCATTGTGCGCGTAGTGGCTTGCGTTTCCCATGTATAAATTATTTGATGAGAGCGAGTTTCGTGACGATGAGGCAATCGAGTTTGCGTAGGATGAATATTGAACTGATTTCAGTGGTAATGGTGCCGACATGGGGGCCATGGAATATGATGATTCGGGAGGGCTGGTAACGTCAGATGATGGGTGGGGTTGTTCGTCGAGTAGCAATGAGTCGTCCCATGACTGCGACTCGATAACGTGCATGGGCCGGGAGGACAGTGAGGCGATCCCAGAAGGCGACACGGAACTTTCTCGAGATGTAGGAGAATCTGCGGTCGATGATTCTCGACTCGAGTGGAAGCTCAACGACTGTGTGCTGCTTCCGTCGTACATCTTCGGTTTATCTTTACCCGTTGGTCCTTTTCCGAGGGGTGGCCGACTTGAAGGTGGAAGGTTGAGAGCCTGGCGAAGACAAGAATTCTCTTCCTCGAGCTCTGACACTCTCTGCTCTAAAGCCTAAACTCGGAAAAGATTTGCAAAGAGAGAAATGGAATTGAATGAATTTCACATCGCTCGGAGGCGGGGATAATTTCATACCTGCAAATGAGCAGCGCGTCGTGCTCTGAATGCACGCTGGACATCTCTAGCACGATTAGGCGGGAGATTGTCGTTTCGCTTGCGGCCTCGCTTCGACGACATTTAGTAGGCGGGGTTCGTCGACCTAGAAATGCGGAGGAAAAGATGTTTCCTGGACTTCAGAGCAGGAAACATATAAAGGGACCTCCGACGATGCGCATCGGGCAAATGGGATCATGTCGCACCATATTGGGGACCTAAATCGATCGAGCCGTGGGCCTGGCCGGCAGATATATGCACGCCCCTCTGGCAAAACACTACCCCACAATTTTTCTGTCTTCACGCCTATTTTTACAAGGCAGCGACCTGCTCTCTTGTGCTTCAAAAAATGGGCTTGTCTTTCCTTCACCTTCACAATCCCTGCTTGAGTGAAATTTCGATGGTTTTGAGCGAGTCCCTGACGCATACATGTCCTTACGAGCATGGTATGACGATCATAACAACACGACCTACTGTACATACAAAGTCAAACAGATTCTTGTCTCTCAGAAAATGTTCCACAACTCACACTCACGCCGTTAAAGACCTTTGACGTTGTGCCATGACAAGGCTTGAGTCTCCAAAGTCTTTTCTGAATCTTATTGGGGCTGGGAGAGAGAGAAAAAAGGCGGGCAGTCGACTCCTGTACATCGACAGGGGGTGGACCCAAAAGCGAACCAATCGCGCACATGCTGATTAAGACATGAAGAGCATGAGGTTTCGGAGGAAAGGTTATCACGATCACTCATCACATGGGGCCAATTCCCGACCAAATTGTATAGATTATATTTATTTTCGCCGAATTATACCGGATCCGGAGAGGGAACCGTCAGCTCAGTCCTGTACCCGCGCCCGTGCTTCCTTAGCCTCCTTCTTCGCTGCAGCCTTCTCTTTATCGCGCTTGGCAAAAAGTTTATGTCGGGGAGCTGCTTCGCGTGCCAGTTTCTTATTCGCTGATTTATTTTGCTCGATGTAAGACATATGCTGAGCACCGCTGAGGGCTGTGAGGGAGCCTGTGGTGCGATGGGCAGTTGGGAACCTGCTAGGTCCGGCAGGACCGAAATCTTTGGATGTAACCGTGCCGGCCAGGTCTCCTTCTGCTGCTCGAATGTCTGATCCCAGATCTGCCTCGCTTTCGTTAGCCAGCAACACTGAGGATATGAGCTCGATTTGTTCGTCCCGAGTTTTGTAGACCAGATCTGGGAGGTCTTCAAGACCATCGAGATGAGTTATGACTTTGAAAGCATAGCCTTGATCAATTAGAAACTGTTGGCGTTTAGTGCTGTAATACATCTCTTGTGTGTCCTTGGAGACTAGTGAGTAGAAAAATGCATTGAATCCTTCGTCATTCCTCCGTTTAGCGCGGAGGATACGACCTATAGTGCTGATGGTAAGATAGGGAAGGATGGGGGCTGGCATCAGTTAAACTTACCCAAGCGCTGGGCCTCTTGACGACGTGACCCAAAATGAGATGATATCTGGATGAGACATGTGGCTTCTGGCAAGTCGATTGATGTATCTCCAACCTGGCGTAAAGGAGGGGTTTTATTGTAAGTCTGGAAAGGCAAAATGTGTCACTTACTTTGGACAAGAAAATCGTGTTGACTTCGGGACTGTGTTGGAACCATTGCAAAATCCGCATGCGCTCTACCTGGCTTGTCCCACCATGGATGTATAATTTGTGCAGGCGCTTTGCGTATGCCTATATATAAGTGAATACGCGTCTCGAATGCCAAAGAAGACAATTTAATTACCTCCAAAGCGTAGACGTTGTCAGAAAACACAATGACCTTATCTCCTCTGCCTTCATGGTACTTAACGAGAAATTGGCATGCCTGAAACTTGTTAGGGTTCATGCAATATAATAACATCCGTTTTCGTGACTGCTCCCGGAGATACTCCCGGTAGAATTCTGGTGTCATTGGACACCATACTTCCGCACACTGGACAGGGGCAGTTATTTTTTTTATTAGGAGAATTGATGCCAAGTTGTACCTGAACATTTGCGATGTGTCCTTTTGCGGCGAGATCCCTGTTACCTTAGGTAAGCTGCAGATCATGACGTATCGTGGAAGAATCAGAAACTCACATCCAATTAGCCTCATAGAGTTTCGGTCCAATCATGTAATTCAGGTCTGCTATCTTATCATCCTCGCGGACAAGGGTGGCTAACGCGGAGGGGATGATCATAATATCTCAACATGTAACGTTGGAACGAACCTGTAAGGCCGAGTTTTGAGTGCGCCTTAATGGTTGTGACCACTCGGCGAAACATCACTGCAGGAACTACGTGAACTTCATCGAGGAGGATAAAGCCCCACTCCCTCGACGTGAGGAACTCCATCATCTTCTTAGATTCATGGGATCTGTTATGAGTATTCGCTACCATCGAGTATGTCGACACGACAATTCCGCTGTCCCCAGCAAACTTGAGACCTGATCAGAAAAGATCATGCGGTTAGATGACATAAAGCAACCTTTTCCTTCTGATCTGCTGTGAACACCGCAATTTGTCGATCGGTGACATTTGACCATTGCATGAATTGCTGCTTCCACTGCATCACTGAAACACTGAACGGGAGTCAGATGTTGGTGCGAGGGATAAACGAAGGCTTACGAGGAAGTGCAGAGTACCAGACACGACTTTTTAATGGTACATGCAGCGGTGATACCAACAAGCGTCTTTCCCGCTCCACAAGGAAGCACTATAATCCCAGAGCGAGCACGACTATTATTTGCCAGTTCAATATCTGTAAAATAACTGGAGTACTGCACATACCCATTACCGAACATCTTACTCAAGCTTGTCTCTTGATATGGTCGAATGACAGTTGCAGGCTTCAAGTCAATGTCGAGATTTGCGTTAACCGTATCGTTCCGGAAGTCGTACTCCTCCAGCATCGGATATTCAAGCTCGTTGCAACGCTTCTTGACATCCTACAAACGTTATATTAGACGGTATGTAAAAACGCGACAGAGGTCACGAACGTCAATTTTTGCATCGTGGATCTCAAAGGCGTGAACGTTCTCGTCATCCTCGTCAATTTCATCTAAAGAGAAATGTAGATTGACGACGAAAGTAAAGATATCAGCAAACGTACCCGCATCAACACCCACCACCGAGGTGAATAGCTCCGCATCGCTCGCGCCATGAGGCGTCGGACCGCCAGGAATCCCAAATTTGTTCGTGATCGTGTCACCTTTCTTTTCTGCTTCCTTCGTCCCAGGAATAACCAAGTTGCCTCTGACGGGGGCTTTAGATGTCGTAAAAGTAGCACTTTTAATGCTGCTATCGGCCTGGACAGAGAACAAACGAGCTTCACGAATGACCTTGTCCTTCAGCAATAGCTGAAGTGTTTCAGGGTGACTTGATTCCACGAAATATTTGTTATGTTTCAATACAAGTTTGACTTTTCCGTAGCTTAGAGTGCGCTCGCGAATGAAAGACGTTATGCTGTCTGGAACGGGGACCTAAATTGAGTGCGTTTACAATTCAATTCTCACAAGCTCACGGCCTACTCGCCTTAGATAGGCGATTCAGAACCTTGGATTGGTAGATACAATCAGCACTGAATACTAATGAATTTGATGATTTGCACAGACTTCAATGATATCTTCCGTCTGGAGCCCAACAGAAACAGCGGCGTACAGGGAGTAGGACGTGAGTTTGTATTCATGAATAAACGCCGGTCTGGTGGGCTGTGTGACCCGCTTATCTACGAGCTGACAACCGCCACGTACCTGCTAACGGGTTCACTGATGGCGGTGAGGAAGTCTTGAGCTTGCTCAGCGATTGGCGAAAAAGCTTCCAGGATAATGTGCCCATCTTCGGGACTAATCCATAGAGGACGAGAAGCGTGGTCCGGCTTGAGGTGCAACCACGAAAAGTCTTGATCCATAAAGATGTGAGAAACGAGATTATCCTGCTGCCGACGATGAACTTCGAGTGCAGACAAGTTCTCAGACCCCTTCGAGTCCTTGGTTCGTCTTGCCTCAGCTAGCTTGCGAGTGAGAGCGCTGAAGTTGATAGTGGCACCACGAGGTACAAGAGAAGTATCAGGAGGAGAGGGCGGAATTGCATCGTCTTCATCGTTAATATCAAGATATTCATTCCGGTCATCGTCAGGCCTGGCCCGCTTGGTTGGATACGAGGATTCCGGTGAGCCTTCAAAATGGGTTAAAACTCAAGCAGGTTTGAGGAGATATAACTTACCGTCTGCAATACGCTTTCCAGACATTATGGTTCTGTACCCCGCTTAGTGGTCGAAAGTGAAGACGGTATTGACTGGTCAAGTCATCTTTACGATGAGCTGAGTAAGCAGCGGAGTTTGCAAGTCAACGTGGAACCGTCTGAGCTGCTGTTTTCTTCTTACCACCATCACGTTCCTCTAACTATTTTCTTGCATACTTACGATGTGGAGGCCAGCGACACGCCAAATAACCGGAACCAACGACGGTATGCGCTCACATTTTTCTTCTTTTGTTTCCACAGTAGTTCAACATCAGTTTTTTCTCAGTTCCTCTTGGTTCACGTCGTCGTTTTGGACCTGCGCCTGCAGACGATGCTCCTCCCCCTCAACTAGCTCAACCATCCCCCTCCGTGTACCCCCGCTCGCATAACCACGACAACGAGAGTCCTGGAAAGCGAGGTAGAGAGGAGTCCCCAGTTGGGGACCCAAAAGGTAAGCAAGAAGATTGTTCTCAGAATCCCACGACTCTGCTGTTTTTTTTGTGCACTGTCGCGGGTATCTATCGCAGCGAATTAGTCAACCTTTTCTGATCGCAAGCACTCACATTCGAGACACCCCGGATGATTCCTGACTTGACATCAAACTAACGCTGACCGTGACTAACCTTAACTTGTTGCTATTGCAATTCACTCCAGTCGATCCCAACGCTCCTCGAAAAAGACGCAGCCGCTGGGGTGATGCCAAAACGGAGATTCCTGGTTTACCCACTGCGATTTCTGCTGCTGGTGTTTCACAGGCTCAGCTCGACAATTACGCCATCCACCTTCGACTTGAAGAAATTAATCGCAAACTTAGGTTGAATGATTTTATACCTCCAGAGCGTGAAAGGTCCGTATTCTTACCCTTCTCCAACCACGCATATACTCAATTGCCTTCGTCAGGTCCGCCTCCCCCCCTCCCACCTACGACGCCCACGGGCGTCGAACGAACACTCGTGAAGTTCGCTACCGTAAGAAGCTTGAGGATGAACGTATCCGACTAGTTGATCGAGCTATGAAAAATGACCCTAATTTCCGCCCTCCCGTTGAATACCATCAGCAAAAACGTTCTCAAAGGCCTTCTGACAAAGTGTATATCCCTGTCAAGGAATTTCCGGAGATCAATTTTTTCGGTTTACTTGTGGGACCTCGTGGTAATAGCTTGAAGAAGATGGAGCGGGAAAGTGGAGCAAAGATCAGCATTCGCGGCAAGGGAAGCGTTAAGGAGGGTAAAGCCCGTCCTGACCAGTATGCTGACGATGCGGAAGAAGATCTACATTGTCTTGTTCTAGCGGAAACTGAAGAAAAGGTTGCCGCATGCGTACGAATGATCAACAAAGTTATCGAAACGGTAAGTCATAAATTTATAGACCATTATTGGGCCCATCTAAGTTCTTCGTATAGGCCGCGTCTACGCCGGAAGGTCAAAACGATCATAAACGTAATCAACTGCGGGAGCTGGCTGCCTTGAACGGAACGCTTCGTGACGATGAGAACCAGATCTGTCAAAATTGCGGTGGTGTGGGCCATCGCAAATACGATTGTCCTGAACAGCGAAACTTCACTGCTAACATCATTTGTCGTGTTTGCGGCAGTGCTGGTCATATGGCTCGTGATTGCACTGTCAATAAGGATCCCAACGCTCCCCCTTCGATGGGTGGCCAATCGCCGCCGATGAACCGAGGTGGATTTGATTCTGAGTATGCAAGCCTGATGGCGGAACTGGGAGAAGGGGGTGCTGGGCCAGGTGATGTCATGAAATCTTCCTGGACAGCGCCAAGCATGGGTCACGACATTACCGCCGGCGGGTCGAATATTCCTCCATGGCGTCGTCCGGAGGTTTGGCAGCAACCTGTCAATAATCAACAGCAGCAAGGTTACCGTCCTCCGCAAGCAGGTTATGGCGGGGCTCCCGGTGCGTATGGAGCAACGGGGGGACAGTGGGCGGGCTACCCGCAGGCGGCAGGTTATCAACCCCAAGAATACTCGAACTACGCGTCTTATTATCAGGGCCAATACGCTCAGCAACTCAGCTAATCAGCTAACCATAGCCAAGCTTCTGATCACCCTTCCCATCCACCTCTAACCGTTTCGTAGCACTAAAAATTCAATTTCAACCAGCGCGCAAGGCTCGCCCGACCTTTGATGTGTAATTCCGACTTCTGTCTTTATCTGGCCGTTCAGCAGTTAACTTTTAAGTATCGACGATGCCAGGTATATAGTTTTTGCCTTCACACAATTTCTACGTTGTTTCGTTCCAGATGAGGCACAAACTAATCAACAAGTTGGTGGTCGTTAATAAACCCACTCAGTCTTCATTATTCTTGCATTATTCTTAGTCTACACATTGAAATGTAGCATTTGGGCGAGTTCAAACCAACACCTAAGCATCGCACTGCTCTGTCTTCTTCCTCCGTTTCTTCTTGCCCTTGCGCGGACTTGACTCGATTTCGGAGACCAGATCTTGTTTCCGCTTTAGTGTGATATTTTGGTCTCGTACAAAGCAGGACACAAAAAATCCATTCGTGGCATCTTCTCCTGGTAAGCATCGCACCAACGCAGAGGCAGCATCTGCAAAGCTGCACATTAGCCTGAAATATAATCGATCAAAAGTGCGACGTCACCAGTCGAGTTCATTTCTTCGGCAAAACCTCTTCGAGGCCAGTCGGGTAGCACCTCATTTCGGGAGGCGATTGAGAAAGATCCGGCCTTAGCCTCGTCGGAGCTGAGAGCATCGCGGACCACATGCTCGTTTTCAGAAGCATGGATGCTGCACGTTGAATACACGATTTTCTTCACGTTGGGGACTAGAGGTCACCCCAAATTTTCAAATCCACGATAGGTCAGGCTTTCCGGGGGCGCACTTACACCTCATTGCATGTTTTATCATCAGCAACTGAAAAGCCGCTAGCTTGTCAAGACGCTCATGTTGCGATTTCTCACTTTCAGGCTCTAAAACACATAACAAATTAAACAATGCTTTGTAACTTAGTTGCGGACACCGTACCTCCCTCGAGCAGATGATCAAGTCGGTTCACGATGCCCGAACCACTACAGGATGGATCCAGCAAGCTACAATCGGAGTATAGTGTCAACTCAAGGACCCCAACGTATGAAAGTGATTCACAAACATATGTGTGACTGGAAGGTATTTTGGGTCAGAAGGATCGACTGTCAGGAAGTCTGTGTTCACAGGTGTGACATTCTTGCAGGCCGCTTTTCCAATCATCATTTTCAGGGTTGAAAAACGCTTTCGATCGCGTTCAAAGGCATAGAGCTATGGAGATGGAAAAGGGGATTGCGTCTCGGTCAAAGCCCTGAAATCGATTCAGTAGGGCATTACTGACCGTTCCTTTATTACCCATAAGTGCGCTCAGGTGTGAGGTCTTATTGCCCGGGGCAGCTGTGGCATCAATGACCACGCTGTTGTCTTCCGATGGGGGCGAAAGAACGACAGCAGGAAAGCACGACGCTTTATCTTGTAAGATAATTTTACCAGAATTGTAAGCTGGATCGTCTTGAAGAGCGGCATTGGGCGAAAAGGCAAGAAGATTTGGTATATGAGCATCTTTTTGGAACCCTTTGCTGTTGGCAAGATGATTCAGAGATGAGAATGAATTAATGCTTTACTTGCCTGGACTCGAAAGGACTTGACAAGGAGTACCCTTGCGAGACGAAATATTTGATGGCTTCATCGATTGACCAAAGGGAGGTGTTCACTCGCGCATACCGCGGTATGTTGGCTGTTGTACTTGTTAGACCCTTCAAATTCATGCCTGCTAACAGTCACATATCCACCTGCTCGTTGGTCTGTTTGGACAAGATCCTGGCTGGACGTCGCACCGCGCTTAATCTTAATCTTTTGAAGTTCACCGTGCAGTCGGGTTTTGTGACGAAGCACAGCCTGCTTGATAGGACCGTCACCTGCTTGGATGCCTCGAGACAGGAGCAAGTCGTGAACCAGAACCAAGGCAAGATTTATTGAAGTCAACTTCCGCTCTTCTTTCATGAGCTTTGATTCCCGAATCACATCCGATAGAACGGATTTGACTAGAACAACAGTTGGTATTTGGCGGATATGTGCTACTTTGGAGGAAATATCTCACATTTCAACGTCTCGATGACGAGGGCGGCAGTCCTCTTCCTATTGTTCTCTGGAAGTGTAGCAATTACACCCTTTATCGAACCTTGTTTTGCATCGAGACGATCCAACGTTTTGGCAGCTTCGAAATAAAAGTTCATTTTCTTGTGCTAGATACAGGTATACCAATCAGGTCTAATCGAGGAGTGGTGAGGGGGCCTGCACAATTGTATGTAGACAATGCGTTTTAAAAGAACTTCTTCAAGACATCTAAGGAAGAGAGGCGGATCGTCAGTAATGCAGAACAGTGGGATATTGAGAAATGGTAGAGAATAATCAGTATGTTGTGTTTCGTCAAATATGGCCGTGACCAATCGGACAATGTAGATAAATACAGCATCATGGTGAAGAATGTAAGAGGACAATGCTCACTTTTTGGAAGCCAATGACGGGAGCAAGACAGGAGTAGGAAGGAAAGAAATTCAAACAATTTTTGTCACGCACACCAACATGTCACGTCCGTCGTTTTATAGCACGTTTTAGGCTGGCACTTGTATGAAACTTGCCTCATCTCCACTTCAGAAGTAGGTGCCTGCGTCATAAGCCCTGCGTTGAATTGATCAGAAAACCAATGCTCGTTGATACTGAACTTTACGACCTTCTCGGCGTCTCTCCAGACGCGAGCGAAGGTGCGTCACATACAAATTACTTTTCTCTTTGATCCTCAAGTATATTCACTAGACGAAATCAAGAAGGCTTACCGAAAAAAGGTGCCATAGCTCAAGTGCACTGTGTGAAAGCATACTAACTCAAATTAGGCGAAAGAACATCATCCAGTGGGTTTTAACGGTTCCCATCCTGTCCTCGAGGCTTTTACTCAATAGGCCTACAATAGGATAAAAATATTAATGATCCAGAAGCAGGCCAAAAATTTCAGGAGATTGGTGCCGCGTACGTTTCTACTCAAGTCCTCCTCTCAATTTGTTGCTTTGAACTCTTTATAAAGGTACGAGATTCTTAGTGATCCTCAAACACGAGCCGCATATGATTCAGAGGGGTTGGACGGTTTGACCGGCGCTGGTGGCCCACATATGAACGCAGAAGACCTATTCGCGCAATTCTTTGGTGGAGGCGGCGCTGCTCCCATGTTTGGATTCGACTTCGGCCCAGCAGGTTCAGGAAGGCGGCGTGGTAAAGGCGAGGACTCTCTCATACCTCATGATGTGACCTTGGAGGATCTTTACAACGGAAAGTCCGTCAAAATGAACATGGAGAAAGAAATCTTGTGTGGCGTGTGCAAAGGGTGGGTTTGAGTCCCATATGTTAATAACAGGCTGACGTCGATTTCGTTTACCCAGTTCAGGCGCCCGTGGAAATGCTAAACCAAAATCATGTTCAACCTGCGAAGGTAAAGGATGGACATATGCCCAGACACAAGTTGGTTGTCATGAAAATCGTCCTGATCCCAACTCACAGATCTATAGATATCAAGTGGGCGCCTAGGAACATCAAGAATCCAATGTCACGATTGCAAGGGACACGGCGAGAAACTCAAGGAGAAGGAAAGGTATGGCAGAAGCCGAAACTATGCTTCCTATAAAAATGACGTTGAATCTTAGATGTAAAAAATGCAAAGGTGATAAGACCATCAAGGAAAAGACAAGACAAGAAATCTTTGTGGAAAAAGGAATGGCAGACCGTCAGCGCATTGTCCTAGCAGGGGCAGGTGATCAAGAAGTAGCGTTATTTTTTTGTGGCCAAGGCGTCTGACAAACCATTTGCAGCCTGGTGTCCCCGCGGGCGATGTCGTATTCGTCCTGAGAGCGAGTCCGCACGAATCTTTCGAACGTTCAGGAAACGATCTACTTGCCCATGTATCAATAACACTTTCGGAAGCACTCCTCGGCTTCTCTCGCATTCTAATCACGCACCTGGATGGCCGTGGCGTGAAAGTTACAAGCCCTCCTGGCAAAATTATCAAGCACCAAGACTCAATCGTGCTCCGTGGAGAGGGCATGCCTATCTACAAACGACCTGACGAAAAGGGGGACCTCTTCATCGTACTGGAGATTGAGATGCCAGACGATGAGTGGCTCAAGACTGTTGATCTAACTGTACGTGTGGTGGTGTCCAAACTTAATGAGATTATTAACAAGCTTCTTTCGCAGAAACTTGCCCCACTGCTTCCCCCGAAGAAGGAGGATGTCGATCCTCGTCCAGCTGTTGTGGACGAGGCAGAGTTCGAGGAGAGTGACATTGTGGATGTGCGTGCAAGGTCTTTCCCGGCTAGTCCAAACTTCTTTGACCACGGATTTGCATCGCAGTTCGGCGAAGGAGATGAAGACGCTTGGGAGGACGAAGGGGAGGAGGAGATGGGAGGAGACCCCGAATGCCGCACCCAATGAACGAGCCCTTGACGCAGAATGCGTATTTCATATACGAGTAACCTCGCCTTATTATTTAATTACTAATACCCAACTGCAAATCATACCTCCACAATTTAGATGCGTGCCTAAAAAGGGAACTCTCCGGCGGCAATGTTCTGAAGAGGGGCTTGGCACCAAAAACTTGCTCATTATGCTCAGCTTCATCGTCCTTTGCGGTTGCATCGCGTACGCAGTGGCGCAAAGTACAACGGCACGCATCCTAATATACTCCGCGACAGCAGGTTTCCGACACGATTCTATTCCTACAGCCATTGAAGCGCTGAAGCAAGGAGGCAACCCCATCAATGTTCAATTCGACGCTACAGAAGACCACTCTCAATTCACTACGGCGATCCTTTCTCAGTATGATGCATTGTTATTCCTCAGCACAACGGGAGAAGGTGCGCCAGGACGGGAGCGACATTGCAGGGACGTCTAATCTTGCTATCCTCTCCACAGTTCTCGACGACCCTGGAAAGGCAGCGTTCCGGACGTATTTGAATATGGGAGGGAATTTTATTGGAGTGCACGCCGCTTCTGATTGCCTGAGGAACACCAGTTCTTACAGAAGCGAGTTAGGTGCGTCCCCGCCTCTCTTACCGTAGTAAAAATCCTAAAAGCAATGCGTAACTTGCCAGGAACCCTATTTGATTATCATCCTCCTCTACAGAACGCCGTGCGTCCAAGTTAGACGTCTGTCGCCACAGTTCCAAGGCTGATCATGCTTAGATCGTTAATGTTGTGGGACCCTCCCATCCGAGCACCAGAAAGCTTCCTGCAGCATGGAAAGTCCAAGACGAGATGTCATTGTCTTCCCTCATTATCAAAAAAAAAAACGATTCTCATTTCCTGCCTCCCAGGTATAACTTTATTTCCGACCCGCGTGCTATCGGTGCCACGGTCATTCTTTCGGCTGATGAGTCTAGCTACGTGGGTAAGCCTTTCGTAGGCTATACCACATAACAGCAGGTAATATTATTTTAGACAACGGGACCAGAAAATTCGATCAGGGCACACCCCACCCAACAGCGTGGTTTCAAGAACGAGGCGCTGGCGCTGAAGCTGGTGGAACTAAAGGGCGCAGTTTTTATACCAGCCTTGGGCATCTAAACGAGACTTGGAAAGTGAGTTTTTCCTAATCAGATCATCCGACGCAGGTGTTTTTCGGTAATGTAGGATGACCTTTTCATGTCACACATCATTGGTGGTGTATCTTGGGCCTTACAAGGGAATACAACTCGTGCATTCAACGCCTCTGCCCTGGTCGGAAACTCCCAGCAATCTACGACCAGCCGCGTTGGAGCGGCTTCTACAGCCGCGGGACCCCGAGAGTCAGCGCAGTACGTCTCTAACACCGTCTCTTGCTGTAAAATCTGAATAGTTCATATACATAGCACCTCCAGAAGTGTAGTCTCAAGGCCTGCGTGGCTGCTCTTGGGGATGGGAGTGTTGCAGAATTTATTCCTTTGTAATGATATATGATGTTTTGAATATTTACCTGTAAGGACGATCTTACGATAGAAATTTATCTCCTGGCATGTCATGCGGCAGCACTTGCGTAAGTCTGTCATGTAGTGGGATGGTCAACGTCGAGTTCTTGCGCAAGGAGATGTTGCTTGGGACATTGAGCGACGTCTTAGAACCAGAAAATCGATTTCAACGGCTATACATCTATATGTTTGTATCCTTGTACCTGTGGGCAGTAGGTCAGAGAAAGCAAGGGAAAGAATGAAGAGTCACGAACCCTATTCTCACGAAGCATTTGAATGTATTTGTCTGCTAACCACTTGCAGTTCTCATAGTGGTTGACTCCTTCACCCCTTTGGCACTTCCCAAGCTCATTCTGAACGAGACGGGTTTCCATGGCTCGTACCCATGATTCACGGAGGTTGTTTTCCCTCTCTTGTAACTTGGCTAAAAAAATGTAAGAAATGAGCCGAAAATGGGCCAAGAATACTAACCTTTTATTTCAGCAGCCTTCGCCTCGTCAATAGCCATGGTCGGAAGACGGGTGATTCGTGTTGTTGGCTGTTTGGATCAAGTGGTATAACGATTTAATGAGTGTATAACTTTCAAAGTTTCATTCAATCCCAAGTCCCCTCTACTCTAGATTATGCACCCTTGGTGTGCTCAGTCAATCCAGCTCTATTCTACGTTCATTACGTTCTCCATGTCTTCAAATTTTCACCCCTCCACATAAAATCGTTTGATAACCGAAATAAATCACATGCCTCGGTATGTCTGCTGTTAATATCCCAGCCTCAGGATTATCATCTCGTCAACCACAAATGGCACAGTCATTCCCAGCAGAGAAACCATTGATCACATTAACTCACAGTATGTTGCTTTTTCGATAGTTTTCTCACTTGATTCTCATTGTTCCTTCAGCAAAACCATCATTATGGATCATTGAACTGCACAACGGTCAAGACAATCGTTTAACACTCGAACTCGTTGACAACGGTCTCAAGCCCGCGCTCGACACCGTAGAGCGGGAATGGCGCGACCAGTGGAGAGCAGCGCAAAAGGCCAAGAACTTAGAGGCAGGCAGGGGCGCTCTCATTATTGTTGGTCGGAAGGATCAGGACAAGTTCTTTAGCAATGGTGTGTACCTTCCAGCTCCTTTTCTCATGGCAGTAATATTTATTCGAAAAGGTCTGGACTTTCACAACGTCGTCACAAACCCAAACTTTTTCCCTAGTGCGTGTTCCTTCGAACACGATACCCTTTTTTAATGTCTGAATATCAGCTACATTCAACCCATTGTTGGCCCGGTTATTAGCCTTCCCGAGTTCGTTACACAATTACTTTTACCTGCACCGTAGACCTAACACACCTCCTACAGTCCCCACAATTGCTGCTATCAACGGCCACTGTTTTGCTGGTGGTTTCATGCTTTCGTTAGCATGCGATTATCGCGTCATGACTGATGGAAGCAAACGAAACGCATGGCTGTGTATGAATGAGGTGGGCGCCCACAGCGTCTGGTATACCGGCGTCACCGCTAAATATCTTCTCACAGGTGCACTTCGGTGCAATTTGGCCGCTGTCCTTCGCAACGATTCTGCGTGCTAAAGTCGGTGACCATCGTTTGCAACGCAAGATTGCTCTTGAGGGCCACCGGTTCACTGCCTCTGAAGCATACGCCGACGGCCTACTTGACCATATCGTCAAGGGAAATACCACAGATATTTTGGCAAAAGCTGAGGAAGTTGCGGAGAAATTTAGCGCGAATGCAGCCAATGGCGTCTGGGGTTTGATCAAGGTAGGACAATTTACAAACGTCAGTTTGGCCTATTTTTGATTTCCACTCAAGAGCGATCTATACCGCGACACTTTGGAGATGATACGGAGAGATACCAGGCTAATGAATGCCCAAATAGACGATGCGGCTGCTAAGGCGCGATTGTAATGAGCCGCAGCAACGAGAACTATTTATAGCTTACCCCCATGTGACTTCGGCGTGTTGTCTATGTTATATAAAGGATCATCAGCTTTTGTTGTTTCCCTCCAACCTTCTCTTTTTTTCCCTTTCAACTTTTCTTCACGGCGCACGCCCCAGGTCGGGCTTTCTTGTTCGCTCCATTCACTTAGCTTTCTACTTTCCTTGCTTGCTCTTTGTGCTTTTCTCATCATGCAACTGCAACTCTCCTTTTCTGCCCTGCTAGCAGGTTTCGCTTTAGTGCTGTCCTTACAGGTTTTGGATGCGGCGCCTGTTCCGAAGCCGAGATCCAGCGTTAGCATGGTTACACTCCCTTTGAAGCGCATGGAACAAGCACGAAACGTCCACCCTCTGATTGTATGTGTTTTAATTAAGTCCAAGCTGAATGGTACTGATCCTTGTTTGTGCAGCTCCTCCAACAACACATAAACCGTAGTAATCGTCGTCTCGCTCGCATATCGGGACGCACTCAACCAACTGTGGAGTTCCTTGAACGAGAGCTTCAGAAACGGGTTTATGCCGTTGAAGGATCCGAGGGTCTGGAGAGGCGATTTAATCGCAATGGTGTACCCGGCAGCGAAGAAAACACTTTGGAAAAGCGTTACAATCGCTTTGGTGTTCCAGAGAAAGCCAAGTCCCCCGTTGGTGCTGACTCTTTGGCCGTTCTCAAGAAGGGCAGTGGTAACGCTGGTCAGCAAAAAAGTAACGTTGCTGTCGCCAATACTCCAACTGCCAATAGCTCTTTGGGTTTGGACATCGAGTAAGTCTCGACTCTATAATCAATGGACGAAACCAACATCATCTTTTAAGGGCTCAGGACGTCGGTTACCTCGCTACTGTTAAGATGGGAACGCCTCCTCGTGATTTCCTCATTCTCATGGACTCCGGATCAGCCGACCTGTGGGTTGGCGCTGAAGCCTGCCAATCTCAAAATGGTGGAGGGTGTGGCAACCATAACTTCCTAGGACCTCTGTCATCAAGCTCCTTTGCAGACTCTCAAGCACCCTTCAAGGTTACCTACGGAACTGGTGAAGTATCTGGAACCATTGTTCAGGACAACATCAATATCGCGGGTCTGGCCCTGGATGCGCACACATTTGGTGTTGCTTTGGTGGAGAGCGTTGACTTCTCTGGAGCTCAGACTCCATTCGACGGATTGATGGGTCTGGCTCAATCCGTACGTATTCAATTGGAGATTGCAAGATCAGGCTTACTGAGGCATCACAGACTCTCTCTGAGCAACAAACCCCAACGCCCATTGAGTCTCTTGCCCAAGCTGGCTTGGTCACCGATGCTATCGTCTCATACAAGATTTCTCGGCTGGCGGACAACAAGAATGACGGGGAGATCACCTTTGGGTATGCTTGTTTCTATTATGATCATGGAATTAAGACCCACTTTTTTTCTTCTTTTTCAGCGGACTGGATGCAACTAAATTTGACCCTAAAACTTTGACTACTGTCCCTAACGTAAACAAGCAAGGCTTCTGGGAAGCTGGCATGGATGCCGCGACCGTCAATGGCAAGGACACCGGGCTCAAAGGTCGCACTGCTATCCTCGACACTGGTATATTCAATCGTTGTTGTACGATAGACCACATTGTTGATTGTTCTATCAATAGGCACCACTTTGATAGTCGCCCCAGCGTCTGATGCTGCCGCAGTCCACGCTGCTATTCCTGGAGCTCAATCCGATGGTCAAGGGGGTTTCACTCTGCCCTGCACCACCACAGCCAGCGTTGCGCTGACTTTTGGTGGTCAAACCTTCACCATCGACCCACGGGATCTTGCCTTCCAACCCATCAACGCCAACGACCCTCAAGGCGATTGCGTCTCCGGAATAGCATCAGGAAACATTGGTGGTGCACAGGAATGGCTTGTAAGTAACCGATTCTATCGTTTTATTTTTGGTGGTGTTCACCTGCAACGTAGGTTGGCGATGTCTTTTTGAAGAACGCCTACTTCTCGACTGATGTGACGAAGAACACTTTGAGCCTTGCCAAGCTGGTGTGATTGGAGTTGGACATCCATTATCATTAACATTCATTCAAGCAGGAGGTGTATATATGTAACTAATGGGTCGTGTTGAAATGGGAAAGAATGGCGTGACGAAAGATATATAAAGTTGTGGCTCCCCCCATGAAACCAATGTCAGTTATGTCCAAGTTCCCCATCTCCGCGCTACCAGTGGCGTCTCCGTCGCAATTACTGATTCATCGTCTCAATCCTGACACACACACACCAAGTCCCTTTACTTTCCGCACAAATGTCCTCACAACTTCTCCAAGCCTTCAACGAAGAGCTAGAGTGCGAGAATACCCAAGCACCTACCGTCTTGAAATAATATTGGCTAACTCTGATATCAGCTTCTCTCCCCGCCTTGCCACTTCTCATATGTCGCCCCATTCCCTGTTGCCTTCCCCTACGACATTGAGCCGGAGATTGGCTCTAATCCAGCTACGGAAGACAAGGGCGCATACATAGAAAAATGGCTGGCCGACCGTGAAGCAGTCAATCTCAGCCCACCAAACCCTCATCATCCCAACGCCCCGCTCCGGAAATACCTCCCAAACAACAGAGACCAGCCCCTGGAGCTCATCGGCCTGTCAGAAACGGGTTTGAGGGACTGCGTTCCCCACCTCGATGTTGGAGACGCCTTTGCTGTACTTGGTAACCCTACTTTAACAGATGAGTTTAATGAGGACGGCGATGGCGAACCCTCGGGGGTGGAGGAGGCTGTTAAGGCGCGACAGGATCTTATCGATGTTCTCAGTGGTCATGCAACCTTGATGTCACCCCCAGAAGTCACTGAAGGCGGTTTCGCGCCTTGGTCTCTTCGGTATAGTGGTCACCAATTTGGTTCATGGGCAGGCCAGTTGGGAGACGGACGTGCCATATCCATTCGTGCGTCCATCCTAATCTGTGGACTTCTCTGCTATTCAAATAACTAAATTCTTTTCATTCACAGTTGTTACCCCGCACCCGTCTGACCCCAACGTTACTTATGAACTTCAGCTCAAGGGGTCTGGTCGGACGCCATTTTCTCGGAGCGCAGACGGGCTCGCTGTACTCCGTTCTTCCATTCGCGAGTATCTTTGTTCAGAAGGTGAGATTGTGCATGTGAGCTTTTAGCCTTCATTCATTGAATCCTTCCCCCCAGTTATGCAAGCCCTCGATATACCTACGACACGGTCTCTGTCCCTTATCTCCCTTCCTGCTCTGCCGGTGGCTCGCGAGCGAGTGGAAACTGCATGCGTTCTCACACGCATTTCACCCTCTTTCATTCGTATCGGCTCCTTTGAAGCACTGAATGGCCCCACCAATATGTTCTTCTTTGGAGGTGGACAGCAGAAACCAGACTTGGATGCCTTGCGTATTCTTGGCGAGTGGGTCACGGAACAGGTACTTAAGTTGCCGGTTGAAAAAGGGAAGCCTTGGGGTTCCGAGCTTGTGCTGGAAGTTGCTAGGAGAAATGCACATATGGTCGCTGGATGGCAGGCGTATGGTTTTATGCATGGAGTTATAAATACTGATAAGTGAGTTGAAACTCATTTTTGAAGCTACCCCGTTGACTTTGTTGACAGTGTGTCCATTCTCGGACTTACCATCGATTATGGTGGGCTCTCATTATGATCATACACGTTCTGCAATGCTTATAAGTCGACAGGCCCTTACGCGTTTATGGATGTTTTTGACCCATGGCATATCTGCAATCATTCAGATGAAGGCGGTCGATATGCATACAAGGTATATATCCAGATTCACTATATCTGTTCACTGCTTGACAGTTACTCGTCGTCGTCAGCATCAACCAAACATGATGTACGGTCTCTCCTTTCGTATTATTGCCTGCCAATAGCTTCATATAACATGTCAGCATTTACGCACTTCGTGCATTGCTCAATGCCCTCTCACCCCTCATTGGTGCCGAAGCCGAACTTGGAACGGCTGTCTCCCCTGGCTGGGCTGAGGGAGTTGACCAAGAAAAAATTAGCGAATGGTCAAAGAAGGGTTTGGAGTTGAGAGATGAAATTGATAGAATCGCGCAGGAGACAGCCGCGGTTGAGTATGGAAAGCGCCTACGGAAGGTTTGCTTTGTTCTCCGTCACATTTTGTTCATGATCAATGTTCTTATAATTTTTTAGCGACTCGGTCTTCGCCGCCAGGACCTGACAGACGAATCTCAAATATTCAGGCCGCTGTTGGAGATCATGGAGACGCACAAGCTCGACTTCCACTCTACGTTCCGGACGCTATGCGACTTCAAACCAGCACTGCTTGACCAAGTCGACGCAGACACCACGACAACATCACCATCGCTGGACTTGCACACATACATCTCGCGTGTGCTCAGCGTCACGCCCGAACCGAGCAAGGTTGACCATGGAACAGCGACCAAGGAGCTGCTTGCTTGGCTGGATACGTATGCCAAGCGTATTTCCAGTGAATCCGAGCAATGGGGTGAGGATGCTGACAAGGAAAGAAAGCAGGAGATGCGATCTGTGAACCCTCGCTTTGTATTGCGTCAATGGGTTTTGGAGGAGGTAATCGGGAAGGTTGAACGGGATGCGGATAGTGGAAAGAGGGTGTTGGCTAAAGTGATGCATGTAAGATGATCTTGTGTTTTTTTATACCCATCCTCACAACACACATAGATGGCGTGCAATCCTTTTGAACCATGGGGTGGGGAAGGAGAGGAAGGAGAACTTGATAAGGAAGAAAAGGAGGAGAGAGGATATTGCGGACTTGGTGATCAAAAGATGATTGGTTTCCAATGCAGTTGCTCAAGCTAAATAGCGAGTAAAACACAGCTGACGTCATCCTCTACGTACCTACGGTAATGACTCCCGGTGCGATATGGTTATAGCTACGATGGCAACCCCGTCGCCGTTCCCAACATCCCCAGAGAGCGTCGACAAAGGCATCCTGCTCGCGACCCTTCCCAATCTATCAACCCCTCACTTTCTAGGTTCCGTCGTCACTGCTGCAGCAACACAGACGCGACATAGGCTTGTTGTCGTTCTCTTTTCTCGCCATTTTAACACCTCACACCGCCCCCGAGGCGGCATTGGTACTCTGCTCGGGGACACTCAAACCCTCTCTCACACTGATACATGGGATTCGGTCCAGCGAATCCTTACCCTCGTCTATGTCCATGCGACGAAAGCTGCCCAAGCCCTTAACAAGGTCTTGATGGACGTTGATGTCCTGCTGAAGGGACTAGACGAGGATCTGGATCCACATCTCGGAGATGGGATTGACATCGTCTTCAGAGTCAGCGGGGGTACGTGTGCGTTACGTTCGTTGCATTTACATACAACCAACTTGTTCGTTCCACCTAGATTCAATAGCTGTTCCGTTGCCCGAATCGCTCTCGGATACTCGACAATGCTTCTTGCCCGCAGGCGATCGCAACCCCGATTTCCGGGAGTTCAGCACAACGGGATCACCCGCCGCCTCTGGATTACCTGCAAAACCGCATTTCTATCCAGTCGTGGCACTTGGAGGAACATTTGACCACCTCCATGCAGGGCACAAGATCCTCTTGTCGATGGGTGCTTGGATCACGGAGGAAAAGTTGATTGTGGGCGTTACAGGTACGTTGCATCGTGGTTTTGTTCAATTGCGTTAGACCTATGCAACCACTCGCAGACGATGCTCTTTTACAAAATAAAGCGAACAAACACGTCATTGAGAAACTGCCTCAACGCATCGAGCGAGTACGCAGCTTCTTGACATTCTTCAAGCCGGGACTGGTTTACGATATCGTGCCACTCTGCGATGTCGCTGGACCAACTGGATGGGATCCCAATGTTCAAGGCTTGGTAGTCAGCAAGGAGACCTTGAGTGGCGCGGCCGCAAGTGCGTACTTCGATTCAAGGTATAATGCAATACTTACATTCCATTAAAGTAGCGGAACTTAGGAAGGAGAAAGGTTTCCCTCCCTTAGAAGTATTCGTTATCGACGTCATTTCTTCCACATCGCCTAATCTAACTCATCACGACGCTGGTTGGTTGAAGAAAACCAAACTTAGTAGTACGTGGATCCGTGAGTGGATTGTCAACCACAGTAAGCAAGAAGAGGAGGAAGACGAATAAATATGACCATGTAAATCAATCAGCCAACTTATCGATTATAGATTATCATTATTTCAGGTGTTCTGAGTGGTATGCCTTGATGTATGTTAACGCAAATGAGTGAAAGTCAATTTAAGCGTGTTGTCAGAAGAAAGAGTTACAATAGTCTGCTGCTGCGAATTTACTCGTACTTTCTCTTTTCTAGGTTGCGCTTCCGAAGATCTGATAACGCCTGCAAATGCTAGGGCCAATCTCGTCATACTGAGCTTTCGTGTGGCAGGAAGTGTAAAACTCAGGCTAAATTTGAGTGGATCAGAGTCGATATATGTAAGAGTTAGTAGGGGACTGACCAAGGATGCCAACAAGGAACCACCAAACCAGACGGCGTATCTTGTTGATAGAACGATTGTGAGCAGCGGTTATACCGGAGGTAGGGGAAAACGCACCGTTGCCGTTTATGAGAAATGACGTCGACCTCGACTCCGGATGACTGAAAAAGCAAACTGTTATGGGCTTGAAATATTTGATAGAACAAGTACACAAACTTTGAGCGCACCGCCGCTGGCCATAACGCTAGCGTCTAATCTGCGATCGACAAGTTGCTTGAGATCGCGCTTCAGTCTCTGGCCGAAATGTTGGAACATGGTAGATCCTCCCGACAGCACAATATTCTACAATATCATGTAGGTGTGTGACGAAAGTGTGGATGGATATATGACATACTTTGTATAGGCCACGACGAACATCAATGGGTGATTGTTGGATGACGTCGTCAACAATCTCTGGAAGAGGGGTAAGGAAGTCGGACGAATATATCTCTGGGTTGAAGAAGATTTCTGGAGCAAGGAAACGCTCATATCCAACGTCAACGCCATATTTCTACGGGCAAAATGTCAGACTTCCGTGTGGATCAAAAGAAAGAGCCTCACCCTCCCAGTAACACTGTGCTCTCCTTCGTAGCGCTCAAAATACTTAAGCGGTTCCTCATCGTACTTCCTGAATTCCCGAACAATATCCTGGCATACGTAGCTGTAGTTCTCCTTCACCCTGCTGGCGACCCTCAACTGGTCTTCTGGCGGTACAGCCGCCATCTCTCCACGCTCCCTCATCAAGTTCAACACGAACTGCGAGATATCGCGTCCTGCGATTGGGATGTGTTTGATCGCGCTCCCGATGACGTACCCCTCTGCACATGGAATAACATGAGTAACACCATCTCCAGAATCGATAACCGTTCCGGTGAGCGTGCGGTCTGTAACCCTGTTCGAGGACCACGACGCCGCGAGCGCAAGGACAGCTTGGACGGCGATGTACAGTCCCTTGATGTTAAACGACTCGAAGAATATCTCAGCCGTCTGTTCTCGGTTTTCGGGTGGATTGAGAGGTGGTTCAGTCTAATTTAGTTTAGAGAGAGATGGTTGGGGGGGGGGATAAAATCAACGTCGATAATATCAATAGAACCGGGATCAATACGGACAAGAAGGAAATAATGATCCTCTGGCTCAGCCCTCAGATATTTGAAGATCGTCTGCTCCCAGTATCGCTCCATGTGGTCCCAATTGTCGATCATGCCGTGGCGGATGGGGTAGTGCACGCCGTACCCTGGCGTCTTTGCGTTCGCGAGTGCTTCATCGCCGATAAAGAAATCGAGATCCTCGACGCCGCGTTTGGACGCGAGATGGCCTGGTTTGACGGGTACGGCGGGTGCTCGTGATGTTTGTGATGCCGAACCTCTCGTTGCGATTGCGGTGGGGAAAACACTAAAGAGAGAAATTAGTCTGATAACTCGATCCACGAATGTATACATACAATGAGGGGTCAGAATTTCCTGCAAAGCTGGCAACACGAGCTTGTTAGCTACAACACGACTAAATGACCGATTAGAACTGACATACCCTACTTTGGAGTAACCAGTTCCATTGTCGCATATTATGGGGGCAAGCAGCGCCATAGCGCTTCAAGGTTATGTCGACGAGTAAAGAGGAGTTGCCGCAGTTGGGGCAGGCTTTGTTTGTTACAAGCCTCCATCGTCAACACAATGTATATATCTAGGTCTACAAGCTCTCCGTTCCTATTACATTCTCCGTTATCCCAACTCTCTCCCGCGCCTAACATAAAGGTTTAGGACAAAATGTTGTTTCAAAAAATATTCTTTACCTCGACGAGAAGGTCAGGCTCGATCTCCGGTAACACCTCAAGGGTGTCACCTTCCCAAGGCACAACCTCCCACTTTGTGGGGGGATTGCCAATACATAGGCAGATGTCCTCCGGGAGATGTGCACCATACTCCGCATTAAAGTGATTCCGCACTTGATCCTCCTCTGCATTGGTAAATATTACAAAAACAAACGAGGCTTAAAGTCTCTTACCTTCCGTCATTTGCCGCAATTGTGTCATCATCCCTCTCACAATGTTCTCAGCAGCTTCCCGGTATGATCTACGACGTGAAATCTCAATAATGAGCTTGCTGAATGCGGTCTGGTAGGCCACATAGCGCTCGTGCAAATGATTAAGGGTTTGTAAGTGTCGATGAAGCGAATTTAATTCTTCTTCACATTTGGCCTGAAATGAAATGAAAGGTGAGATCTGAGCTACGTTTGATTTATATGTCGTACCTCGACACTCTCCTGGTTCTGTAGAATCTCGCCCATGATGTCTCCCAGTTGATCGAGGTCGTCTAAGACCGTATTCAAGTGATCCAGTTCCTTTTGTGACGTATCCTGAGCTGCCAGTAGGTGTTCGCTACGCAAAATTAGTGAGGGAATGGGAAGAGTAGATAGTGGCATACTGATGTCCCTCAATAGCCTTAGCGTTCTCTTCCAACTCAGACATGATTGCTGGCAACTCTTCCGTGTCCCTATTCATATCTAAACGTAGTTGGTCAGTTTGTGAATTTTTAAACAAAGGGTACATACTCTGAAGGTCTTCCTCGCTGAAGGCCTCCCCAGCCTCGCTCTCTTTCAGAGCTCCTGCCATTTGGTCATAGTGGGATGCCAAACTCTCGAGTAGTCCAGCCATGGAAGCAATGTTGGCTTCCTGCGCCGTAAGGGTATTTTGCATAAGTGTTAAAATTGGCGCCCCTGGGTCAGATTCTGGCAAAGAATCGTGAATCGACGCAATGGTGCGTGACAAAGTTTCCGGAAAGTCATCCGTCTTGCTGAGAAGGACCTAGCCAGCTTCGATAAATAGACAATGGCCAAAATGCGCAATGCACCACGAACATCTAAGGCCATACGATCATCCTCGATTGTTTCATAAATATCTTCAATTGCCTGGTCATCCACGAAATCGCGTAAGGTCTTCCACCGCTTGCGATCGTCCTTCTTCCCTTTATCGATTTCCCCGTCACCCTTACTCTTGTCTTCCTTTAGTGACCCACTTCGCTGGTGACGACACAAAGTTGCCGAGGGTGACTGAGGAAAAACTAGTTGGCCATTGGCCCTCTTCCGCGGAGTTCGTTCCTGCTTATGACTGGCTTCGGCCTCAAGGTCTGAGTGTTGACTGCCGAAGAGAGAAGAGTCTTCAGGAGATTGGTGGAACTCTGGGGGCACAAGCTGAGTACCAAGAGACTCAAGTATAGCATCCAACGCGTCTGTATGTTTCGTACGAGATGTGTCCCAAGCCTTGTTGCTTGAATGAACAACCTTCAAGGAAGACGAGGTAACATTAAACGCACTTGAACTTGCTTGCCCAAGTGGACGCGTTTCTCCTCGATGCTTTTAGCAACGCTAGCTGCTAACTAGACCACACGAAACGAATCAACATCTGCGCTTGTTTTAAGTCCCAGTAACGTACCCTGAGCTGCTCAATGACAGCCTCGGTTATCCAGCGCACCTTGGCGTCGAGGGCGAGAACGTCGATGGCAGCCTGCGCTGACGCGTTGGAACGTGCATGTGCGCGAGAACAGAGCTGTTCGCCGTGCTGCAGAGCTTTCTTGGACTGCAGAACGAGATAAATGAGATGTGGTTGCTCTGGAATGGCAGTTGGAATGGTTGTGGGCATTGTCGCAGATTGATGAATGTGCTGAAGGATCACCCATCACGCAGTCGCCAACATTGTGTTTGTACCACCACCACTGCTATCTGTATTTTATACCCCATCATGTATTCTACCCCAGAATTCACTCACATCAACCGCAATACGGCCTTGTGTCTTGCTTGCTCTGCTTCGTTGCCTCCCAGGAACAATGACATTTACATAACGAGCTGCTGCCGAAAACCCATCTGCCCCACCTGCATCGAGAATAATTCGCGACTTACGCGTTACAATCCGTGCTTAGCTTGCCTGGAGGGCGTCGATGTCTCTAGATCAAAGTCCCGTAGTTTGCCCTTTGAGGTGCGAAATCTGGACGGAGCAATGCGAGACGAAGACACTTTCGTATTAGGGGATGACGATGATGCATCATTTGAAGAGGAAACGGAGGAGACTGTCGTATCTTCGACATCTCTGTCCTGCTCGAGCAAGGACATCGAGTTGCTGAAGTCTGTGAATGTCCAGGAGAAGGAAGAGATCACACATCCAGCAACACCGTTAAAATATTATCTTGCTCGCAACGACACTCTCCGAGGGATTGCGCTTCGCTTGGGAGTTGAGGTCAGTACATCCCCCCTTTTTTTTGTTGCAACAAGTCGATAGGATGAGATGCACAGGGCCGGGAGCTATGTCGTTTAAATAACCTGCCCCCCAGCACATTAAGCACGACCCCACATCTGCTTCACACACGGACGTTCATTGTGATTCCTCGGTAGTAGTATCGTAGTAGTATCTGGGTACCTTAAATGCCGTGCCGTGTACGCGTACAAGGAACAGTAAGCGTCATTACACACAACGGAATACAAACCGTCGATGTATAAGCTTTTGAGTAATGTTAAAAGTGTGTTGTGCGCTCCTCCGATGTCCAGCGCAATATCCATGAGCCCGAGATCTAATAGCGTCGAAAAATCTAACAGCCAAGCATCCGGCGACCAAGAAAAAAAGTGCGTCATACCCCTAGTACAATTCCAGCTGCTAACGGTAACTTTCTAAATAAAGATGGCACTTTCGTCTCCCTACTTTCTCTTCAAAGACACCACCACCGCCGGCAAAGAATTCAATCAATGATGCCCTTCTCATCCCAGAGGCAACGGCTAGCATCTTCAGTAAAATCATCTTCCAATGGATAAACCCTCTTATGACCTTGGGCTATGCCCGACCCCTTGAGGCCTCCGATCTATGGAAGTTGCAACCAGAACGAAGCGCAGCTTATATTGCAAATCAAATCAATGTTTCTTTTGACCGCCGGGTTCAAGAAGCGAACGAGTACAACACCCGTCTCGCCGAAGGCAGAATTGGCCCCGGCATCAAAGGTCTTTGGTGGTCTCTCACCGGTACAAGGGAAGAAAAGGAGAAATTATGGAGGGAGAAAACAGGCAGGAAGAGAGCTAGCCTTGTGTGGGCTATGAATGACAGCGTAGCGTGGTGGTTTTGGAGTGCGGGCGCGCTTAAAGTCGTTGGTGATACTGCCCAAGTTACCAGTCCTCTTGTTGTCAAGGTTTATTTCCTTTCCGTCACCTTTACGGAACCTTCTTGACGGGACTCTATAGGCCATCATCACATTTGCGACGGAATCTTACATTGCCCATCGGACAGGCGGGAAAATCCCGCCAATAGGCAAAGGCGTCGGTTTGGCCTTTGTACTCCTTGTCCTCCAACTCATTGGCTCCCTCTGCACACATCAATTCTTTTATCGCAGCATGTCTGCCGGAGTTTTGTTGCGCGGAGGGCTGATTACTGCCATTTACTCACGCTCTTTAAAGCTTACTTCTCGCGCAAGGTCGACACTTACGAACGGAAAACTCGTCAACCATATCTCGACAGATGTATCCAGGATAGACTTTTGCGCGGGCTTCTTTCACATGGTACGCACGATCGTCGTAGCCCTTGCCGCTATAAATTTGACTTCTTGCAGGCATGGACAGCCCCGATTCAAATGATTATTTGTCTAATCCTCCTCATTCTCAACTTGGGCCCCTCCGCGTTGGCTGGCTTCGCATTCTTCATTTTCATGATGCCTATTCAAACCTTTGTCATGAAAAAGCTCTTTGGCCTCCGTCGCAAAAGCATGGTTTGGACCGATAAACGTGCTAAATTGCTCCAGGAACTACTTGGCGGCATGAAGGTCACCAAGTTTTTTGCTTGGGAGGTACCGTTCTTGGGTCGTATCTTCGATTACAGGCGCAGGGAAATGGCGTAAGTATTTTTGGTCACTTCTTTTCTCACCTCTCCCCTCATCTTCATGACTTTAGGTACATTCGGTCCTTACTACTAATTCGATCGGGAATGAACGCAGTAGCGATGAGCATGCCTGTGCTCGCCTCCGTTATTGCGTTCATCACGTACTCGGCGACAGGCCATACCTTGGAGCCCTCAGTGATATTCGCTTCCTTAACCCTCTTTAATCTTCTTCGATTGCCCCTAATGTTTCTACGTCAGTTTTTCAGCTTTCCTTTGCAGAAATGATTATTGACTTTCTACACAATCAGCTATGTCATTCAGCGCAATCGCTGACGCAGCCAATGCCACAGGCCGCCTCCGTGAGGTCTTTGAGGCTGAGCTATTGGAAGAGACGCACATCGTCGACGAAAATCTTGACGTAGCGATCGAAGTAAAGGGTGCTTCTTTTTCGTGGGACTCACCACCTCCCGAGGAGCAGTTGTCGAAGAAGAAGCAGGCCGCCAAGACGAAAGCTGAAGCCTTGCAAAAGAGGCAGTCTGCGATCGACGACAAGAAAAAAGCTGAGGTGGGACAGGATAAAGCTGAAGGGGAGCATGTCTTCAAAATTCGTGATGTCACTTTATCAATCCCTCGCGGAAAGTTGGTCGCGTTCGTTGGTCCTGTGGGGAGCGGCAAGACATCCTTGTTGCAGGGTATTATTGGGGAAATGAGGAAAACCAGTGGGAGCATCACGTTCGGGGGCTCTGTTGCCTATTGTCCGCAAAGTGCTTGGATTCAGGTACGTCGGATTGCAATATGGCGATAAAATTGAACTGAGATTCATCATTGCAGAATGCCACAGTCCGGGAGAATGTTTGTTTTGGCCGCCCGTTCGAGGAAGAGAGGTACTGGAAAGCCATCCATGATTCTTGTCTGGGGCCCGACTTGGAGATACTGCCGAATGGTGACATGACCGAGGTCGGAGAAAAGGTATGATGTTGTCGCAATCTATTTGATGACATCATCTGATCCGTCTGTAGGGTATCTCCTTATCCGGCGGGCAGAAGCAGCGATTAAACATTTGCCGTGCTATCTATTGCGATACTGACATACAAATTTTCGATGTATATCTGTTTCTTTCTTATGAAGTTGTTGTCAAGTTTATGCCTTTTCTATAGGACCCACTCTCTGCTCTCGACGCCCACGTTGGTAAAGCTGTTTTCCAGAACGTTTTGCAAAACAGTCTTTCTGGGAAAACTCGCATCCTCGTCACCCATGCTCTTCACTTCCTGCCGCAAGTGGACTACATTTATGTAATATCGGAGGGGCACATCGCAGAATTTGGGACATACTCTGAGCTCATGAGCCACGGAAAGGATTTCTCGCGCTTCGTGACCGAGTTCGGCTCAAAGGAAGAAGAGGAGAAGAAGGAAGTTGCAATAGTGGATCAAGACACCAAGAAACAAGAGGACGGGTTGAAAAAGGCCGTTGGCGGTGCAGGCATGATGCAAGCTGAGGAGCGTAACACGGGCGCGATTTCCTGGCAGGTCTACAAGACATACCTCAGTGCGGGTAGAGCACAGGTTGTCCTTCCCCTCCTGTTGTTGTCTTTGATTCTCATCCAAGGAGCAACTGTCATGGGCTCCTACTGGTTCGTCCCTTTTAATATAGGGGGGTTCTTCAGAAGCTAACAAATTTCATTTAGGCTGGTCTACTGGCAGGAACGGTAATATCAGTTTCTCTGGTTAAACGCACAGTTTATTAATGAACATCACAGCAAATGGCCTCAACCTCAGGGTTTCTATGTGAGATTTTTCTTCTTCGCGGTTTCCAAACAACTACATATCGATTCTAGATGGGCATTTACGCAGGTCTGGGTGTTAGTCAAGCATTCTTTTCATTTTGCATGGGAGCCATGTTCAGCCTGCTTACATACTTCGCATCTCAACGGCTACATAAGGTTCGGTGCAGAGTCTCCTTCAAATGTTCAACGCACTCATCTATAAACTATATAGGCTGCCATTGAGCGAGTCATGCGTGCACCCATGTCGTTTTTCGAGACCACAGTAAGCAACCCACAACTCTTGTGGTGTTCTTTAGTTCTGAGGCTTTGATACTAGCCTCTTGGCCGTATAATGAATCGGTTTTCCAAAGGTTGGAGTTTAGCTGATCTGACTTGACGATGACATGACTGAAGATCTTATTCAGATATCGACACCATCGATAACCTGCTTGGAGGTAAGTTTGTGCCAAACGTGTTGTTGCTTGTGGTCTTGACCTTCACGTAACCAGATTCCCTCCGCATGTTTTCAGCCACGGCTTCAAGTATTCTTGGCGCTATCATCTTGATTTCGATAGTCCTTCCGTGGTTTTTAATTGGTGTCGTTGTGATCCTCGGTGGCTATTGGTACGCAGCTATGTTCTACCGCGCCAGCGCTAGAGAACTCAAAGTCAGTCTTCCCATTGTCTCATCCTTAACGTATATTTACGGGGCCATGGTTAGCGTCTTGATGCCGTTCTGAGATCATCTCTATACTCCCATTTTTCTGAAAGCTTGTCTGGCTTAGCCACTATTCGTGCATACGGGGAAGCGGATCGCTTCCTCTTGGACAACGAGAAAAGGGTTGACATTGAGAACCGCGCTTACTGGTTGACTGTCACGAATCAGGTATCGACCTATAAATCTTTTGCGCATAGTTCGGTCTCTTATACTTTCTGCTTGACAGCGCTGGCTGGGGATACGTCTCGACTTTTTGGGTTCCCTGTTGACTTTCATTGTTGCAATGCTCACCGTAGGGACGAGGTTCACGATATCTCCGGCCCAGACTGGCTTGGTGCTGGCGTACATCCTCAGCGTACAGCAAGCGTAAGCAGTGATGCTACTCTCCAATAGTCTTCTAAACCTCTTACCATCTTCGCATAGGTTCGGCTGGATGGTGCGACAAAGCGCAGAAGTGGAAAACAACATGAACTCGGTGGAACGGATTGTCCACTACGCGACTGAGATCGAGCAAGAAGCCGCCCACGAGATCCCAGACATGAAACCTCCACAGTCGTGGCCTGCTCATGGCGAGGTGGAATTGAAGGACATCGTTCTCAATTACCGATCGGAACTTCCTCCTGTTTTGAAGGGTATCTCCATGTCTGTCAAAGCTGGAGAAAAGATTGGAATTGTGGGCAGGTTTGTTGATCTTTTTTTTCTTCTTTTGTTGAGTTCTGAGGGTGTTGTACAGAACGGGGGCTGGGAAGAGTTCCATTATGACGGGTAAGCTTGCTTGATTTTCGCACTAGCACAACTCAAGAGTTTCAATTCAGCGTTATTCCGCATCGTCGAGCTTTCATCGGGTTCCATCCTGCTCGATGGCGTCGATGTTTCTCAGATTGGGCTGACGGATTTGAGGAAAAGTTTGGCAATTATCCCACAAGACCCTGTCAGTATCTGACTTCCTCCCTCGTATATGCTACTGATTTCTTCTTCCTCATAGCTTTTATGTAAATATCTACGCGTTGTCGTTGAAAATATTGTACTCACATTTCACAGTTTCAGGAACCTTGCGGACAAACCTCGATCCTTTCAACCTTCATGACGACGCCACACTATGGGATGCCCTGAAAAGGTCGTATCTGGTGGCGGACACGTCAAGGCGAAATTCGGTTGTCCCGGAGGAAGATTCGTCGAGTGGGGTGCATACCCCGGTGAACCGGTTTACCCTGGACACTGTGATCGAGGATGAAGGCGGAAACTTATCAATAGGCCAGGTTTGTGAAAGTTTTGAACAACCGGAGCGGGTTGGCTAACTAGATTGACAGCGATCACTGGTTTCTCTCGCTCGAGCTCTTGTGAAAAATTCGAGAGTCATCATCCTTGATGAAGCAACTGGTAGGAGGTGTTCTACCCTCGGTTCGCCCACCTCACGTTTCTTGCAGCGTCGGTGGATTACGAAACCGATCGTAATATACAAGATACCATTGCATATGAGTTCAAAGACAAAACCATTCTTTGCATTGCTCGTATGTTACTTTTTGATATATTGGATCTCTTGTTAACGTGGTTCCGTCACAGATCGGCTTCGCACAATCATTTCCTATGACAGGATTTGTGTCCTCGATGCTGGGCAGATTGCAGTAAGTTCGTTAAGCTGAGTCGACGTACAACTGCTGAGCGCGATTAGGAATTCGACACGCCTGCACGGCTCTACGAAATGACGGAGGGCATTTTCAGAGGAATGTGTGAGCGCTCTTCGATAACCATGGAAGACATCAAGATGGCAATGAAGGTAACGAAGGAAGACGCATGATTATCAATAGGCGAGTTTCTTGGGGTGGATCGCATTTAGACGCAATGCGATGATAGATAAATATACCTGGGATATTGTAGGATAATAATACCTTGCTCCGCTCTCAAATTCTTATTCAACAATTTGGCGAAGCGCTGAGCACGTCTGAATGTTGACCATAGGCTTCGATTGTCGTAAAGGTGCGAATTAGAACAGCTGGTGGCAAAATAAAGGGAGATATGGTACATATCCCATCTGGCTTGCTTATGATTTGAAGAAGATAGGCATGTTAAGGTCTAAGCACTCTGTGTTTACCGACAGTATTTGAGGGGGAAGAAACGAGGCGTCATCGTCGAGACACGAGGATGCTGTTAGGCATGGCGTCGACCTACATGGCAAAATTTCCAGGTAGTTGAGGCATATACAGAGGTTCTGCGCCGATGGATACAGGTAAAAACGGATGAGGGCGTCGAGGTGGTGCAAGAGTCGGCACGAGAGCCCGAGTGCTACCTATTTGCGACTGTTCAAACCAACCATTCGACGTGCAAATCTGATTCAAGTTCAGGTTTATTGCCGTCAGGTGTAGTGCGAGAGGCTGCGAGAGGTTATAGTGTAATAAGCCCCCGTTACCAATCAATTCAGATCTAACACCGGGGAGTTAGTGTAACATATGCATTGCAACTTTCAAGACCTACGTTGCATATGAAAAAAGGAGCTGGGGTTGAGCTACAAGTCATCGGGCGAGGACAAAATTACTGTACAGAAATGCATGACAAACTGGAAGATGGGTGACTATTCATGTTCAAAGTCCTGGTCTGCAGTTATTCACTCAGTCAGTTCACCAATACACACATCACATTTGTCTAACCTCACCTTTTGCCTCGGAACGTATGGTCAGGCCTGACCCATTGGGCTGTAGAATGCCGTATCCCTTGTCACGAGCGTAGGAGATGCAACTTTCTTCGTCGGGCCAATGATATGCTGCGAGGTATAGTTTCGCGCGTGGGTTCTTCGCCATAGCGCGGAGGCTTTTCGAGACACGTTTGGATTGATCTTTGATGTGCGCCTGATACAGGTCAGCCTAGTTAGGGGTTGGGGCTTGGATCACCTTTGACATCCTGTACTTTGTCTCCAAGAAGACGACACAACCATCTGAGAGTTCATATACAGTCGCGGACAGCCAAAGTCAACTAATTTTGTGATCGTGATGTGAGGACCCTGCACAACCTTCAATAGTACTTTTTATTGCAGAAACGTGAAGATTAGGACTCAATGCTTTGATTTCCACGAGCCGATTTTTCAAAATCAATGAAATGAGAAATTTTACCCCCAAAATATTGGCCGGCCCTCAAATGGACCCCTAAAATCATGAAAAATAGCGCAATCGACTCCTTTTTTAGTTCTGCATCTGATCCCGGACTTTGGGAAAATTCTGATGAGCCGTTGTTGTAGAAAAAAATGATTTTAAACTACCTAAAATGGCAATTCAGGGTCTTCCCACCCCCATGGACCCTCAATGAACCCTGTCCTTTTGACCCCCCTCCTCTTCCCACCTTTAGCAGATTGTATATTACTGATTTCCAATCAGAATTACAATGTTTGGCAAGTGCCAATAAATCTTTCGGTCACCTCCGGCATTGGGAACCTGCCAAGGGGGTCTTGAGAGCCGCTGAAGAGCCTTACCGGATGACAAAAGTAGTCCAAAATTTTGGCCAACCCAATTTCTCGTGGGAAAAACTTCAAAGAGGTGTTTTTGGACGTATTTTCACATCCTGAGTTCGAATCTGAAGTCAGAATGTCAAAATATTTAGTCCTTCCCGAGATATCAACTTGGTTGACTTTGGCTGTCCGCGACTGTACCCCATCCCACTCACCGACTTCTTTCCCTGATTTGCCCTTGATGACCCTGGGCAATTCAGTGACGTTCGGGTCTTTTCTTTCCAAAGCCTCCTTCAAGGCGAGTGCGGTCTTCGTCTCAAAGACCCGATCCCAAACTTGCTCCCTCATCAATCCGTTTTCGTGAAAAGGGAGGCCAGTGCCTCCAACATCATAGATACGGTCGGGGTCGATTTGGTCGACTTGATCGGGGAGAATGAGCCGTCCAGACAGTTGTTCAATCAAGAAATGTCTATACATCAAGAGGTAGTCGGTGATCTTTTGATAGGAGGGGAATACAGCCAAAGTGGGTGTATCATAATAGGGGTATTGAAGACGTAATGTAACAGGAAACTTTTTAATGAGAGGCGTTGTTCTGGCCCGACCAGAGCATATCGCGGTTGTGGAAAGTGCACGGAAAAGCATAATGAGAATGAAGAGATAAATCTGGGATATTGTAGGATAATAATACATACGATATATCACTCATGAATGGTTCTCAAATCTTATTCAGCAATTTGGCGGAGCGCTGAGCACGTCTGAATACTCCGATTGTCGTAAGGGTAACATCAGGGAGTTATGAGAACGGCACAAGCAACCTGCAAGGCCTACATTGCATATGAAAAAAGGAGCCAGAGGCTGAGCAGTCATCGGGCACGATGGGCAACGTTACACACAAAAATGCTTGATGAGCTGCAAGATGGGCAGCTATTTAAAGTCCAGGTCTGCAGTTAACCAGTCAGTTCACCAATACACATCTCACGTTTGTCTAACCCCACCTTTTGCCTTGGAGTGGACAGTCACAGTCAGCCTGTGTAAACGCTCGGTGGGCTGTATGACTCCATATCCTTTCTTACATGCATATGAGATACAATCTTCATCGTCAGGCCAATAATATGCTGCCAGATACAATTGTGCACGCCCGGTCTTACCCATAGCGATGAGGCTTTTGGAGATGCGTTCTGATTGCTTGTCAATGTGATCCTGGTGGTACAGTTCAGCCAAGTTAAATAAGCTTGCCAGAGTTGCAGATATTGAAAAGCTCACATTTGACATCCTCAATTTTGTTGTGTCCAGGAAGAGAATGGCACCATCTGACAACTCATACAGTGCTTCCCACTCACCAACAACTTCTCCAGCTTCGTCCTTGATCACTTCTGGCAATTCCTTAACTTTTGCATCTTCATTTTCCAAAGTCTCCTCCAAAGCAAGTGTGGCCTTCCGCTCAAAGGCCCGATCCCACATGTACTCCCTTTTCATGTTAGGAAAAGGTGGGAGGCCAGAGCCTACAACATCATAGATAACGTCGGGATCAATCTTGTCAACCCGTGTAGAGTGAATGGCCTCTCTAGTTATCGGGTTGACCAGAAAATGTTGAAATGTCGACAAATATTCAGTTATATTTTCGGTGGAGGAAAATTCATGGATAGAGGGAGCATCCCAATAAGGATATCGGAGAAGTAAAGGCACAGGAAACTTTTTGATGAGAGGTGTTGTTCTGGCTTGAGCAGAGCGTATCGCACTAGTGTATATTGCATTGATATTGCACGGAAAAGCATGATGAGAATGACGACGTTTGGGCGACGTTCAAGTTTTGTTGATAGATAAATATACCTAGGATAGTATATATTTGGCAATTTGGTGAAGCTTCAGCGTGTCTAAATGTTGAACATAGACTCCAATTGTCGTAAAGGCGCGAATTACAACATCTGATGGTAAAATAAAGGGAGATACATATCCCATCTGTCTTGCCAATGATTCCAAGAAGGCAGAGGGAGGGGGGAAGTACAAAAGTAAAATAAGGTGTCAAGGTCGTAACTTGTCCAAAAGATATGCATAACATTGAACGAATCATTCCGAAAAAAACTTGCGAAGATAGTCTGTGAGCATCGTCTTCATGTTGGCGTCGATGTCACTTCGGCTGAGGATTTGCTAATGAGGAGGCCAGTCAGACTGGGCCAAAAGTAGCGAAGGAGTCAAACAAAAACTCACGAGCGCTTTCTCCGTCTTTTGCTTGTGCATTTCAGTCTGCTGCTTAAACTCAAACTCACTCGCTTCCCGCTCCATCTTCAAACGCTGCATCTCTCTTCGCTGCAAACTCTCCTTTTCTTCTCGATCGTCCCGCCGACGGAGGTATTCTAGCTTCATCTTCGAAGCCTGACTTTGCATTTGCACAAATTGCATCAAAACATTAACTACATTGGCGTTGATTGATAGGTTCGCGACGCCCGGATCGACGCCGTTCGCGAGAGAGGGTATTGGTATAGGACCGTTTCCGCCTGTGGGAGATGGTTGGGGTAACGGTGGCGGTAGTGGATTGTCCCTGAGTGCCTGCGGATTGAGAAATGCAACGTGGTTGTTGCGGTCATGGGTAAGGCCACTGAGACCGTTCACCATCATGGGATCTCCGAAATCGATAGGTTGATTATCTTCATCTGGATCGTCGCCTGCAGCATTTGACGGTCCAGCTCCAGCGCCCCGAGCCTGGACGGGTCTCGTTGTAGCCGGATCACCATGCCATCTGGAAGTGAAGGTTGAATGGAATGATTGTGGGAGGGAACGCGAGGCGCACCTTCGATAAAAGAGGTTGTACCAACCGAGCCGATGCCATGAATCAAGTGTTTTTGGAAGGAGGTTTCCAATCTCACATCCTGCTTTCTTCGCAATTGCAATGCGACGCTCATATTCCTTAACGCGTTCGGCTTCACTCAAACCTGGCATTACTGGGCCAGCATGACTGTGATACGTTTCAAAGGCGTATATCTGCTTGAAAACGTTGAAATTGCGCTCGTAGCATCCTTTTAAAGCTTGGTATGTCTTTTTGCTTTCGAACACCTCAACAGCGCACTGTATCATAATTTTAAGGATGCGCATTATTATCGTAAGATGAAACTCGTACCTCTCGCAAACATGAGTTTTTTGTTGCGCGAAGAGCGTTCCAGTGGTCATCTTGCCCAGGGCCCATCAGCCATGTGAAGAGCTTTGTTTTCTCTTCATCAGTCCAGTGTTTAGCACCCTGACCATTACCGTCACCGTCGTATCCGTCAGGGTCGTCTGTATCTCGCCTTCGCTTGAGTATTTGTGTTCCAAGCGAGCTTTCGATCTGTTTACGCTTCAAACCAGGTGACGACTGCCCACCGCTTGTCACAAAAGTGAGAGGGGAGTGTGCCGACGAGGATGCATGCGCTTGGGGTGGTGGGCCCGATTGGTTGAGAGTTGGGGGAGAAGTTGAAGGGTTACGGTAGTTGTCTGCGGCTCGGCCATACGCCGGACCTGGAGCACCAAGATGGGTTCCCAGAGCCTGACCTAAACTCTGGTGAGTTTGAAAGGGTGTCTGTATAGACGATGAGAACGGTTCGAGCATATGATCAAGGTACACACTGAGCCATTGGTGTCAAGGTTTGGGTCTCTGCGCTCTGGCAGGGGCATATGGCCGTATTGCATGCTTTGGTCACTGTGTCATGGCGGTGGCAGACAATGCATAGAGAATGAGTGGAACGATGAGAAGGAGTGTCAAGATGAGAAAAATGGAGAACGCGGTTGGCCTTCGAAGGAGACTCACTTTTGCTGGTCCATAGCCAATTGAGCCAATGCGGTGGCTCAAGGATTCGATTGGATTCGAAGTCGTAACACAAAGATTCAGTTTAGTTCGTTCGTAGCGGCTCGGTTGACTAATATATTTGTCACTACTCTCAATTCCAAATACCAAAAATATAGGTAAGGTAAGTAAACCAAAGTTAAAACTATGCCGCCATTCCAAGAAACTCCTCATCCGGTTCCCCCTCCGCATCTTCATCGTAATCCCCTTCCGCATCTTCCTCGCCACACCCTTCCTCTTCCATCTTGACATCGCCAGTCGCAAGTGTCGACCTGAGATCTGATTCCATGTGAAGAGTGCCGTTAACGCTGGTGAACCCATTCAATGACTTTGATAGCGGCAGCGGATGATCTGGCATGAAGATCGTATCACCAGTGGGCAGACTTTGCCAATTCGTCAAACTCGTAAACGGAGTTTCAACGTCCTCCAGTTTCAAGTCCGTCTCAATCATGAAGTTGGTCCTCTTGTCCTCCAAATTTGCGTCTACGGAGATGGGGACCTCAGCGGACAACACCGCTTCTGTGGGCGGCGAATAGACGGTTATCTGTGCCTTATCCCTTGAGTCGCCGTCCTCAACTCCATTTATATTTGGTGTTTCAGCTTCGAAGACGGTGGGAGAATGGTTTCCGTTGTGGAAGTCATTCACTGATCCAGGTTCGTCGGACTTCATTGGTGGCGGAGATGATTCTTCTTCCTCTTCGACCTCCACAGATAACTCTGATTTCCTCCGTTTCGGCACAGGCGGTGTCCTCTCAGGGGGCAATAAAACAGGCCGTTGGGACTCTGGCCGCGATTCACTCCGCCTGGAACGTAATTGCCGGCCTTGGCTCTGCCGTTCCTCCAAGGCCAACTTGACCGCCAACGCCTCGTCAGAGTCCACAGAACTTATTCTCCTGCTTGAAGTCCGACTTGGTAGTCGCGCATCTTGAGGCAGATCCTCGACAGGCAGGCTGTGCCTTAACGAAACAGATGTGGACGAGCCTTGTCGACTGCGCAGGCGGCGAAGTGGAGATGCAGGACGTTCGTTCAGATCTAAATCTTTGATCGCGTTCTGCAGCGCGTCCTTTGTAGGAGACTTTACAGGCGATCGAGTCCGCGAACGCTTTCCGTTAGTCAACCTGTTGTTGAAAACTGGCAATTCGTCCATCATGTTACCGTCTCCAGCGATCATGGTTGATTCCACTGTTACGGGTTGGACAACTTCGTTAGAAACAGGGATTTCATCGACGAGGTTCGACACGCTGGTAGACGCAGATGCCTCCCCTGTGCTTGCTTCCAAGCTCTTCGGCGCTCGCGTTATCAAATAGGGTGTCCATTGTAACTTGTCGGGTCGCAATCTCAGGTAACCTTTAGCCTCCCAGTTCCTCAGATATTGAGCGACCTTTTCACGATCAAATTGGATTTCATAGTTTTTGGGAGGCACAAATGGACCCTTTAGACCATCGGAGTCCTTGTCCTGAGTTTGCAGCCGTTGAAGCTGTCGTCGTGCAATGCCGTTCTTTCGACCCTTTGGGAATTTGATTGATTGACCAGGAGAAGGCTTGATGATTGTTGGGCTAGCTTCTCGAATGTAAATCATTTTCTGTTCGATGAGGGTCTCGCAGACGTCCTCCAGTGTCATTGAGGTTGCAGAGCTGATGTCTAGTTGAAAGAATATCAAGCACTATTGTCCAGAAATCTTAACGTTACTTGCCTTCTAGTCGGATCTTCTCTGGTGCTGACTCGAGATAACGGTACACTGCCAGCGTCCAGTAATTCTTGTAACCCAAAGCACCCAGACTTGAAAGAGGCTTTTCAGGTGATCCTAACCTCTGCTCCTTTTTGGAGAGGAGATAGCCTGGCAAGAGAGTCAGACAATTGCCATGCGAGAAATGATAGCAACACACTAAAATCGATCAGGAGGTTTCCCCAACCTTGTCTTTGTCGCACAGGGAGAGTCATGATGCAACTGACGTTGTAATCCTTGGGACTGCGCTTTTCCTTGCTGAAGTAGCCAACGAACCGTGCGCCAAAGTCGTCCACCTCCGTGATAACGTAGAATAGAAATGGTTCGACGTCATAAAAGAGGGATTTGTGATCCAAAAACATTTTTGACAAAAGACATAAATTCTGGCAATAAATCTAGAAAAAAAAGACTCAGGTCTAGATACTGGCTCGACTGGAAAAAACAAACTTTGTTTCTGCGACCGTCGACTTCAAAAATGGAAATCGCACCGTCTCGATATATCTCGTCACCGGGTGGATGGCGGGCCTTGCATTTCATCTGACATAATTTAGCAAAAGATGATCTATGGAGACCAAAATGAGCCATACCCGGTGTCTGCCTGCTCCAAATCGGCTCTTCATGTACTTAAGACAAAATTCACAGATCCAAAGGCGACCATCTGGAATAGATGCGTATTCTTCCGGGAACGGGGCGTCATACCATGTCTTTATGTCGTACTGTCCAAACCTAATAGTGCGGATTCGGAGGAGAGCAGGATCTATCTTGGCGAGAGGCCCACCAGGCGTAGATGGACCTGGGGATGCTGAGGGGCCTATGGGAGTCGAGGCCATTGTGGGGATTTGATTTAGTGTAGATGAGCGTAGTGGCCGTGAAGGCCCAGGCGTCGATAAATTATGAAAGTCGGACATTCGAGGTATGGCATTAGCTGGCGGTGGTTGTTGAGGAAGGGCGAGTTTCTCCTGGCAGAACAAAAGTTAGAAGATCCAGAGAACTTTCGCTGAGTTCAATTACCTCTGCAGCGACTCTACTTCGTTCAAAATAAAATTTGTCGGTCTTGTTAATAGTCGTTTTAGTAGTGTCTCGCTCATCGATGCTAAGGATATCGTCAAAGAGACCATACGGAGGTTCGTCCTCTTCGCGCTCCTTTCCCTTGCCCTTTTGCGTCGGAAGACGAAGACGAACTCGTGGTAAATGTACTTGAGGCGGCGGAGATTCGCGGGGACGTTTGCGTTTGCGCTGTTGCTGTTTGATGGGAGAAGATGGCATTTCTTCAACCTCTGAACTTTCATCAATTGGTTCGTGACGCGCTTTGCCTTTCTTTGTTGATTTCGGCCGTGCCCTGCTCCTCGAAACGATGGTGGTAATTTCATCCGCTGCTCCCTCTCCTGCGTCGTCATCAGAGTCCTCTTCGTCATCTTCAGAGACCATCACAACTTTGGGCTTTGCCTTGCCCTTTCCGAGAGTTGGTCTTTTGCCCTTTGTTCCTCCCTTGAGTTCAATTTGGGGGGTTTCAAGAGCGGAACGGGAAGAAGACGCGACTGAGGCTTCTCTGTCATGAGTTTGAAATTGCTGAACTTCTTCAGTTGGCTGAATATTTTCGAGCTCACAACCCTGTCCTTCGGGGTATGGAGGCGGACACTCGGGGCAGTGCCACCTTCCGTTAGGTGGCTCTGAAAGTGGAGGTACCATACAATCCAGATGCCAACCTTGCAATATATACATGAATCGCAATAGGTGTGCCAATATCACATAAACTCACCACGATCACAACAGTCACAAAACAAAATTCGCTCCTTTTCAATGTTTCGGAATGAGTAGGCATTTTAACGAGAACATGACTCACATCGTCGCCCTTCTCCTTACACAACTCACAGTTCTTACACTCAATACATTTCCAAGGGTATGAGATCAAGACATGTCCGATTTCTGCGAGTTCCATACAACTTGGATGACCTATGATTGATAGATTAACCGCGTTAGTTCAACGGGACGAATATCTTTGCACAAACCACTACGACCACATTCATCGCAGGTTGCCATAGGCTCTGGATCTCCATTCTTGTTCCTCTTCTCATTTCCTTGACAAAAGCTGCATTCCTCCTCTCGACGAACCCTCCGCTTCCGCTTGGGTTTTTGAGGAGGAACAGGCGGCTCGTGCTCGACTGGAAAGAAGGGTCCTACAATCTGGGGTGCAAACGGGTCTCCCTGAGGACCTTGAGAGTACTGACGAACACGATATTCATCTGGCGACGGTTGGGTTTGGGTTTGAAAGCATGGGACTTGCGCGTGAGACTGGAGAGGGAGGGGTTTGAATACCTTTGTAAGTTCACGTCAAGACGCGACGCGTTACATGTTGGACGAAGGTTGGCTTCAACGCGACTCACCTGCTCCACAATCATACTCTCTCCTTCCACCATCAACGCCGGGTCAATTGCTCCACGCAAAGCGGGGTCGATGGGAATGTCGTCGACATTACTCATTGGAGTGCCGTACTCATATGAGGGTTCGCGGTGAGAAGACGGTTCTGAAGGAAAGGCTAGACCTCTCATTGGACATCAAAATAAGAAAGAGCCTAAACTCTTTGAGAATCAGCCAGCCGGATTTGAGGAAGGAGCTCCTTCGTCGTTGAAGACGGTGAACAAGTATGTTTGGCGTTATTTATCAGCTGTAATATTAGCTCAAGTTCACTTGGAGTCCACCAGCTTGGCGATTTACTGAGGGTCACAAATCAGGCTCTACCTGGGTTCTGTGCTAATGACCGTGAGGTCTGCGCAACTTATTTTCGTCGAGGAATGCACGTAATAATGTCATAATGACCAAGCGCCTCATCCGACCACAGACGCATGATAGATATCACGCCGGATTACGATTGCCATTTTCTTCCCTGGGGCCTGACCGTGACTCGGCCATGCTGGCTGACATATCTGTGTGGCAATCGCCATCTTCCTCGTTCCCAGACACAGCCTACATAGCGGCTACTGGCCGAAATCAATGAGCTGATCCCAAATTGATCGCATGGAATGAAAAAGGATGAATCTAAAAATTTCAAAGTGACTTCAAGGTGGTTATAAAACTATGTACTACACTTGCGGTGTGCAATAACTCCTCGAATGATTTATTTTTACGGCGAGAATGAAAAGACAACAGAGCTGAGTCTAAGTGGCGAGTGTCAAACAAGTACCAACAGAGGGCAAAGGCATGTATAGATCCATTTGACTGCCCACTCCCCCGTAACCTCCCAGTCCCCTCAGCCATCCTCCACCACGTCTTTCACACTCACCCAGACAATGTCGGCGGCGGTCCATCCGTTGCCTGGCCAAATTTTGTCCCATTTTTCTCATCCGGCTCTCAATGGACTCAGTCACAACATTGCTGGCCCGAGCGTACTCCCAACTCCGCCTGTTACGGCTCGCAAGCGCAAACGTCCGCAACAATACACTGTTAGCTACAGCGAAGTACAGGAGGTTGATAGCGATGGCCGCCTTCGAGAGGTCATCGTAATAGAGGACACTCCACCTCCTCCAACCATCTCACCTACCACAACACACAATGGAGCGTTTTCGGCGTCATATCAACCACCCATGTTCTCTGCTCCCATACGTACACGAGCGAGAGCTGCTGCGGAAGCTCAAGCCCTATCCTCAAGCTCATCATCAGGTTTGACAGCTCCAGCACCAAAGAAGAGAAAAAGGGAACATCAGGTGGAGGTCCGTGCGCCGGTCGCTAAGAAGCCTGTGGCCAGCAATCAGCAGTCCCAAGCCCTCGCCCCAACGGGCAGCCGAAGTGCTGCAGCCACTGATGATGTACGTTCTCATCCTGTGTCACATCTGCATGCTGATGGGAAATGGCAGACATCGAAGGGTCCTGTATCCTGCGATGATAAAGAAGGTCACTATATCATCGTTCCAGATGATTTAATCTATCGGCGTTGTAAGCCTTCCTCAGCCACGTCCTGTTAGCTCTGTTGACTTAATCTTTAGATCGCACCGTTCGCCTACTGGGCCAGGGAACTTTCGGGAAAGTCGTGGAGGCCATCGACACCCAAACTAATAATAGAGTGGCTATAAAGATTATTCGAGCAATCCCAAAATACCGAGATGCTAGCAAGATCGAAGTTCGAGTTCTCCAGAAACTCAAAGAACGTGACCCCCTTAATCGAAAGTAAGCACCTACCTCCCTCAAAAGATCGATGAGGTCTCATAACCTCCATCCAGCAAATGCATTCATCTTTTACACTGGTTCGACCATCGAAACCACATTTGTATCGTTTCAGAACTCTTGGGGATGTGTGTATACGACTTCCTGAAAGAAAATGATTTCGCGCCATTTCCTCGGCACCACATACAGGATTTTGCTCGACAACTCCTCGGAAGCGTTGCTTGTACGTCGCATCAAACTGTTCTGTCCTTCCCATGCTTACATTCAACTCACAGTCCTGCACGATCTGCGCCTAATTCACACAGATCTGAAACCGGAAAACATATTATTGGTCCACAACGACTACAAAGTAGTCCATATCGCTGTTCCAGGCAAGGTGTGTTACGTGGTCGCCTTGCCCGACAAAATCTCAATTCCTTCAAAAGCGAAACGCGCCCACAAAAGCAAAGAAGATCTTACATTCTACTGACATTCGTCTGATCGACTTTGGCTCTGCCACTTTCGAACAAGAATATCATTCTACTGTGGTATCGACTCGTCACTACCGCGCACCCGAAATTATTCTGGGTTGGTTGAATCTTTTTTGAAACTGGCTTTATCGTGACTTTGTTTCTCAGGTCTTGGTTGGTCTTTCCCATGCGATGCGTACTCCCTCGGTTGCATTCTGGTTGAATTTTATACCGGCGTTGCACTATACCAAACGCACGACAACCTGGAGCATCTAGCCATGATGGAAATGGTTATGGGCAAAATGCAGGAACGCTTTGCCCGTGCAGGGGCGCGTTCAAAACCCGAGTTCTTCAAGGAAGGTGCAAAACTTGACTGGCCCAAACCGAAAGCTTCACGGCAAAGCAAGAAGGATGTTCGGGCGACACGTCCATTAAGCGTATGTGAAGGCCTTTCTCTAATCTGTGCCTTCCTAAATGGTTTTGTTGTGATTTTTTAGGAGGTCATTCCACCGACAGATCTCATCAACAAACAGTTTTTGAACCTTGTTCAAAGACTCCTGGCGTTCGATCCTGCGCAACGCATAACAGTCAGGGATGCTCTGTCTCACCCATATTTTTCAATGAGCACCCCCGAGGAAATTTAGGGACGGTCTTCCAGTAACTCCAATATTGCATGGCATATGTTTGATTACCCTCGTTCACCCACAAGCCCTCTTCATCGCCTCCAAAGTCAAGTGTATTACAATCAATATTACAAACCCGCCAAGCTTAGTACCACAATCTTACATCTCCTTACTGCCTTGCTGTTGCGGCCTGTATACCAGCGTCTTGGCCAAGACATTATGCGGAAAGGCTCATTTATGCGGTCAAGCTCAGGATCGAATCGGTGGCCCATCACCACCTCGTCACAGTCATTCACACCATCAACATCGCCATCACCATCATCATTGCCATAATCACTTACCACCACTCAAGTCAATGTGCTGATATTCCTTGTAGCATTTGTCGCAGCACTTCATTACCTACACAACCCATCATGGTTCTTTTTATCGTTTTCTTTTTTTTAACACATACGTCCCTCGCATTCGTTCCATCCAGTCCAAGCATCTATCTCCTTATTTTGTGTATCTCTAAGCAGTACTGCATGCAAAATTAGATGCGTGAAACAATCCTTTGTGTTCGGTCTAGGGGAAGTCGGGTGCTAAGTTTAACACTTATGTAATGATAAATTAGACGCCAGTGGCAGTGGCAGTGAATGACATTTCCGTGGCTGTTGTCGTTCAGTCAGCCATTTGTCGTCGTTGCTCTCATTGAGAGCTTGGTGACCAACAACAACTCATCCACTAGACCATGCCATCCCGATATGACCCCCTCCCAAATCCCCAATTTTCGCAAAACCCGGAGCGGGAGTTGGAAGACGCATTCGAATCTGACAACGAAGACGACGTTGAATCAACCCCACTGAATAACCATAGGAGGGCGCGATCTGAGCCACGAGTTCCCAGAGACGAAACCAGTGCTCTTCCAGGAGCCTACGATTTTGAGCGAGAGTACGACTTCCCTCCACCCGGGTCTCCTCCTCGACCATCAGCACGAGCGCTGCCAAACGATTACGGCAATTCAAATGGCCTCCTCCCCACCTCTCCTATCCATGTCTCTAGGCCAAGGCCCTCGTTATTCCGGCGCGCTGTTGGCGCCATTCTTCCTACCCACTACCAGCAAGTTCCATCACAAGCGCCGCCCACGAGAGTAACAGGAGGAGGTGTTGAAAATGATGGTGTTTTTGCAAATGTCATGGCCAAACCGCAGCCTGCTCGGGTCGTTAGGACGGAGGATGGCGATGTTCACTTGGTTCCAGAAGAATCGCAAAAGGAGACGCCACCCGTAAGTACTCGTGCAAATTCATCCTGCACTCATCTGACATAAACCTATTCTAGTCCTATGTCGAGGCCCAGGCGGATGCGGTACCTCCATACTGGGAGACCACAGTTCATGCTCCAGCTGGATTAGAACCTGGCGCGGACATGATCATCGACGATCTCCCGACAGGGTCGTTCCTCGTCTTCTGTCTGAACCTTTTCATTTCCGTGTTCTTCCAATTCGTTGGCTTCTTTCTTACATATCTTCTCCACACCTCGCACGCCGCCAAGTATGGTTCCCGTGCAGGTCTGGGGCTCACGCTCATTCAATATGGATTTTATTCACGGTCGGCTAACGATGGGGACAACGTACCTCCAGAGGGATCTCAAGCTTGGGTGGGAGGTTCTATGGCAAATGCGACAGACCCAGGAACGTTCCCTAATCAAGAAGGAGGATCTCTATTTTCTTCAACGTCAAGGGATTGGTTGTCCTTTTTGTTCATGACCATGGGTAAGTTAATCGGGCCCTTGTGTACTTGAAGACTTGATCTGATACTTTGCTTAGGTTGGTTCCTTCTCCTCTCATCCATCGTTGGTTTCTGGCGTGTAAAACGCTGGGAGCATTCTGTCCGAGTCGCAAACGTGCCAACAACTCCTGAAGATGTCGAACGAGATCTCGCTATCAGGCGCAATATGGAGAACGTTTTCGGACTCAGTTTAGGGGATGCTCCAGGTGCGCAGACACCGCACAGCGCTCAGTCCGTGTCCCAGCAGGTGCTGCAGGAAGCAAGACTGACGAGGGATCTACGAGCAGCTGGTTTGCTGTAAATATATGGACTCAACAAAATTTATCGCATCGCTCCCAAACCCAGACTTCTTAATTTCCTGCTGATTTAAATTACACTCTTTAACTCTCCCTTGCTGTACGTTTTGTCACCAGAGCCACATGTAAAATCTATCTATCTAGTCCGTCTATCGCTTTCGTACTTAGGATGTGAAATACCGTCATTATTTTCGTATCGTTGAATAGGTGGCAGCATCCTAGATTCGACCCACAATACACCCAACCTACCATCTCGTAATATCAACCTCCGCCTCCCCAAACAAACTCGTTTTCTTAATGTCGAATCCCTCTTCCCCAATTTGCTCTTCATCCAAACCGCTATAATACCCTGGATACTCCCTCTTCAAAAACCTCAGAATATGCGTGTTGATAGCCTCAAACTCTAACAAGAACCCATCATGTCCATCCGGGGAATATATCACCACCAGCTCCGCGTTGGGAATCGCATCTGCCAATTCCCGCTGCTCAGTGGTGGTAAACAGCCCGTCGGTGGCTATGCCGATTATTAGTGCGCGAGGGGGGATGGTGGACAAAACCCCGCGCAGCGCAGCGCCCTCTTCAGAGGTAGAATTGGGAATAGATACACGCCCACGAGCAAGGTCGTGCGTGTCCATTTTACGAGTGATGTGGATGTAACAGTTTGCGTCGAAGCGGGCTGTGAATTTGTCTCCTTGATAGCGGAGGTACGACTGTGCAGAGAAGATCGGGGCGCTCTTCTGCGAGGGCGTCACCGTACCGCTCCCTGACGGGCTCGAATCGCCCCGAGTTGTCGCGTATCTCGGCTTGGCATTCCGATGACCATCGTTATGTACCGCCAGGGCGCCATCCTTAGGGTACGACACGGGCGACGCAGGGGGAGTTAGCGTGCCCACAACTGTTCCTATCGATGCAGTCGAGGATGGCTGCGGCTTCCTCCCAAACCGGCTCTCAAACGAGTCCCTCGAACGATATGTAAGCAGCGCGCTCATGCGCGCCGCCGCTAGCCCCGACGCGGGCTGAGTGTCATAAAACCCATCGTGATACCCCGGGTCGCTGTATATACTCTGCCTTTGGGCCTCACCCCAGCTGATGCACCACGCCGAGTGCCGAGCGGACGTAGCGAGGGGGATAACATGCCGGATGTATCCTGGAGGTGAACAGAGGGACCATTCAAGGACGGCCATGCCTCCCATGGAGCCACCTATCACTACGGCAACAGATGTGACGGATAGGTGGTCTAGCACGAGTTTGTGTATTCTGATTTGTAGATGTGAGGAGTTGATTAGCGCATGAGGAGAGAAAACGAACCGAACATCGTCTCGGATAGTGGTAGGCGGAAACTCTGGCCCGTACAATCGGCCAGTGTCTGGGTTGACAGTGATGGGCGACGCAGAACCATACGGGGACCCAAGAACGTTGGCACAGAAGATAAAGAAGCGATTAGGGTCGAATGCCTTCCCCCGGCCCATCAGCGGTCCCCACCTCGAAGTGATAAAATCAATGGCGACATTGATGCTCAGAAGGATGGAAGACGCACCAGTCCTCGACATCAGCGCTCCCAGTGAAGGCATGACATATGATCATGACATTGTCCTTGGCATCGTTTAGCTTCCCCCATGTCTTGTAGGCGACCGGCACCTCTCTGAGTGTGGTTCCGCATTCGAGTTTGAAGGAAGGAATGGTATAGACGGATTGATCAATCAGAGTACTAAACTTGTTTGGCATCTTGACGAATGATACGAATAGTACTCGTTGGGATAATGATACAAGTGATATTCGCCAAGATGATACGAGCGTAGTCTTGTCGTGTCGCGAAAGTAATAGTAATACGATTCAGAGTAATATGAAATGTCACATGCCTACATCAAAACTTTTCAAAGCTGATCAAGGACCACACGGTAACACGGTTATCCTTTCCTCCTCCTAGAAGCCACCGAGTACGATCTTCTTTCTCATTAACGTTAAATTCGTCATCGTCCTCGTCGGCCAGCACACGAGGCTTTATCCCAAGACTGTAGTCTCCTGCCCGAGCAAACTCCACACATTGACAAGCAGATTTGTGATACTTCAATGTTCCAAGAGGTTTGAATGTTCGTGTCGAGTAAAGGCGTATCCTGTCCAAAGATAAGATCCAAAAAGTGGAAAAGTAAACAAGTCAGATACCTTCCATCCCATCCACCAATGGCACAGATCTTGCCGTCGTCGCGTATAGCAATTGATCCGTTACCAGCGTGTTTCGTCCGATGAACAGTACATGCATTGTTTGCCGAGGATTGCCCCTGCAACCGAAACACATTAGACAAGCCCATAATCGTTCCATTCAGTCATTACCGTTAAATCGTAATACCCAACAATATGGTCTGCCGACACAGTCAAGGCAAATGAACTTGATTTTGAAACCCTCATTGCCATGACTATTGGGAGCATTATTCGCATGAATTTTAGCATAGAAAACGACGTACTCGTCTCGGTATGGAGTTTAACACTCCAAATAGCTTCCCAACCCGCACCTTGGACCGATTTCAATCTGTCGGTCTGCGTGTATCTACGCAGAGTCACGCCGCCATCTTCGTAGGCACACATTAGGTGTACTTGGGAGGCGCTGGATGTCGAGGGCGAGGATGAGTCTGCGGAAGGATAAAAAAGGTGCATCGACATAATGATTCCTGCAGGAACTTTGAGACGTCATGACCTTCGCAAAATTTAAAGGAAGTCAAACCAGATTTATTGACTTTCGCGTCTGGTGAAAAAATCGATTTCGCGCTGTCCTGACCGATAGCAGCGTGTATTCGATCAAGCTGGGGTAATGACCAAATGTCTGCCTATCCTTGATTAGACACGATTGTTACCACAGAACCTGGGAAAGAAACACACCACCGATGAATCTACTAGGTTTGGCAGAGCTATTAAAGCCTTGACTTCCTCGGATTCTTCACGTAACTTAAGCAAAGAAAATCGACAGTAGTTTAGCGCGTTAACGTCCATTGAATAACACAAAGTCGGCGTGGGCAGGCTTGGTAGAGCCGCAGACCCGCCAAGACGGGCGGACGAAGGCATCTCTTCAATCCGAGTCCAGACATGTAATTTATTGTCCCTGCCATGTCTAAAGCCATGGAACTCTGAAAATCAATAAATTGAGTAAAATTTCAAGCTCTACGTTACTATTTGTGCCTCCGATTCTTCGACTCCAAGTATACTGTCGCTATGTGGATTCCAGGCCGTAATGGCGCGTAAGGACCTGGTAGAGGTTACCACAACCTTCCCTGAAGCGTCGGCGGAATAGATCCTTTCATTGTCGTCCGATACCGCGAGAGCGCTGATGGGTGATGTATGAGAACGAAGGAAATGGGCAGGTGCCGGAGGTGTAGGTGCCGGAGGAGGAGGCATTGGTGAATGGAGGCATCAAGCAAGCAAAGACAAATACTACTCAGCTTTGGGACGGACGTGTCATTCGAAACGTCGTCACCCCAGCATGCACAGTATATTCTCCAGAATCAATAACGTCTCCGCGTTGCTCTCATCATGTACGATGGCGCTTCTCGCAGCTATCGCGCTCTCCACTCTGGTGTTCAACGCGGACCCCAAGGGCGACCTTGCCATTGCTTCCATAAAAGTGTCAGGCTCTTTCTTTCGGGATCTTGAATCTATTCACTGAATTATGGACTTTGAAGATATCCTGGAACTACTCGTAGATACGCGAAAACGAAGCAAGATCTTGCGTTTGTCAACTTCAACATCACTGCAGGTATGACCTCAACGAACTACCGGACATTCAATAATCAACGCGCTTCCTCAGATCTGACGCCGTTATTTCACTGGAATACCAAGCAACTCTTTCTTTATCTAGAAGCTGAATACATCAACGCCCAAGGAGTGAGCGTTGTATATTGATGGTTGGATCTGCTTGCTCAATCTGCCTCCAGGTGAAGAACGACGTCGTGATCTGGGATCGCATTGTCCGTCGCAAAGAAGATGCAAACATCAATGTCGCAGGGAAGAACAAGTACAACTTCCGTGAGCTTTCCGCAAGCTTCAAGTAAGCGACCAATACACGCTCAGCTATCTATTGCTAATAACGTCGTCAGGAATGTCCCTCCGGCGAACTATTCCTTGAAGTACAACGTGATGCCTTACGTTGGCTATCTTACCTACGGAGAAATTGCGAAAACTGTCGAACCAGTAGCGTTCCCTCGTTCACAGCCGCGTGTATAACAAGTGTGTAATTGTTTTGTTAGAAGGAAATCAGTCAGTTTCTCAACTAAGTGCTCACCATACATATCCCCAAATTCTCGGGCTAAAGTAGTTTTCAACTGGAGGTGTCATGGGTTCCCGACCTTTTGGCTTATCAGGGCAATGACCCTTGTGTGACGGGCTAAGAATGACATATATTCAGGCAACGATGGCGACGCCCATACCACCAGTCTCAATATACCCACCGCAATGTCGTCCTTCACGCCCCGACGTCGACTTTGAGCTCCTCTTCGACTCAGAACTCATTCTCGCCGACGTCAAAGCCCAGCTTGGGCACGATCTACACGTTCGTCATTGCTCAACGAGCAATTTAGAAAGCAAGTAGAAAGTTCGTAACCATTCTCACAAAGCTTTGAAGGACGGTCAGCGGGCTACGGTATGACAGTTGAGAATATCGGGTTCAGGGTCGCTCGCCGTGGCTGTGCAAGTGTGTGGACGCGTCGTTTCGGCACGCTAACAAGCTTCTTCTTATAAAGAGGTGCACACTTAATTCGTGCTCACCACCTCCCACTGCTTTCTCACTTGCCAGGACTGTCACCACCACCTAATCTTTCTCAATGAGCCTTGCGACTATATCGACCCAATCCGCGACTGGAAGAGCGCTAACCGGCCTCGCTGCCGTCGCAGCTAGGAGGGTGCAAAGGGGCATTCCAAGACGTGTTCTGGGGAAACCGAGGAACATTATAACTATTATCGAGCAAGGACATGAGGGGTGGCGTCTTAGGTAGGAAAGTTTTTTTTTGGTCACTCCTCAATCATTCACTTGCCTTTTGTTATTAGCTTGGGACGGAACCCTGTCCGGCTCAATCCAGGATTGAACTTGAAAATTCCAATATATCACACCGTTCATAACGTCGATCTTCGCGAATCTTCGATCTCAATTCCCAATGTCAGGATACTCTGTGATCCTCTCACTTTATCAAGCTAATTCACATTCGACAGCTCCCAGGCTACACCGCTGACAATGTGCGTACATAGGATCCCATTCAGGAAGGGTCTTATCTGGTACTAATACTTTTCTCAGGTCCCAGTAACTTGCTCAGGCTCCTTGTTCTACCGAATCACGGATGGATACAAGGTATATTCCCTATAACTTCGTGTCGCCCTCGGCCTTATGGAGATGTCAGGCTTGCTTTGAAGTCAGTGACGTCCAGGACAATGTCAAAAATACCGGAATGTCAGCAGTGCGGTCTGTGTTGGGTCACTTCACGTACGATCAAGTACGTGCTACATTTCAAACAATTTATCAATAGGATCTTATGCATAAGTTAGGTCATTAGTGATCGTAATGAACTCAACAAGAGATTAAACACGGTTATCGGGAGTTCCATTTCGGTGGGTTGCAGCCTTTTCCGCGTACTTTTCTAATATCACCTAATTGTAGAATTGGGGAGTCGATTGCACCAGATTCGAGATTCAAACCTTCCAACCCGCCAACAGAGAAGTCGAGGTTTGTTCTTACAGCTTTATCCGTAACGGCTAAATACCATATTTCGCGAAGCGTCAACTTGAACTTCAAATGGAGGCAGAACGAAATCGTCGGAAGCAACTTCTGGACACCCAAGCCCAAATCAACGTTGCCGAGGGCCAGAAACAACGCGTCATTTTGGAAAGCGAGGGTCATGTAAGTCCAGCAAATGTGTTCACTGACTTTGATTTAATTTGGAAACGTTTGCGCTCTTTGTCTAGCTGGAAGCCAAGTCAAACGAAGCAGATGCACACTTCAAGACAGTAGTCAGGGAAGCAGAGGCCCGGCAAGTTTCGCATTTATCTTTTATTACGGGCCGTTGAATAACAAATCATTCTCGACAAAATCTAGGCAACAGCAAGCCCTTATGGAGTCCTCTGCAATCGCCCAGCAGGTCGAGAATATTGCGCGCTCGATCGCCGCGAATAAAGATGACGTTCGGCCAGAAGAGCGTCAACGTGCTTTGGCGACTTTGATTGAACTGAAACGCCTGGAACAGCTCAGGGCTATTGCCCAAAGCAAGAGCAACTCGACCTATTTCTTTGGCGACAAGTCGGCGCTTGGCCTATCAAGCGATGCTTTCAACGTCGATTATGCGCAACATGTGAAAGCGAGCTTTGAAAACCGACCGAGTCGGGTCGAAGGGGCGTTGTGAAGAAAAGAAAATTTAAGATAACTTGACCACTGGGGTTCCCCCTTGAACTTGACCTGCATTTTTTTCGATACCCATGATTCACCTCCACTCAGCATGACTCTTCTGTATTCACATATATTTTCATACATCTGTACAGTAAGCTCCCTCAAGTCGCGATGTCACTTATCCAAATTCAGTGAAGTTTCAGGTTGGACGACCGTGAAAAACTAAAGCTCTGACCTCAATGGACTGTCGCAAAGGACTGTCCTTGGGTGTTGTTGGATCATTGATTCCGGCCGGCCACAGCTCTGTTTTGAGAACAGAATCAAAACTTCGAGGAGTGGGACAATGAACAAAAAAACTCCGTTAGCTTTGCGCATTACTTCGATCTCCTCACCACGGAAATCGTCGCACATGCCATTTACAACGACATGATACTGGTACTAGTAAAAGCGAAGACAAACGGCTCCCAGCACCGATTACTTTCCAGTGAATAACCGACTTCTTCCCGGTTCTGCAACCATTTTCTCAACCATCAACCTCGGTATAAATTTAGGCACATAACATTTACGACGGCATAATACTGGTAGAAGTAGAGACAACAGCGCCCTGCGCCGATAGTAAGGAGTAGATAAGTATGGGTTGGTGCCAGCCAGGCAAGGAGGGGAAATGGGTATAGAATCCAGGATTTTGTTGAAAACTGTGCCAGCAAGGAGAACGGAATGTATCGCATAGACTACACATATCTTTCCAAGGGAAGAGTGGCAGGACAGCAATGACGGAAGTAGAAAGATCATGAGAGCGGTTGCACTGTACACATGGGGCACAAACCTGACATGTAGCAAGAAGATGGGGGGTCAAAACTCTCAGAAATTTGACCATGACACGAGATCACCGCGAGAAGCGCTACCTGGCCCGTCCATCTGAATAGTAATACCCAGACTGGTGCTTCGGACGGGCCTTTCAGCCCGAAGCCCCTTCACGGGTTTCAGGAAGCACCAAGCTGGCACAACTCCCAGTTCTACGTCATTCTCCGCAACAGGAGTTTGTTTGAAAAGTGACTTGGCTGTGTGGAAAATAGCGTTGTTCTCCCGACCAACGACGCACCAGCCGTCGTCGAATGATTGCACAACGGTGAGGTGTTCACCAAGTTTTGTGAGAAGAAGTTCGTCCGGAAGGACGGGACTAAATAACTGCCGAACTTTGCGTGCGGTTCCAGTTGTGAAACTGGATGATGAAGAGGCGGTTGACATCACGGAGAAGCGGTTTTGACTACTCGAGCCGCTCATAAAGGAGTTACGGAAAACGGACGTTCGGTTTGGACCGGTAGGTTCGAGTGTGGAGGTTCTGGGTGAACCAGCGGAGAGTGCAAATGAAAAGGGTTTCGCAGAGAATGCCTGAGGGAAATTTCCTGATTGTCGGTGAAAGTTGACAATTTCTTCGCGATTAGCCAGGCCGGGGCGTGTCAGAACCTTGTCAGGAAGGACAATGGCAGGTCCCATTTGATTCCTGGAAAACCCGTTGCCAGGATTTCTATAATGCATAAACAAGACGTTTGTTACTCGAGATAGGCGGAAATGAGAAGGATCTGAAAACATACCCCGCCGATTCGACTTTCTCATCTTCTGGGCGAATCCCGCGCACAGACAGAAAAGCTGCGCCAAGTTGGGATTCCCTCTTTGCTAGAGCGTGCTTGCGGTACTTGCGTACCCCGAGCCAGAAAGCCACAGCTAAAATAATGACACCGACTATGACGAAGCCAGCAATGTATTCCGGCTTGAGGGATGATGATGACGCCGCATCAGTCGGAAAGGCAGAGCGCAATGAAAGATGGATGACGGGCATCGTGTTTACAGGTAATCTTGTGCAGTGCTCGTCGTTGCCAGTGAAGACGTTGAATAAGGAGCGTGGTGGAAAAAAGAGTGTGGGATACGCCGGATGTGGCGGACGCAAGATAAACAGAAATAGCCCAGAACCGGGATGCTGGGAATGCTATTTGCACCGACGGAGCATGTGCTGGGAAGAGGAAGGAATAGTTGAAGAACTGAGTCTGGAGATCATTGAGGAATTGATGAACGGCTCCTGAAGCAACCCTGCTGACTAATCATCCCAAGCCGTAACCTTGCCAACTTCGATCGATTGTTCTATATCTGGATGCTACGAACTTCTTCTTTAATGCTCACTAATATATCCTTTGTAGTTTTCTTTGGCTTCCATCCAATGGCCTTGGACCGATCAGCTCGACACCGTGCGTTGGAGTTCAAAAAGGCGATCGTTCCTGGTGGAAAGAGCCTCTGGGTCTCGTCGTCCGTAAAAGTCGTTGGAGTCGCGTTCTTCGCCTTCCTCAGATCCACCATTGCTTTCCCAATTGCTTCGGACACGGCATACAAAGTGTGCTCTCCATTTTCTGCAAAGTAGAAGCCAGACCATCCATGGGAAAAAGCGGAGTTGAGGATACGTGGTTTATTGCCGTCAACATCGTAGGAGATCACAGAGTCAACAACGAGCTTGAAAAGATCCGCGACTGTAGCAGATTGGCATTACGACGCCTTGAGAAGAATTGGCCTCATACTAACCTTCGTCAATGTGGACGTTTGGCCAAATGTTCTTGCCTTTGCCCAGCACCCCGGCCTGTCCTCGGGAAAGGCTCGCCTCCACAAGCGTCGGGATCTGTTGGGAAATAGGATTCTGAAGACCGGCGTCGACTAATGACCCAGACGCCCTGCCGTAAATGGTACCAGGAAGAATAATATAGGTCTTGACAAACCCTAATGGTCCTTGAGCATCGTGGACTTGATATTGAATTTCCTCGCACCTTGCTCATCAGCCTTCACAATGTCGAGGTCAACGACGCGATGAGGCTGAGTCTCGGGAATAGCTTTGAGTTGAGCAACATCCATATCCGAATATATGACGTCACTTGGGTACATGCCTTGTGCATCGTCAATGAGAACACCTGCACGAGCATCAGAGCATGAAAATAAGGTAATCGCAGTACCCGCCAGTGCCGGACTAAACAAGTTAAATGTCAGGTGGATCGAGTGCCGAATGCTGGAGACTAACAGTGTGTATGAGGGAGGGAGGGACGCCTGTGCGCTTGTATCGGTATTGAAGGCCTTTTAAAATAGCCTTTGCTGCATTGAGGTCGTCGGCGTTGGCCTAAAGGAGCGCCAATGAGATATCAAGTTACTGATTTGAAAGTACTTACACATGCAATCACAATGTCAGCCTTCTCCGCAAGCTGGCTAAGTAAATCAAGATCGTTGTATGATCCAACAACAGCCTTAATTCCCATAGAGCGAAATTGCGAAACCTTGGATTCTGAGCGAACGAGAATGGTCGTCTGAAAAGTATCTGAACGGGGGTGACATAACAAACGAGCGAGGACACTGCCCCCGATGTACCCTCGAAAGATATTATCAGTTGTTTCAATGCGCCGCCGAGCAACTATTTAGCACTCACCCGTCGCCCCCGTCAGAAAGATATGGGTTTTGACAGTTAGATGGCCGTGCATCCCAACTTTGAGGTACTTAGATAGCACCTCAGCACAAGGTCATAGTTACGAATTACAAATACCGTCACAGTTGTCACGCTCACGCAGAGATTTGGAGCTCACCACCGGCACGCATCGACAACAACGACTACCGACGGCGACCACGACAAGTCAACGACGATTCATCCTCGTTGTCACCCTTTCTCTCTTTCCCTCCTTTTACAACCCACTGAATGTGCGTTTAAACCTGTCTACTGGTCTGTTGATCCTTCTTCTGTTCATCATTACCTTCTGATCATCCTCAGTAGCTATCCGTTCTTTACCGCCTTCGTCAAGGCAATTTCCCTTTCTTTGTATTATGGGCTGAGGACGTCTAGGGTAGGTAGATAGCGAACATTACGGGATGCATAGAGTACTGTGTAGTCCAGATGTAAAGGAAGCACGTAATGTCCTATCAGAGAGAGAAAGGCCAGTGCGCGAAGCGCAATGATGGGCGAAAGCCAGGGGCTTTCCGTCCCGGCAGGGAGGTCCAATCTAAGGGCTAAACGAGATGAGCTGCGATGGGTGGGTGGGAAGAACCACACCTGTATCGCTTGAGGCTCTGCCTCGAGAGTGGAGGGACTCACTGCACGGGAAAGCTTGCGGGTGCCGCTGCGCAGGCTGCGGAGACAGTATAAAGGGAGCGGAGGGTGGGGAAAAACGAAAGGCAAGCCCAGTCCTCAGAGGGGCTGTAATAGTGACGGTAAGGAAGAGAGAGAGATTGCTTACATAGACTATCACATGCCCTGTACAAAGACAGCACCCTAACATTCCACTCGTGCCTCGCTACATGCTAGGGCAAGATCTTTGTATTATGGGCTGAGGACGTCTAGGGTAGGTAGATAGCGAACATTACGGGATGCATAGAGTACTGTGTAGTCCAGATGTAAAGGAAGCACGTAATGTCCTATCAGAGAGAGAAAGGCCAGTGCGCGAAGCGCAATGATGGGCGAAAGCCAGGGGCTTTCCGTCCCGGCAGGGAGGTCCAATCTAAGGGCTAAACGAGATGAGCTGCGATTCCCACAAAACTAGGAGCCCTGCGACGCGTCGAGCGAGTCTCGGAAACCACCATAGTAGGAGCAGGGGAAAACTCACCAAGTGATGAAGACCCCAGAGTGCTACCTCCGGATTTGCGGCATGGTGATCCTGACAAAATTCTCATGCACTTCTGGAACTGCCTGCATGTAGGGCGCGAGGATCTGGGCGTGCTTCGTTAAGTAGACAAGGAACGCGTCGCTAGCCCACCGGCCTTTCACCTTCATGACCTCGAAAGGGGTTCCCCTGAGCAGGTACTCTAAGGTCGAGCCAATGCGGATGCCGTGCCCCTGACGCGGGTCCAAACCTGCACTCCTTGCAGCAGCAGCTACTGTCCGTAGAAATTCTGTCTTCGTCAAGGGTCGAAAACGGCTGTCCTTGAGATAAGAGAAAAGATGCCCATCAGCAGGGGGCTTGTTCACTGCCATGTGGTGGGTGAGGGCTGCCTCGGGGTCGGTATCTCCTGTTTGTCTGGACCATGATACATCCTCGCCCTGTGGGGAGGACTTTGTTCTGGGGATGCGGAAGACAGTCGATTTGAGGCCATTCCGGTCAAACTCGACTCTGACATCGGATGGCTTGACATGGGCCTCTCTGTTGAAAGCGGAAAGGTTGGGGACTGTGAATTCCCCCAAGCGCCCAGCCGAGTAGAAAGTGGTGGTGAGGCAGCTGTAAACGGCGGCGTCCCGTGGCTGGTCCAGCTTAAGCTGGCTCCGTATTGCAAGAATGAAGTTCGGTGTGTAGGGCACCCTCTTCTTCCTCTTGGAGGACGAAGGGGTGGTCTTGGCAGCTGCCCTGAGCAGTGTCTCCAACTCTGCGGTATCCATTTGCCACTTGACACCATGAAGAATGTGCCATGCCCGGATGCCGCAGACATAATTGTCGATGGTGCTTCCTGAGTAAGCCCCCGCCAACGAGGAGACAAAGGCACTGATGAGCAAGGGGCTGGCCGGCGCTCGCTGGTCCTCTGGTACCTCCTTCTGATCACAGTAGACATGGAAATTTAAAAGACCTGAGCCATAAGTGGCCAGAGTCGACTCCTCCCAGGACTTCCCCATCACGATGGCTATTTGGCGGATGTCCTCAGGCCCCAGGTTCGACGGGGGGACCTCAGCAGACTCTCGCCCGTTGAGGGGGATCCAGGATTGCAGGCGCTCGCTGGCGAGCACATGTGGGCGGCGTGGGGATGGGAGAGGGCATAAATCTTTTGCATAGCGTGCTGGTTTTGCAGTGCTGGGCGTGTGCTGAAGAGCTCGAGGGAAGCGCTTAAACATCGAACCACCCTTGCGTGTGGGCGAATGTGGCTTTGGCATGCTGCTCGAAAGTGTGGTTGATCTCTGCCCGCCCTTGCTGGAGATACGCGCGGTCGACTCTTGGGAGGGGTGTTGGGGCCTTGCCCTGTCGTATAAGGTGCGACTCAGCTGGTGTGCAAGGCGCGTCGAAGTCACAGACATATTGTCTGATCGTAGAGGGTATGACGATTGCAGGGAGGAGGAGAGAACTTTGATAGTGCTCTCCTCTGGAGGGGCCGTCCGCTGGATTTTCTTTGCTGGGAACATATCGCGTGTGGAAGTGGACGCCCTCCTCTTCAGAGAGGGCATGGACATGCTTGAAGACCTCATTTGTGGATCTGTTCCGGCTCCTGCCTTTCCACCAGCCTTCGACGACGCCTCTGTTGTCTCCAAAGACTTTGATGTGCGTGCCTCTGGGCGCGGAAGGGACAAGCGTGAGGACGAGAAACCAGAAACCAACTGCTTCAGCCCAACCAATGTCTCTGCCGTCCTCTTTCCACCCTGGCAAGAGTCTCCAGGCCCTCCACCTGCCTCTGATTGTGATCCCAATACCAATTTCCGAGCTAGCATCTGAGTAAGCGTCGGTGTCGATGATGGGGAGGGGGCCGGGGATGGGCCTGCTGACGGCAGGCTGTGTGAGTCTTTCCTTCCACCACGATAAATCGCTCGGAGTTCGACGGGGTGGGTAATGCGGGCGGAAAGGACGGTCGTGACAGATCCCCATGAAGGCCTCCAGGTTGGTGAGGTACGCGCGTCCTGCAGGCACCA